ACGCTAGTCTCGGACCACTTCTCTTGGGCGACCTCATTGGCGATGTTTGCACCAGACAGGGCACCACAATAGATACCAAGGATTCTGCCAATGGTCTCGGAGAAGAGGTGGATACCTGTTGAGTTGACATCCACGCCCTTAATGCAAGAGATGCCACGGGCGTAGGGGAGGATCTTGCCCTTGATTTGTTCGCAGGTCTTGATGATGAATTGATGGGGCAGGTTGAATATGAGAATAGTGCTTTCCTTCACTGCATCCTCGAGGGACGGGTTGGCGTGCAGGTTGACTGGCAACTGGATTCCTGAGAGGTACTTAACGTTCTCGTGGACCTTGTTAATTACCTCAGTCAATTTCTGGGGGCCGGCGTTTGAGGCATTGTAGTGCTTAGAAGTCTGCGGAATCTCGACGTTCTCCTCGAATACCCACATCTCTACCTTCTCCTCGAAGAGATCGGGGTTGCTGGCCGCATTTTCGGCAACGATCTTAGCGATGGCGCAGCCCCTATTGAGAACCACAATTAGTACAAACTCACAGTCCTTTAAGAACTCTCTTACCAGTTACCGGAGCCCACCACCGTGATCTTGTGCTTGCGCTGATAAGGAGCGAGAGAACCCATGATGCGTGTAGACGAAGAAATTGATCTGCGGGAAGGAGGTCCGGAGAAGGTGGGTTTAAAAGATGAAGAAGTTGGGGGCAAATGTGGAATTATGAACGGGGTCTGGAACCGGTGTGACCAAGTGGATGGCCGAGGTAGAAATACAGTGGTAGAGGTGTGAGGAACGCAAATCCGACGTAGGTTGAGACGTATATCCATACAAATTATCGTGTTGGGAGCCCAATGAGTTTCAGCTTTTACCGGATTGCCTTCTGATCACAACTGATGTCACTGGAAAGGCGTCGAAACTCGGAGAGGCGATTTAAAGGAGAATTTGATAACGTCACGGGGCTTTTTTGGATGTTTTTTTATTTTTTTTTGCCGACACAATAATATTTTATTGACTTGACTTCTCATGATTAGCCAAACAGCGTTGAGTTCCTGGGAAAAAAGGGTGGGGATAGTGGATATAGGCGGTGAGCAATTGGAGTCTTTTTTTCCCGTCGCAATTTCGTCTCTTTGCTCCCCGCTGTAGATCTCACATGTCAACATGGTAAACTACATTCCTATCTTGTTCCACTTTCAGCCGGTTAATTATCGTTCTCTCTTCGCAGGCCCCCATTCGCAAATCAACAAAAACTGCCTCGGGCAGAGGCGCGATAGTCAAACCCAGTGTCTTTGGTGACGAATTTCGCACAAGCAAAAGGGATAAACGTCAGATCAAGCATGCTGCCCTTGTGTCTAAGATTGAGAAAAATTCTCAAAAGACTCCTAAGCGCCGACGAGCATCAAAAAAACTTGTCACCAACCTCGAATCTTTGGCCGATGCCTTGCCTGAGGCTGAAGAATCCAACGATGCCGCTAGTCAAGTGAACGTGATCAGGCAGAAGACTCTGAAACACAAGCCCGGCGCCCTGAAGCGTCGAGAAAAACTTGAAAGATTGGAGCGAGACCGCTTCAACAAGAACCTGACCGAGATGTCCAACATCACATCAGCCCCGGCTGCCAACAATGGGGAGAAGAGCACCGAGTCGAACCCGATAGCCACTCGGTGGTCAGCCCTCCGTAACTTCATCTCACAGACAATGGAGCAGCAGCCTGTGTTCAAGAAATAAAGGTGGCTAGAATGGAAATACAACAATCCTCAGTGACCGAGCCACCATCTTGGTTGCCGCTAGTCATGAATATTTGTCTAACAAGTGAAATCCGGCAAACCACGTGAAAAATTTGCTTATCAGGCCTCTTCCAAGGTCCTGAGGTTGAGCCGAGGAATACACTTAAGTGTATTACGCTCAACCAAACACAAACGAACCACTTGCTTCTATTGGATCCTAACGGTGAAATATACACGCTGTTCCAAGTAGGTCTTGCGGTTCAACCATTCCTATATTCCTGGCAATCCAACGCCCTCCGGGGCCACAGACGCCACCAAAGCAGCCCTTGACATTAGACACCAATAACCAATACCCATCATTTTCATCAAAGAGTTGCATCTATTTTATTATTTTGCACCCTTTTCGCCCGTATGAATCGGAATTTGTAACTCAAATATTATAGCTGTTTCAATACTTTAAGAAAGCTAAATTTCTAGCCTGCTTAGGTTCTCAAGCATAATTCTAGATCATCCCAGTCCTCACTTCACATAGGTTGGTTTGAAGTGCCAAGTTTATGGGCAGCGAAGAAGCGGATGCATACCGGAGGATTATACTAGGAGTTTCTATATATGTGCTGCTTCAATGTTGTTCAAGGGGCGTGTCGTATCCGTGTTTTAAGCTTCGAGCACCAAATATAACCCTCGATTTGCTCCGATTGCCTCATTGGCATACTACATAGTTGGTAGTATGTATGTAGTTGCACTATCTATATTATATTTCGAATTTATCCGTGAATAGCCGGTCCACCCGTGGACGGGTAGGCTGCCCAGGTGGAGGTCCATCGGCCCGATTACTCATCAGATAAGATGGCTTCGGGGATCCATTGGATCACCGTCATGCGGGGAAACTGCTCGCTCTCCAATCCTCCTCCATCCTTTACTTTGTGACTTTAAAGCCCTCTATCCGCCTCCCATAATATCCCTGTGATTTACTGGCGCCCAGCAATGCTGTGGCGGCATTTACAGCGTCGCGTCCCGGCCACCTTGGCTCGTCGTGACATTGTCCGGTGTCGGCTTCCTCAATCGTACAGCTGGTCATCACGCCAACTATCTAGCTCCTCCACCACATTTCCGACATCGTCTCAATTCAACCGGTCAGAATTCACAAGTCAGCCTTTTACTGGTAGCTATGAAACTGGAGTTCCTACTTCCGGGCCATTGGGAGCAACCCCGGCCTTTGGCGCCCCCCGCATCACACCGAAAGTGTTAAAGCAGTATCTCGATCAATATGTCGTCGGTCAGGATCGTGCAAAGAAAGTGCTTAGTGTCGCCGTGTATAATCATTACCAGCGCGTGCAAGAGTTAATGCGCCGGGAGGAAGAAGCAGCCGAAGCCCTCGCGAAGCGTCAGCGGAGGGAAGCACTCGAGACTCATCCCTTAGACGGTATGTCACCTATTATTTTTTGATGCATCAGTCACTTTCTGATTTATTCTTCGATCCAACAGATGATATTACAGGTGTGCACAAGACTGTCGGCATACCTCAGCCCCCTAAACCCCGTTCAAACACCCCCTTGGAGCAACCCGATTTCGCCGATTCCTCGCCGTTACAGCTTGAAAAGTCCAATATCTTGCTACTTGGTCCATCTGGTGTAGGAAAGACACTTATGGCAAAGACTCTTGCTCGGGTGCTTTCTGTGCCTTTCAGTATTTCCGACTGCACCGTGTTCACCCAAGCCGGTTACATTGGAGAGGACGCAGAAGTGTGTGTTCATCGACTTTTGGCAGCTGCAGACTACAACGTGGAGCGAGCAGAGCATGGAATTATTGTGCTTGATGAGGTTGACAAGATTGCAGCCGCGAAGGTTAGTCATGGCAAAGATGTCGGTGGCGAAGGAGTACAGCAGGCGCTTCTCAAGATCATTGAAGGTACAACCGTGCAAGTCCAGGCCAAGCCAGAGAAGAATCCCCGCGCAACTAGTGCCCCGAATAGCTATCCCTCCAACAGTCCCTTGGGGAACGGGTCATTTCAACCGAACAACCCCAACCCAGCCGCCAAGGGAGAAGTGTACAATGTGCGCACGGACAACATTTTGTTTGTGTTCTCTGGCGCTTTCGTTGGACTTCAGAAATCTATAATGGATCGAGTATCCCGTGGGTCTATAGGGTTTGGTCAACCAGTTCGGGCCCCATCCAATACTAGCAGTTTCCCTGGCTCGCCAAATATCTCTACCAACCAGCCACTTCCAATCCTCCCAGGGTCTGAGGAAGAAGCGCTATATAAGAAGCACCTCCCCTTCTTCTCCTCTATCTCGCCAGCTGGTTCTGGCGCCGAGCCAACATATTTCAACGCACTCGACCTCTTAACACCTTCAGACTTGCAAAGTTATGGCTTCATACCAGAGCTCATCGGCAGGATTCCCGTCACTGCTGCTCTCTCCGCACTGTCTCAGCCCTTACTTATGCGCATCCTAACTGAACCCCGCAACTCCCTTTTAGCCCAATACACGACCCTATTTTCGCTCTCGGGTATTGAGTTGCGCTTCACCACACCCGCACTCCACAAAATCGCCGGAAATGCCTTCACAATGGGTACCGGCGCACGCGCGCTGCGCACTGAGATGGAGACTATTCTCAGTGATGCCATGTTCGAAGCGCCCGGCTCGAGCGTGAAATTTGTCCTTGTGACTGAGGCTGTGGCTGAGCGCAAGGATCAGCCCATCTACCTTGCCCGTGGACAGGGCGGGCGCTTCCAGGCTATGATTTCCGCCGAGGAAAGTCAATGGGAAGCAAAGACTCGCGGGGAAAAGAAGAGCCAGAACCAAAAGACTAACACGCAAGATGATGCGGATGGCTCCAATGCGTCGAACTTCCAGTACCGGAATCAAGCGGCTGGTTAAGTGTAAATAAATGGTATGCTTTCATGTTAACCCTGGCAATTATTCATGTCTTTCTGGGTGTTCTTTGTATTCCAGTTACATTAGCGGCAATCGGCGTACGGTTTAGCAAAGCTATACTTTTGGAAATTCTGAACGTTCGTATGATAGATATTCCATTACTGATCCAGCGTTGGATCTCAATTTTGAATGCAATTGGACAAAATACATAACATACATGGCTATAGATTACCTACGTAGGTAGACTTTCACGGGGGTTTGATTCATTTCATGGCCTCATAATTTCTAGACATATTACATACAAAAACAAATCGACCGGGGTATCATAAAAGATTGTGCAAAAAGAGCAAGAGATATGCGAGAAGAATCATGCGTATGTGCAGCGTAACGTGCTGTGATCGGAACTTTGTAAGGATCACTTGTAGGGAGCAGGGTACTTATTCTTGTCGTTGCTGTTTGGGCTGCCGGGGAAGGTAGCTTGGATAGAGGCGTTGGAGTTGTGAGATGTCCAATTAGGAGTCTGGGGGGTGGTCGCGCTCATCGGGGTAACTACTTGGCCGGTAGAAGCCCGTGGCTTATGACTACTTGGCCCTAACAGGTAGGCCATAATCCCCCCCGTGTCCACTTTGAACCGTTTGAAGAAATGGTCGAAACCACCTCGCATGACAGTCATATGACCCCATTTGTCCCATCGTGCCCCAGCGGGAGCAATGAGAGATGTGACGGCGACGAAGTTCCGGAAATGTGGAATGTTAATTAATGACCACCCTGCAAAGAATTCGATCAGATGATCTGCATCACGTTCAACTTTGTCCTTGATTTTGAGGTTGTGGTGCTCTGTGCGAGTACCGTATTCATCAAGAAAGGGTGTTATGACACTGCTTTTCGAGTTGGGATGTAGACTGGCTTTATCGAACAAGGCTGTACGAGGGTCTGAGACGTTATTCTTTATGATCAACGTGTGGATGAGCAACAGGCTACATGTAGATAGGTTCGTTAGAAGCTTGACCCAAATAATGGTAAAGAGGTATGACGTACAGTCCATGATCCTGAGAGTGATTTTCATCATCGAGCCTGCATTCGATCCATTCAAGTATCCTGGGGGACAACATCAACGTCCAAGATTTGCGTTTGCGCCTGTTTGCATTCCGAAGCCATTGGAGCGTGACGGCCACCCCTTTTAGGTCTGTCAATACGTCCTCGGTGAGAAGTATAACACCGCCATATGGAAAGATGCGTAGATGGTGGGCATTCGGTGAGCAATAACAGGGATCAACTAATTCTAGTGGTCTGACAATGCGAACAATCCATAAATTGAACGAATTGCTAGGAAGAAAAGAATTGAGTGGAGGCTGCAACGTATCGTATGCGGCGAATGATTCGTGAAACTATTGTTGGTTAGTCATTTGGCAATTGGGAACGTGTAAATATCGATCACATACTATCGCCACTCCCTGTCTGCTGTTTTGAACAAATTTTGCCCAATCTCCGGGGCTGTCGCTTGTGAGAACAATCATTTCATGGAATTTCAGGTATCCATGCAGAAGCTGCAATTCATCTTGTATTTCTTGATTGCCCGAGGGAAAGTGCAAATAGAAAATACCTGCCTTTGAAAGCTTCCCACCTTCCTCGATTGTCGCAAGTTCTTCCACATTGATTTTGATGGTTTTCATGAACTCTTCAACCGCTTGGAGGCCTGCCTGATCTGCTTGAACCGCGAGGTTATCTTGGGGTAGGGGGTTAGCGTAAATTGAATCATCTCTGGGTTCATTTGCGACTGAAAGGTTTTGGGCCGGCGCTAACGCTGGCCTTTCCCGCGATTGCAAGGACCCAATTGTCATCATACTTTGATGGGAGTTCGACCGTCTTAGGGAACTGCTAGACTCTATGCCATCATCTGAACTAGGCGGATCGATGCGCAGTGGAAGTGCTATATCTCGCAAAGGGCCACGAGGGCGTCCACTAGGCTGGCTAGGTCCACTTGCCCCTAGAACTTCGATCGGTGCGAGCATAGTGCGAACAGCAATAAGTAGAGGAACGCCGGGTGGTACTTCATGATCAGAAGGTGGGAACTTAAACTCCTGTGATCCACGTGACCAGGCAACCCAAACAGTTCCTGGTCCATATGTTTGCCCCAGAGGATAGTGAATGGCGATGAGGTCATCCTTTCGCAGATCCTCTGCCAGATGGAACAGATTTTCGTTGGTCTCGCTGAAGCCCTCGACCCAGCCGGTACTCAGTACTTTATTTGTCGGCTATAGCCAATGTTAGCTTTCTATAAGAGACAAATATACGGATATGATACTGACACTGGATTCGCATAATCGTTCGTACTCTCTGACAGTGCACATGCTCTTAAACCAAACCTCAACTTGGTGTGTTTTCGGGTTCTTGGCCAAGAGCAGAGATTGGTGGAGATGAAAACGAATGTCGCATAATCTGAAAGCACCGAGAAATCTCTTGTCGTGTCCGATATACATGTGGACAAGAATCTCTCCTAGGGTTTTGCTGCGCCAGTATTTACCAATCCTCGTGCAACCGGGCGTCCAAACATCACGCACTGGCATTCTTGCAATTTGAGCCGCGATGGAAAGGCTAGGTTGATCAGATGCTCCAGCTCTGGGTTCGATAGGAGCAAATGGTTGAGCTTTGGCTAATGTGTTTTCATGCATCCCAATCGAGTCTGAAGATTTTGACACAAGCCGAGAATGGCTCGGAGATGGGCTACGACGCGCGTAACCAACCCCAATCTCATGGAAAGAAGACCTTGGCAGTCGACTGGGGGGCGGTGACCGATGGGGGAGCTCTGATAGTCGACGCGGGGGCGATAACCTTCGAGAGGGTGACGAACCTTGATAAGGTGATGACTGTCGGGGTGAAAATGACCGTCGACGTGGAGATGACCGTCGAGATGGTGATGATCGTCGAGAGGGTGATGGCCGTCGATAGGGTGGTGACCGTCGATAGGGTGGTGACCGTCGGGGTGAAAATGATCGTCGACGTGGAGATGACCGTCGAGATGGTGATGATCGTCGAGAGGGTGATGGCCGTCGATAGGGTGGTGACCGTCGGGGTGAAAATGATCGTCGACGTGGAGATGACCGTCGAGATGGTGATGATCGTCGAGAGGGTGATGGCCATCGAGAGGGTGATTGCCGACGAGAGAGCTCTGATGGTCGGTAAGTATCCCAACGTCGAACTGTTTCGCGGCTGTCCTGCGACACTCGTTTCTCAGTCGGCCTCTCGGGACTGACCATTGCGCGTGGGTTGGTTGGAATTACTGGCGAGAGAGCAGTAAAGTTAGAGCCCAGGAGTTCAGCAGGTTTCATTGAAGTAGCATCCGCACGAGTTCCCGAGAGCACGACTGGAGGGAAGGCCGAGCTAGTAGAGGCTGAAAAACCGACGACCCTGTCGATACTGGCATGTGATGGGGGGTGGGGACGAGGAGCTGGTGAGGGCGCAGTAGCGCTAGATGTTGACTGCTCAGCAAGATTTATCAAAGGAGCATCCCCTAGCGGCGAGGAAGTAGAGACAAGAGGATCCATAGAATCGGCAGGCTGGGCGAGTTTGGCCTGTGGGAGGGGCTTTGATGGGATAGCTAGTGAAGAAATGGAGATAGTGGAATTTACGGGGCCAACCGGTCTCTCTAGACTCAGCGATGCACTAGGGGCAGGCAACACAGCTGACGAGGAAACCAACGTAGTGGGGCCCATGTTCGAAGATCGAGACACTGGAGGAGCCATGACTGATGAGGGCGCGAGAACAACAGGTATATTTGGCTGGTTTGCAGCTTTATCGCTCACTTGGCCGGTATGTGGCTTTAGTAGACCGGGTAAGCTGACTGAATTATCAGAAGCAGGTTGGACTTCAGAGGCTTTGGGACTTGATAGAGATGAGCCCACGGCTAATATGGCGGAGCCTATGTTCATCCTTGGTGCGAACTCAGAAGGCTTCATCAGCTCCATCTGTGACAAATCCGGTGCTCTTTCGCCCCATTTCTTATCGCGGTATGGGCGCTTGGCCCCCGGCCCTGTACCAAAAGAAGACAATACTGACTTTGCTGCTTGTGGGGGAGTTTTCTGGCGCGCCGGGGTCTTATGCTTAGTAGTAATATTCTTTGCGAGGCGAGCAAGCCGCGATTTAAGAGGCTGATTTGAGGTTGTTTGCGTTTGTGCAATCGAAGTCGTTGGTCCTGGCTTGTTTCGAGTTGCTTGCGCACTGCGCATAGCTGATCTCAGTGGTGCTGTTTGTTGTTGCGATTGGCGAGACGCCACCGGTTTTGATGGCGGTGGAGTTTCAGCTGGGACAAATAATGCCGAAGCGGTGGAATCGACGGATAGACGACTGGCACTGTGGGATGCAATACCTGATTCGGGCTCATGGGTATCTGCGATTTCGGGATTGGCCAGTCGAGATGACCCAGCCTGAGGGAGGCTTTTCTGCCGTGCCCTTTGTTCTCGTTTGCGCCTTCGGTCTTCTTTTCGCTTTTTTGTCTTCTTCTCCACCAAAGCCTTGTGCTTCTCCCATGATTTGAGATCGAAGCACTCCACCTTGCCCTGGGCGATTTGCTGCTTCTTCTCTTCCCAGCCATTTAAGGTCTCTTCCGAAGTAAACATTTCCTTTGGCTCCCAACTGCACCTGTCCATACTGTACCCAGCCCATTCAACCAAATACTGAGTGATAAAGATACCTTCATCATCCTCAGAATCCGGTTCTATGTAGAACCTCCGTTCCGCATGAATGTCAGTCACGAGATACTCAGCTTCCTCTTCACTTTCTGCGGTAGATGCCAGAGAGTCGGCATCACCAACTCCAATTCGATCAGAGGCATTGCTCATTTCAGAATCGGATGCCATTGTAGTAGCCTGGTAAGTTAACTCAACTAATGCTTCATTGTGCAGCATCCAATGCCATATGCCGAAGATTCAAACAAGATACCGCTCGAATTGGATATTTATTGCGGGGCGTCGGGGATATCAAGATAGAGTGCCTGCCTACCGTATTTCATATTCATTGAACGGAAACCAAAGCATGTGCATAATAGCAAAAGCAAAAGCGAGGCGAGCAAGAACAAGAACAAGAAAGTTGATGGTTACTGCCCATCGATAAAGATACCGCCTGCGCGCCAAACGCCAACGCACGTGACTCGCACGCTAAGCCACAATTGGGTGGGCATGATTAAGGGGAGACACTCGGCCCAGGCATCACTGACTATCCCCTGTTGATACTCTATTACTTCCCGTGCGTGCGCTCCCCTGGTTTCCTTTCTGCCTACTGCGAGCTCAGTACTGACATATCTCGCTTTTACCCTTTGAAGTTTCCAAGTAAACACCTCAGTCTTCACTTATCCGCCACGTTTACCCGTACTTTGATACCATCTTTTGAGCTTTACTAGCTCGATCACATTCAAAATGGCCAACGACGAATATGACGTGAGTTGATTTAGGACGAAAAACCCCTCCATGGCTCGGAATTATATACTGATGATGATATCCCTCACAGTTTCTCTTCAAAGGTAACGTCGCCACCTTATGCTGATGCCCGCCCTTCCCTTGTGCCCCTCTCAAAAGACCCCGAGACTGACAGAAGAGATGTTGTGGAGTGAATAGTGGTGCTTATTGGAGACTCTGGTGTTGGTAAATCTAACCTCTTGAGTCGTTTCACCCGTAACGAATTCAACCTGGACTCGAAGTCAACGATCGGTGTGGAGTTCGCGACCCGGTCCATTCAAGTCGACTCGAAGACAATCAAGGCACAGATTTGGGATACCGCTGGCCAGGAGCGTTACCGTGCGATTACTTCTGCCTACTACCGTGGCGCTGTCGGTGCCCTACTCGTTTACGATATCAGCAAGCACCAGACCTACGAGAATGTCAACCGCTGGTTGAAGGAGCTACGGGATCACGCCGATTCAAACATCGTCATCATGCTTGTTGGCAACAAGAGCGATTTGCGCCACCTGCGTGCGGTCCCCACAGAGGAGGCTAAGCAGTTTGCCAGTGCGTTTCCCAATAATCAATTTATTTGTGTGGCGCTGACATTCAGTAGGCGAGAACAACCTTTCATTCATCGAGACCTCCGCTCTTGATGCCAGCAACGTTGAACTGGCGTTCCAGAACATCCTTACAGGTTTGTTGTCGATCCCTTGAAATTTGGTATAGAATGCTAATTTCGATAGAAATCTACCGCATTGTTTCCAGCAAGGCTCTCGACTCCGGAGAGGGTGGCCAGCAGGTCCTCGACCGCCGTCCCGTTATCGACCCCAGCAAGCAAGATAGCGAGCAGAAGCAGGGCTGCTGCTAGATTATCCTTCGTGAGAACGATGCACCCACTGCCATGACTCTTCTTTTGCGATATGACATTTGAGATGGTCTTGTTCTGTGTTGGAGTCTGAAATTCGACGGCTACAAAGATGTTACACAGGCGGGATCTGTTAGAGAAACCACATGGGAAGATAGGGGTCTACCGGGATTGATGTTACTGGCTGTCGAATTCCCCTTCTTCTATCTTTTTTTTCTTCTTCGTTTTTCCGTGGTCCTCAACGAAATTGATCCCCTTTTTTTTTTCTTCTGTTCCAACTGGTGTGCTTGATATGTTTCCACGATGATGAACACAGCTTGGTTGGGCGTCTAACATTGCGGTTGCATGGCTTTTGTATGAAAATTCTCAAAATCGTATATTCATTTCACCCCTTTTAGTACTCCGTACATATGTATGTAGCATTGTACAATTGTAGATGTCAAGGGGACCGTGTCGATATTAAATGCCTCAAGGGATCCACGTGCTCCACAGGGCAATTTATTTCTCCCCGCCAGGCTTTTATAGTGCCGTATTCATAATCAGCGCTTATGTCCACGGAACCATGTGAAATTGCAGAGAGAAATTCAACTCTATAGGTATTTCGATAAATTCAGAAGATTAAGAAGCAGGAATCTAGTTTAATACAATGCCCATGTCACGAAGAGCCACTGCAGATCGAATTTCCCCTACCTCGAGACCACGTTCATTCATCACATATTCCAACGTATCACCAAACGTTTCGCCGTTGTTGCGGAACCATTCCCCTAGAGACCATACATACTCCTCTACCTGTTCCTTCAGAAGAGCATGGTCGCGCAACCATAATATCTGACCAGGATCAAGCTTCAGCATGTCCTGTATGATATAGTAATGTGGGATCTCATCACCCCAGCCTTCATACCCTGGGTCATGCGAGAGGTCATTGCGAAACCGAGACCGAAATTTGGCTGGCGACTCGGCATAATTACTTGGGTGAGCCGTGTGAAAGTAGTGCTGAATCGAGTAATCAGGGCCTTTATAAAGCAAGGGATGATCGTGAGAAGATAGAGAAGTAGTTGAAAGCGAAGGATAATTGAGGTGAATATTGAACGAGAGTTGCTGGCTGTTGTCTGGATAACGCTTGCGGAATTTGCGTTGAATAGTTCCATTACTAGGACATATGTGATTCTGGACAATATCACCCATGACGATGCGCAGATCCTCAATTTCAGCCAGCTCTTGGGTGGACCAGTTGTGCAATAACTGAGCGCGCTCCAGCACCACATGGCGAAGACTACGAGAATCGCGATCATAAACACGAGAATGGAATGCACTGTGATACAGCCATAGCCGGTATACCGCACGGCGCAGCCGAAATCGCTCCTCATCAATGAGCGAGCGACGATTCTCAAAGTCTACCTTCCACTTCTTGGATGGGTAAATCGTCTCCCATCTCCGAGCCACCTGGCCGAGCTGGATGACTTGTTTCAGAAGGGAATCAGACATGGGCGCATAGCGGATAAGATGAGCAGGCTGGCTCTCATTTTGCGTCATCACTTGAATGACATCGTGGAGGGGACCAAATTCGGTCTCTGCAGCACTAACTAGGATATCCAGTTTGCTTGTTGAGTTGAGGACGTGGTACAGTCGACGGCAGATGACTGATAAATTTAAGACATCAGAGACTGAATCGCATGAACGAAATATATGGAGCAGAAGCTCCGTTGCAAGATAATCAATTGGCATGGTAGAGATGTCTAAATTGTTGCTGTAGATAATAAGACCATTAGAATGACTCATAAAGTGTCAATAAGCAATAATTTACCTGATGAGAGGTCGGTATCTTTATCAGATAAGTTGAAAGAAAAAAGACGGTCAAATTTCGAGGATTTAAGTATGAAGCAAGTTGGACAGTGTTGTCACGAGTTGAAGCAATCAACACTTGTCGCGCGCAGAGTGGGCCTATTAGATATGGACCCCGCCGTTGGGGCTAACAGAAGGAAGAGAGAGCGTGGAATGAAGAGTAAACATATTGGAAGAGCAGCCTGCTTGTAGCCATGTAGGGCTAGCTAGCAACAATGATGCCATGATAGATGCTATCCGGGGGCAAAGACGGACGTGGGTTGGGGCGATGGCGTCGAGGGCTTTTATATGGTGCTTAGATAATGTTGCCCCTTGCGTCCATGAAGTCCAACCAACATGCCTTCCAGTTATTTTGAGGACAAAGCCCTCGAGATCGCAATGAAACAGGCAAAAGCAAGGACCAAATAGAAATAATCAACTTTTGAAATTAACCAGGATGAGACTTTGCCCCGACGCCTAAAGAGACCATATGAAAGCGTCGCATCAAATATACACATGTAGTCGAAACATCATCCCGAGGGATATCAAGTCTAGAAATAGCACGACGAAACAAAAACGCAAACCCCCTATGCAAACAGCTTCCTTGTGTCCAATGCATCCACCTTCCGCACAGAGTTCTCAGACAGTCCAAGATCGGAGCGCTTGGCCACCCGATCAGTCTGGCCGTCTCGGCGCTGGGAGTAACGGCCAGCCTTACCCTGTCGGATGTCGCTACGGACTTGGTTGGGGCTGACATACTCCTTGTTCTCGTAGATGACGGGTCCACCAAAGCTGCCTTCGAGGATGACAATGGGGGTCAAAACGAAGCGGGGGCCAATCTCGACCAGAGAAACCTCGGGCAGGGAGGCGTCCTTGCCCTTAGGTACCGGCTTGATAGTCTCCTCGCCATCCTTCTTCTTGCCAGGCTCAGACTCGCGAATCTCATAGACGCGAATCCAGATCTTGCCGTCCACTCCAAAGATACCGATGATGCGGTCGACGAATGGCTTCATGCCTCTGACACCACGCTTGGGCACACAGAAAACTCCGCGCAACATCTCCCGAACGAGCGCACGGTATTCGCTACCAGGAGCGCCCATATCCGGACCTTGCTCATCGAAGGAGCGATCGAACACGACCAAGCCACGACCGCCCTTCAGACAATTCCCTGCGAATCCAGCGCCGAGCTCGCCCATTGTGTGCAAGTTGTTGAGGTGGAACTTAATAGTAGGACCATTAGGGGGGCGTGAAAGCCAGAGATAAAGATCCTGGCCGTTCTTCTTGGCCTCGAGGAAGAAGATAACGTTGCACGAATGCAGGTCGGCAAGAGAGTTCAGGAGGAGGTTGTATCCGGCGGCCTTCTTCTTTGTGTCGAGCTTAGTCTCTTTGTAGGTATGGGGGAGGAGGCCGCAGATATCGGACATCAAGTGTCGGTGGCTGGAGAAGAACAAATTGTCACAGATCAGTAAACCCGTTCAGCATACCTCTCAAGGTGCAATATTCATACCGGTAGGAAGCACCTCTAGAGGTCAAGATAAGTACTCGGGTCTTAGGCATGAATCCAGAAGCAAGCTGCTTCTTCACAACCTCAGCCGCCTCGCCATCATCGGACTCTTCTTCTTCGCTATCAGTAGTGTCGTCTTCCGCGTCGAGGAGCTCCTCCATCTCGATGTCTTCGTCGGACATATCCTCAGTGGGCTGTCTAGCAGCCTTCTTTGAGACGCTCTTGTAAACTGATGCCATGGTGACTGTTGATTGTGTCAAAAAATGGAATTGAAATTAATCGTGCAAAAGAAGGCCGAGATCAAAAAGTTGATGGCAGAATATTTTTTGTTTCCCACCGCCCTGAACCTTGCTATATCACGTGTCAGGTGGGCTGGCTACCAATTTGTTTTGCTGTCATTTACCGCCCTATTTTCCTGTCAAACATTCAAATGTGATTCCATAGATGTCACTGTTTTACGCCTTGCTTGATGATTTTGAAAAATATGATCTACCTAGTTATACATTCCGTATCACATAACAGATTATGATTTATCTGCCCAATGTTACTCTAAAAAGTACATATGTACTCCGTAGACTAAACTTCAATGGAAAAAGTCTCGTATTTTATCAAAATATATATTTTTTTCATTCCACTTATGTCATTTATATTGTTCGAATTAATCTGAGAACAGAGCATTAAACTATTTTAAATTATGGCCATTTTGATTTCAGAAGGCCAAATCTCGAAGCACAAGTACCATAAATACCAACCTGGTATATTTTCACCGTGACTTGGACCATTTGGAGATTTGATGGAATTTGGTCGAGTAAGGGCGGGTCAATATGATGGAAAGCTCAACGCTCTTTGCAGGTTTGCAAAGCCCTCCTGAGTGACCTTCAAGCCAGCAATGAGATTTGCGAATTCTAATCTCTTTTGGAAATCCCAATCCTGACCCCGATAGACAAGACCGTATAGCAGGCCAGCATTAAATGTATCTCCAGCTCCGATAGTGCTATAGACTATCAGTATGGCCTAATTCATGCTGAAGTACATCGAAAAAATCAAAGCTTACTCTATGACTCCTAGTTCTTCAGTATGTGCCGGAACATGAGCAAAGTTGCCAGTCTTTGGTTCAAGTCCTGCAGCCCCGTCATGACCCCAAGTACAGCACAGCAAGGATCTGGAAGGATATATTAGGTATTTCTCTGGGGACTGGACAGTAAAACCTACGCTCGGCTTGTCTTCAATGACTGATCCCGCAAGCAATCCTCAGCGCACATATATCCGTTGTTCTGCTCAGCCATTAGATGTGCTTGGAAAAAGTCAAGAATAAATACTCACCTGGGCCCATCCCTTCGAGTAGATAACAACGTCTGCTGCGTCTGCAAGCTCCTGTAAGCCTGGCCGACCTGGCTTTTCCACCTCCACACTGATTTCAGCCCCTGGAAAATGCTTCCGGATGTAGTAAATACATTCTAATGTTACATCTGGCGCACGGCCCTGAGTTCAAGTTAGCATGATTCATAAACAGTTGAGCACCTAGCCAACATTTAACGTACCTCAAAATGAAACCAGGGTCGACTAGTTGCGGCACGTAGGGGCTCAACAGCGGTTGCGAACTCACTTTGAGTCATTTCGGGCAGCTCGTTGTAATTGACGATCGTCCTACTACCGGTAGCCTGGCTCGAAATGATGTAACTAGAAGCTGGCTCACTGAATATCTCTCGATAAATGCAACTATCTAGCCGCACACTATCCCCTAAGCTTGATTTGATTTGCTGAGATGCCACTGATGTTTTAGAGGGAAGAACGGTAATCAGATTCAAGGATGACTCGGCACTCGACGGCCCATGTTCTAACAATTGCCCCAGAATTTCGAGAGTGTTAGGGCAATTCCCACCGCGCCGGCGACTGATCCTGGATGCACGAAGTTTCTCATCCTCGCCTGGGTAATGGGGGGCTCTGACCAAAGCATGTGAATACTAGACTTCTCCAAACGCAACTTCGAAATACGGCAGAAAAAACTCACGTTAAAATTGTGTCAAGATAGCACGCCCCTATAGCTATTAAAGTCATGACGATGACGTTGGCTAGAGTCTATCGCTTTCCGGAAGAAGAAGGAGTTAGAATTCCGATTGATCATCTATTTTAATCAGTGTGAGTGCATTTCCAACATTGAAGGTTAGGTCCATGGGGGTCCACGGGGTCCACGTCCACGGACGGGTGTGGGGATGAGTTAGTCAGCACGTCGTTTTGGGAAACCCCCACCCGGTGTCTCTGAACTTATCTTGCAACATACAATGTATGTTTCTCTTGGCATAAAATCATTTTGTAGTTTTGTAGTACCGCACAATGTCCACAATGAGCCATTCGATCTCTTCAATCGTCTGCAGCTATAGTGTAAAAGAACTAGTCTCATGCATTCAGTCTCTAGAATAGACTTCTAGTTATGTATCCTCTTATTACTGCTGAGAAGATTGTGTTACTATAGTCCCTCGATATGAGTCAAACTAGGGTAGTGTCTACCACGTGATCGTACATAGAGAGCACGTGCCTCCTGCGTACTTTATTACAACGACCTACCCAAGCATCCATCTATGTATTTGGCTTCATATGCTTTCTAAGAAGCTATAACGAAAGAAGGAATTTCTTTCTATCTCTTGATCAGAGTGTAATTACCAAATTCATTGACCTATCTCGTGTAAAGCATAGGTATAAAGAAGAAGACGGGATCCTGCAGGATCAAATTGGAGTTGAATAATGCAAACTAAACTACATTGATAGACCCTTACCAGAAGGCATGGAATTCGCACACATCTTATTGTCTCTTACATTTGAAAAGTACAAAGCAAGCATTGATGTGGCTAGCAAACATTTTGAATATCCCAATGATTTTTCTTTTGATTTTATACCAGTTATATAGCTGATCTAAACGGTTCATGAATCCTTCTAGTGTCCTCACAACTTCATTTTTACCATCTAGTTTCTGAGGCCATTTATTCAGCTATGAGTCCGCGGAACAAAGTCTTAGAGACTGATACTCCTACTGCAAAATTCCTCTACACAATCATCAAGCAATTGGACCTGAAGTCGGTCAGTTTATTGCCCAACTAGTGACTGAAGGTTGATCTAATCTTACTTAAACATGCTAGGTTGATTGGAATCGGGTCGCCTCTGATGTCGAAGTCTCTAATGGTCACGCCGCTCGTATGCGCTATTCCCGCTTCCGACAACAGATGGAAGGCAACACAGGGGCAAACAAGCCAAAGCGGAAGACTAAGAAGGGAAAGACTATAGAGCCTCCGACCGAAATGCAAGGCATATCCCCAATGGCTCCACCGCTCATGATGCCTACCATCGAATCGATTGATTCTTCACTTCCAGGAAATCCCTTTGTAAAGTGCGAGCCGGGCACTCAAGGCAATGCAAACATACAAAGCCTTATGCAACATTCTCCGCAGTTGATGCTGGAGGCTAGTACCGAAGGACAGTATTACTTTCCACAGGATTTTGCTTCGATGCAGTTCCAGCTGGCATCAAGTATACCATCCCGGATATCATCACCCAGTCCGGCAACATCATCATCCTTCATGAATCCGTACCAGTTCCAGACTGCGCCAACCGGGTACCCTTATTCATCGCCCAGCATCCAATCCGGCTTCGACTTGCGGGAGTTTGAGCAACTGAACCCTTTCGCCAATTATGCCCCAACTATCACTTGGGAACCACGCCCCCCTTCTCGCCAGGAAGGCCCGGGCGTAAAGATCGAAGAAGAAAAACAGAGCGAGGAGAAGATATCGAGTGCAGAGAACCAGGAAGATCGGCCTGTTGTTGTCAAAGTTGAAAATATTGAAGATTGATAAGGCTTTGTTGGAGAGTAGAAGCACTCGTTCATATGTTCATTAGCTAGTACCTTGATATCACCATCAAATATGCTGATTTTGTCTCGGTGTTCTCTCTCACTTGTCAATGCCAAGGACGGTATGTTCAACCATCCTTAGAAGTATGGGAGGGATCCGATAATTATGCTTCATTTGGTGGCGGCGGCGTGAATTCATGGATCAATTTATGATAACGTCTTGAGTGAGGAAATAGAATATTTTCAAGAATATTAGCAATTGAAATTCTCTGCGCATAGCTAGCCGTAGACACTGACATGATAATCCTTCAATTCATGGGATATGTATAAAATGATTCGGTATTTGGCTGACTCCTGTCATCACGCTGTGAGTCTCGCTTTTGTTCTTTGCACAAAACTCTTGGAGGGCAAACTTGGACCTTTTTTGTCAAAGATATAAAGCAAGCTCCTATCGCCATGACAGCCCGCGAAGACGTTTGCAGAAGGAATACACTTTATAGATGCAGTAAGGCTGAGCCTGTATCTTTTTCACTGGGACCATTAGAATAATAGACTTGATTACGTCGAGGTAGACAAACGCAACAAACGTCTCTTGGAGCCTCTTGTTCCTTCTTTCTTTTCTTGTCTCTCTAGGCTACCCAAGATTTGCTCGATCTTTACAACCATCTACTCTTTAGAAGGAGCTTGAATACTTCCTTCTAACATCACTGATGCAATGCCTTCTTACAAGGATAACCCACCGGACCAGGAGTATCTAAATTCGATCAAGAAGCATACCGACAAGGGAACCAACAAGGTAAGATACATCGACAAGTTCGGTGAGACTTTGGCTTGAACCTAGGGTCGGCATACTAAAACTCGAGTCCCAGGTCAATCTTGCGCTCGTGGCCAAGGACTTCGACTATGCTAGTGGAAAGTCGTTTCAGAAGAAGTATGCAAAGCTGAAGAAAGTACACAAACTGACTAATGGCCACATCTATGGCGATGACAAGGCAAGCCAAGCCGACCTCTATCTATTTAAACAAGATTGAAACTAATTCACTGATCAGCTAGTAATATCTTCCACTGACGCGGCCCCCACTCAAGTGGCTCAGACTCCCCCGAAGGAAACCACTACATCCACCGAGAGCTTTATGGAGAAGTTAAACAGGCTTATTGAGGAGAATGAAAAAGAACAACAACAACAACAACAACGTCATGGCACTGTGGAGATCGGAGGAGGATAAGAAGAACCATCAAGCTTCATCTGTCAAATTCTCGGTGAAAAACATGTACAGTATGTGAGAAGTCTGCGGCTGACCTAGAGGATAGCAATCAAACAAAGTTTAATCAACCTGTTACAGTATAACTAGTTGCGTATAGCTATAAAGGTGCTTCATCTAACTGAAGAAAGTACTCTGTAAGTTGTTCCCACAGATTTATCCCAAGGATAGTCGACTTTGGGCATTATTTAAGTACATGCTTTGGTTTCTGTGAGCCCTCGTCGCAGCTCCACCTATCCGTCCTCGCTGCGTTAATCTTGACCAACAAGTGTCGAAGTCCGATCCTCATTGTGCGCATCTAAATTAGAATTGCACACTGCTTTACTTTTGCAGCGCTTTGTATAGAAATGATCCCGAGGATATATGCCCTGCTTCTAATCTAATATGTGCTCTACTTCAACGCTAGATATTTTTTGTGCGTGGACGCATCACCAAGAGCGTTGGAAGCGCAACGTGGAATTAGCTAGTCGAAATATCACTAAGCTCTGATGTGAATAATCGAAATTTCTAATGTATTGGATTGCTAACTATGTAGATAGCACTCAACTCAGGAAACACTAGAGACTGAGAACTAAAGGGGACTCAAAGAAGATGCTTGTCTCCACTCCCTAAGAAAAGGTAGGTCTGGGCTCGATGTGTAAACAAACAAGACATCAAGGCCGCAGATAGGGACGAGGACAGTAAATCAAGCTCCACAGTGTATCTTTCCTAGGCGATAGTATCATTTGGGTCTTCGACAATGACGATGGGGCCAATCTCCTCGGCGGTGACGGACTGCCAGGAAGGGTCTCCGGGGATTTCAGGATACTTGTCAGAGCGGTCAAATTCTTTGGCATTCTTCACAATGCTGAAATAGTACTTCCTGCTGCTGGTTGTCAATAATTGCAAAAAAAGAAACCCATGCCATGGACGGAGAGCTTACGCCGCGTCGGGGCTCATATTCATGCCAATATCGAGCGAGACATTGTCCCAATTGATCTGTAATAACCAGTAATATTAGCAGGTAATATTGTAATGCAAGGGTCGTGAATCTGGGAGCGCTGTGCGACACCAAGTTTAAAATTGGCTGTTACGTACCTTTCCCTTCTGAGAATTTTCTACACAGGTCAGAAGGAAGGCGATGGCCTGCTCCTCGGGCGTATTGACAGAACTCATTCTGGTACAGTGTCGAAGTTTGAGTCGGACTTTGTTCGATGTAGTGAAGCACGTGGCAGTCGAAGTTGGATAGTTCGGATGTGAGAGGAGCGATGGAGGCAAGGACCTTCAGTTATCTTTAGATAGTCCTTCAACGCGTTTCGCTTGATATGCTCTCAACCAGCAGATATTGATTCCTGCTTGAGAACATCACTCATTTTGCCTACGCCTTTAGCTAATAAGGAAAATATTAACTAGCAGTGATGAAAGTACCTTGATTGATCTGCCCTTCATATAATTTGCAAGAAAACTTTGATATGTTTATATTTTCTAGAAGAATAGTCAACATAAAGAAGTTAAAAACGTTCATACCAAAGGAGTCAAAGTTCTTATGTACATATAGATCTTAATGCGACATGCCCACATTATCCATGGGCTATCAGTGCAAAATAATCCCAAACCAGCCTCAACATAGGGGTAGATATTGATGAATTTCATTCATAATGGTGCAAGCAAACAGTAGGATTGAAGTTAACAAAGGGGTATCCTATCGAATAAACAAGAAAAATACCCGCAAGCTGCATATCACAGATGGGTAGAAACAGGATGCTCAGATCTTGATATGAATCTAAGAGAAATATTCGGTTGACAAGCGTTATAGTATGTCTGCCATGACAGATTCCACGATCTTTCGCTTGTATTGCGATAAAGCCTGGTCCTTCTTCTGCATCTGAGCACGGAGTCTTGTGTAACGCTGCTTCCATGTTGCCTCGGAAACAGGCTGGCTGGGATCGTCATCATCAAAATCCAGATCCACCGTCTTATTGTTGTCAATATTTTCATGACTCGGACCTATAGTCGAGCTTGCGTGGTCAGACATAATAGTCCCCCCCACACTGGGATTGACATTTGCAAGTGTGATTTGGATCGAGAACTGGCTTGAAGTTTTGTATTCGTGGGAGATTGTATAATGAGCCCCATTGAACGATTCTTTAGAGGCAGGAGCACTCCTATTTCCATCACTGCTTGGGACGGCACGTTCAACCTTGACAACCAGTGGCCCTGGGGTAGCGCCTGTGAATCCAAAATGATGACCAACGCCAAGATGGAAGGCCAGCAGTAGTGAAGGAGTGCCAAGTCGGAATTGTGAATATAGTGAAGACAAATTGATCACCACCGCTGAGGCCAGCGCACCCGCCTCGTTGGGAGCGAGAGTCCCCGTCCGCCCTATCAACTTAGCACGAAGAAGGTCTGCAGAAAGTGCATGAACCATGTCATCCATGGAGGGATTCTGGGTAGTGATCGTATTGCTTTGCCCACTGGCGGGAGGTGCTTGAGTAGTGATACCATTCTTTGGGGTATCTGTGACGGGATAGTTTCTGGAACTATTGGGCCCTTCAGAGCCGGGAATGACAGCACCATTCACACCGTTAACTAATAGTCTCGGTGGGGTGGCAAGTCGAACTGGCGCCCCTGAATGTTGAGGAACCTGCAACTGAAGTTTGTTGGGCCTCCCCTGAGAGATAGATGTTGGAGGTGTATTTTGAGATGGCGTCGGAGGTTGATTGTGAGATGGGGTCTGAAATATTTGGGGTGTATTTCTGTTAAGGGAAGGAGCTTGAGTATTAGGATTGGGTGCCTGTGATGATTCCCGACTAGGATTGACCTGGAAGGTAGAAAAGGAACCCGATGATGACCCTTTATTTGGTGGCCTCCCGCGGCCTTTCCCGGCTGACAAGCCGTTGCTGTTCGGCCAAGCAGATGAAACTGCAGGGCCATGTCGCCTCCTAGAACGGCTCTTTTCGCCAGTTGATGGAGTGACTGCCGACCGTGGCTCTGCAGACATGAGGACCTCTGATGGTAGATGACTGCGGGGAATGATAGCAGACTGTGGATAATTAGCAGGAGAGGCATCCCGTTCAGCGAGTCTCCAGCGTAAATCTTGATTTTGCTGATCTGGCCCTGAACCATTTGGAAATGAGGAGGTAGCCGATATCCAGGGGTCATTTTGTTCCATATCATCAGGAAATGCACTGAATGGAATCGCACTCTGTGGGAATGTCACCGAGTGGGACTGGAAACTACCCTGCTGTAGGGCGCCCACAGATGTATCCAACTGGGGCCGCTTGATCGTTTTGTCTTCTTCACTGTACCTGTCCTCGACCCTTTTCCTTCCCCGCTTTGGCTTCCATTGTGGAACAAGTGCCCTGAGTGCGAGATCTTCTTCCAATAATACCCCATCACGGGATTCACTGACGAAAGGGCCAGATGGCGGTAGCTGTGTATAGTAAGAATGAGGCAGTCCCATACAATATTCAAAGAAAGCATCAATATGCATAGCACGCATCCAACGCTGGGCGAGATTAGTACGATAGATATGGACTAGAAGTTTAGGAACAGACATACTTTGAGCCGAACAGTGTACTGCTGCACCTTCTGAGTGCTTTGCTTCTTTTCAATGCAGGGTGGTTCGACACCCAGTTCAATTGCTAGTTGAATCCATGTCTTCAACTCTTCATTCTGTAGCCGTCTTCGAATGAGCCCGAATAGGGTAAAGATGTTGAAGCTTTTCCCATCACTCCGTGGTAGACACCGGAAGGTCTTTCGCAGATCTGATGTGTCAACCGAGGATGGAACATTAGGATTGCAGTACAAGATAAATGAAACATATGCATCATCAATCGTCTCGTCAGTGATATCCCGTGATGGAAGAACTCGGGAATCTGCGTGATCAGCAGGATCTTTCATCGGCTGATGGCGATGAGGGTCAAAGACTGGCGGAGACATGGACGTCCCGGAGCGATTGGCCGATGATGGGGGTATAGCAGAACGCATGCCCCTTGGGGAAGACTGTAAGCTCCTGGGAGTTTCTCTTCGTTGCAAGGGAGGCGATTTGTTGATATCTATTTGGCTGCGAGCACTTCCTAAGGAGGAAGCACTCTGTAGCGTCGATTCCAAGGCTGGAGGATATCGCGCATATTGTTGAATGACCATTTGCGGTCCGCCGAGCTCACCTCGGTTGGGGCGATCGGTGGAGTCCATCATAACAGGAAATGATGTTTCCATCCGAAACTTGGGGATTCGAAGAGACAGGCCTCTATATTTAATTGTAAATAGAGCTAGGAAAGCGATGCAGGCAAACAATCATGCGGATCCTGGGTCGCATAGGCAAGTCGTCATTATCGTCAGATCAGGAACCGCGGCATATATGTAGGCTATCTTCAACACAAGATGTTCGGTGTATGGATACAAAGAAAAAGAGAAGGAAATTAGATTCTGAACAGCAATGCGCCGATGGTGTAGGGTTCCAGGAGATTTCCCCTCGAGGTGGCTGGAAGCGCCCATCTTTAAAGCTCAAGCTGAGAATCTATTTTGGGGTCATCTAGTGCTCCCCAATAAGGACTAGTGTTGTAGCCTGAGGGCGGGGTTCCTGCCTCGCTATCACGTGTGCGCTAGCCCTCAATAAGCTTAGCGTCAATTGGCACATTCCGAAGGTGTGTTATCGATAAGTTTGTAGTCTTGGCATTCTTGGTGTCTTCGACCTCATCCGTCAAGAAACCGGACTCACCCGGACTGTTGCAAGGGTCAATTTGAACAACTTTGATTGCCAAGCTATTGCATCTGCTAGCCAGTGATAATTTTTTTCTGCTCATATTGCTGCACGCGCGAGTTCGTGCGTACAATGTGGCTCGGGTCTCTGCTACCCACTCTCTTATCCTAGCGCGATCTTATCCGTCATGGCGCCCTCCAGTTCGCGCTCAAGGTCCACTCGCCCTATGCGGTCCAGCCGCACGAAGGTGCAAACTTATCACGAGGAAAGCTCATCTCAAGATGAATCAAGAGGTTTGCCCGTCTCAAGGCGTGCCTCATTATCTCTTCGTTCGCGCAGCACCACTCGAATGCCAAGATCCTATCGCGAAGATTCGACAGATGCTAGTTTCGATGGAGTGGTGGAAGACCAAGAGTCCGAAGGTATGGTAGCTGCACCGGTCGACGCACAAAACCCGGATACTGAATCTGTGCCTACTCGCCCTTCCAAACCCTCACGTCCTCGACATGCTACAACCACCTCGAAGCCAAAACAGACTAAACGATCGAAACCTAGCAGTCAAGTTGGGAGAGCCTTGCACAAACGTGCCAAGGTAGATGAGGATGACCCGATATTCCTGGGATCGGGTGTCATTCCTCCCTGGCAAACTCTTCCCTACCAAATCCTTCTTGACATTTTCCTGCGCGCATCGCATCCACTACTCGACGAAAGCCGTTCCACCCGTAATGACTCCGTCAAGTGGCTTGTCAATGTTGCTCTGTTGTGTCGAAGCTTCCATGAGCCTGCGCTGGCCGCACTCTATCACTGCCCCCTCTTCTTCTTCCTGCCTACAAGAGCCATGTACTTCTCTCTTTGTTGGCACGCCCACAAGGGTCCCTCTCCATGAACTATGCTAGCAAGATCAAGCAACTCCATGTTGAGGTTGAACCAGTGCTCATTTACAAAAGTGGACCCTATGGCTACTTTGACCTTGCTCAATTGATCGAAAAGACGCCTCGTTTACACACGGTACGACTGTATCACAAAGATGATTACACGGTCGGAATACCCCCGTGGCATATTGTTCAATCAAAGTGGACCTATCCAGATGCTGTTTTTTCCGCCATAGAGAGCCGTGGAATTACCCTTCGTAGCTGGGATTGGAACAGCCGCTTTTTAGAAACTGGTGATCTTGTGGAAAAAATGGTGAAAATGCACTCGCAGCAGGCCTTTCAAGGTCTTAAAGAGCTGAAGTTGCTCCACTTCGACAATCCCAACGAAGAAACATCTGCCGTCAAAGAGGCTGGCCTCCTTGAAGCCCTTGATATGCTTTCTGAGCTTGAGCGACTGCATTTCATTGAAAGCTCATTGGTTAGCGGGGAAATTCTGATCAATCTACCAAATACTCTCCGTTCACTTACTCTGAACAACTGTGATCGATTGTGGTCATCAGATCTTACAGCCTATCTATCTTCACATGGCACCAATCTCCGAGAGCTCAGTCTAAGCCACAATCGCCATCTAAACATGTCTTTCATCCAAACGTTGGGTCAGTACTGTGAAAATCTTGAAATTTTCAAAATGGACCTTTCTATGCATGATGCGTCCAGCTATCACGATGTCGAACCGCACTTTGAAGATCTGCTTGTCCAAACTGAAGTTCCTACATGGCCAGTGAAGCTCCAAGAGATCGAGCTCACTCAGTTACGCAAATGGGATGATGTTACTGCGGAAGTCTTTTTCACTTCGCTAGTGAATGCGGCACCCAAGCTTCGCGATCTACGTCGATTGGTCATCAGTGCAATTCTGAAGATTGGCTGGCGTGACCGTGCCACTTTTCGTGAGCGATGGATCGGCCTGCTCGAAAAGGTTTTCCTGCGACGAAGTACGCCACCAAACCCCAACTTCCGCTCCCTTCAAAAGCGCTTGCTCAAACCCACCATATCAATGACAATGGATGAACTTGGTGCTAGAGTTCGTGATCCATATCCACGACCCTCCACGGCTGATAGTGGACCGTCGACTTCCTCCAAACGCCAAAGCACTCGATTGGCACATCAAAAATCCAACGAAACTGACGATGCTGCTAGCGGTTCTTCGTTAGTGGGGACTCCGCAGCCCGAAACTGGAAAGAGACAGGGTATGTGCGATATTGTGAACATTCGGATCGACAACCAACGACCAACTGAGTTGCAATTCAACGAAAATGATTTTCTTGACGATGAACTCAGCGGCGACGAAGACTGGGATGGCAACGATGATGACTTCTAGCTAACCCCATCTAGCTAACCACGGGATGTTCAAGGTAACAAGTTATGACGAAGTCCCAGCAGAAGTGCCTCTTTGTATGTATAATCATGTCGTTTCTCGGGGGTCTACCATGCGTCTGGACGGCTATGTTCATTTTTCTTCTTATGCCGATATGTTTTCAGGATCTGGCGCTGGGTTGCTTATTCATGTGGGAGGGGGGATAAACAGGAGCTAATATTCCAAGGTTTGATATTGTATTACAATAATACTCCGTGATTTATGAGAAGAATAGCCGACCAATAATGCGGTCTCTGTCCTTGACGATATATGTATATTTGACCCAAGCTGATATTTGGGACGTTAAATGTAAGAACACTCCGACGCCGTTATAGACGACCTTTTAGATCACAAATTGTGCAGACGACCTTTCTATGTATGACGTTTGCCAACAATTTGGCTCAACATTCCATATTCCATGATTCTATTGCCTGATATGTATGTATCTTATGTATTTTATGTGCATATACAACTTGTTGACTCGGTCTGTGCACGGCGATCAAAGGCCAACCTTGCCCCACAAGATCTTCTTATCGGCCCTCGTTGAACTTTGCTTCTGTTTATCCCACATCTTTGCCCCGTGTATATTTGCGTTTTATCAGATCCAGAATTTGGATGTCTTGTGCTCTTCCTTTTGTTATTCTGACATCGGTTGGATCCTGTTAGGTCCGACATGGCGCCTGAGGCCCCTGCGGACACCGCAGGCCCGTCCTCCCCACCACCTCAACTTCCAGAAGGCTGGTAAGTCACCCTGGAAATCAAAGAAACTACCCGCTACCTAGATGTATTCTAACAATAATATCCGACAGGCTCGCTCAGTGGGAAGGTGTCCGACGAAAATGGTATTACGTACAGCGGACGACCGGAAAGTCGCAATGGGAGATTCCGACCGAACCAATCGTCCTGACCCCGTCAACAACACCGACGCCGAGCGGAGCAGGGCCATCGCAAGAGCCAACGTCGCATCCGACAAGCAACAGCACTCGAGGGATGGAGTCCGTGGATACAATCGCAGGCGGGACGTACTCTGCGGCGGACAGTGCGAGAATTTCCGTAGGGAATCGCGCTCATTATGTCTGCGTAAGCATTGCAAGAATGGCACTGATGGTGGGATAGAACTCCCTTGGCTCCCAGATATATGGGCAGTCGGACAATCCAATTTATGGGTCTTCCGGGGTACCGGGTTGGTATTCGAATCAGACGGGTCAACATCTGCCCGGCGGATATCAGCAGCAGCTTGCTGCAAACGCAGCTGGATATGGCCCGGTATGTTCAAATGATCGACTCTCACAGATATTGATTGACTGTGGTGCTTATTTACCTCTAGAATTCGTTGCAGCAGGGTGTTGTTAGACAGATGAATGGTGGTCAGCCAGCATTTTATGGCAACCAGACACATCCAGGTTATCAAATCCCAGGTCCACACCACATGGGCCAAAGTATCTCCTCACCAGCATGGGGTAATAATCCAGGTACATATCAGGGACACTCAAGCGGTTACAACATACCACAACATGCACAACCCTTCCAAGGGGTTTCTACTGATCCTGCTGGATTGCATATCCACCAGCCACCAGCATCGTGGGGAATAACCAAAAATCCGCAGGGGCAAATGCAAATGACAAGGTCAGTGGGTGGAGATTCCGTTTCTCAGCCACAGTGGCAATTGGAGTCACAGCAAGGCCATTCGAACGCTCCTGGCGAAGGTGTCCCGATGAACTTACACCCATCAACCCTGCCTAAGCCCTTCTTTGGGTCGTACTCGCCTCACCAGGATGCAGAACCATCTTCGGGAGAATTTGTTCGCCGTGCCTCGAATCCTACTCTTGTCCGGGAAGGGCAAGCCTACCAAACTTCCATGGAGAGCTTCCCCAACCATTCACCACACGCCATAGCTGAACAAGGTAGATTCGGACAAGGCCAGCCGGGCACACGTTCCCACTCGCAGCATTCTTCCATGGACCCTTTATTGCAGGGATTCTCACCTCTGCAACATGTACAGAGTCAATATCAACAGCAGCACATGATACGAACACAGACAGGATCCCACCAAGTCAATCTTACCCAAGGCCATCAGCAATATCACAACCCGTTAGTTCAAGTCGGTGCCAACCAATACCTCTCGCAGCATCAATTTGGTCCTGGCAGTGGGCCGGCGGGGTTCCCTGAAACAGCGCAGGCTCACCAAGTTCCTTACCACCAGTCGAGTCATTATCCCGAGCATCGCGAACAGACCCAGGGGGAGACAGGAAGAAGTTCGGAGTCACACTTTGTCAGTGGGCCGTGGGCTTCAACACCGCCTTCTGCTGGACAGTTGTAAGCACCAATATGTTTATGTTCATCGCTATGGTCAAACGGAAGACGTGATATTATTTCTTTTTTTGAGCGGCTTCTATGGACATGTTTATCTTCCTGCGCTGTTTGTGTTTCAGTATAGATTCCCAGGTCGATAATTTGTTACTTGAATTGAGTTTTATACCAAACAACATTCGATCCAACTACCACAAATTCTGTTGCTCGAACGCGAGCTGTAAGCACTACACGCTCAGATGCTAGGGGCATCCTTGAATCTGGAAGTAAAGCGACATACATAAAATCCTATCATCTGCTGGGACGTCAAAGATAGGTCCCGCTTCTAGTTCTTATAATACTAATAGCTGATCTCAATGAGATATCTTTTAGTGACTTTCTAGCGTTATCTTCAATTTCTTTTCGAGTCACAAATAAGTCGATTGATGCTCAGGTGGAGGAAATCAATCAAACGACGTGGGAGGGTGATTTTCAAATTTCTGCTCATCTCCTCTCCTCTACTCCATACACCCCTTCTTCTTTCTGCAACACCACCATTATCTCTCAACTCTCTCGATTATTGCTCTTAGCCTCACAAACATTTCCAAGCATTTTATCAACATGGCTCATTCCTGGGATCACGAGAGAGACAAGCAGGTAAGTTTGCTGATTATATGAGGATAGCAGCGACAGCCCTGGGATGCTAGTACCCGGGCTGTTCTTACGCTAACTGACCCTTTGCTGCTCGTATTGGCAAGCTCATGGTATCAATGGTTGATGATTGGTAGTTGCTTGTAGCCATCTTGGCTGTCCATTCTCCACTGGATTTCGCTGCAATTGCTAAAGCGATGGGACCAGGTGAGTACATCCTACCAAATCTAAACCCACTTCTAGAATTCCTACACTTTCTCCTATATGAGCAAATTTACCCTGCATGATCATCATAAAAATTCATCTGACGGGGTGTAGGCGCCACCACTGCGGCTGTGAGACAGCATGTCCACGGACTGAAAGCCCGCCAAGGCTCGCAGTCTCCTACCAAGGACAAGGCCGACAAGCCCAGTCGTGGCCGCAAGACTACCAAGGCCGCCCCAAAGCGCAAGAGTGCCTCGCTCTCCAAGTCTGAGAACGATACCGCTGCCGATAATCAGGATCAGGATGAGGACAATGATGGTCACGAATCCAGCGGAAGTCCCACTAAGCAGCGCAAGCTCTAAGAGCTTCCGCTCCTGAGACCTGGTAGCGATTGGGGTGATAACTTTGATTCTGACATCTATGGAGTGGTTTATGCGGCATTGCAAGGGAAGAAATCATATTGCTCTTAGCTAGGTCTTTCAGATACCTTATCAACATGGTATTCTTGATTTTCAAGACAGCAGATTGTTCGTGAATGTGCTATTGTAAGAAAGATGTAGATTGCCATTGTTGCACTAGCTATGTTGAACCTACTATGTGACAGGACGCAAGCCTAAATCCCACATGTCCTGTAGTATTGGTTGGAATCGGTCTAATCAGCTTCCCACGGGACACGGGCAACTTAAGCACTCAGTTCTCTTATACCTACCCGTCCTTTCCAAAAGGTCGTGCTTCACATTACAAAAGCTAGCGCACATACTGCTGTATAACTTTTGTATATTTCTTGATAGATGACTCTAGAAATCTACCAAGGAAAGGGATATCCCTGCAAAATCTGTAGATACGTGAAAAGAGAGAAAGAGAGAGGAGAACTATCTACAGGAACTGGGACTTCAGCACGATTTCGTAAAAGGAAGACTAGTTGGCCCCATCTCCAGGTTGCATATACACATGTGTGGAATATGAAATCCCATCCGAAAGGTCATTGGTGATGCTTATCTCAATCCTGTTTGGTACGTTGGTAATCCTCCCCAAAGCTGTGCTACTGCCTTGTTGGAGTCCATGGAGCCAAATCGGCCATACTCTATTCTGATTAGGAAATCATCATAAGGCCTCTGCCATCCAAAAATAAGGACTGTAAGATATATTACGATGATGGAAACCACATAGGGCAGAGCGTCTCGTAAAGGTCCACCTTCGGAGAGCAATGATAGGATAACCATTGAGAATAGAATAGAATTATGGCCAGAAGATTAAAAAATGAGGACCGAATGAAATGACTACGCCGTAAATATGTTTTCGATCTTACATGCTTTGACAATCATGGATATGGTTTGCTTATTTTACCACACTTTCTCTACGCTAACATTTTGCCAACACTCCCTCAGCGTATTGATACATTACGTCTTTAAAGCTGCGTCAGTCATCTTCACCACTGTCTTAGAAGAAACATGGCATCGCTCTTGTGTGGAGAACCTTGAATGACTTCTTTTGGCTGTAAGGCGTTCTCACCCCTTGTATCACGAACTAGCTGCAAGCAGGCGATGTGTATTTGATGTGCAAGTTCTGCAATCGGCTTGTAGAAATTGCAGAAAATGCAATGCGATTATGGCTCTCCAGCTATTCAGTTTCCAAACACCCAGATATGACTTTTTTTCATTCTCAGAATGGCTAGACGGCAGACAGTCAGCCAGATAGGCTCTGCTAAGCCTATGTGGCCCCCTGACATTTCAATGATCTACAGAGGCCTGGGTGATCTTTCTCCATCTTCTTTTGCTGCATTTGAACACTTACAATGAGATTCTGACGATGAAAACGAGTAATGATGTTTCGAATTTCCTGGTTGTAATCTTCTGACGTGCTTTGCGTGTTCAAGCTCACCGCCAGGCCTTTCTCTTTATTTTCTGTCCTGTTTCTAAAACGATACTGTGAGCTTAGGAGCCAATGGTAATTATGTACCCTGCTTTAGCTTCGTTGGATCTCCATCTCTAATACTAAAGACCGAGAAATTCGCATAGTGTGGTTACTGTGACTGGTAATTCTCCAGGTAGTCATACTGCAATAAACAACGGCGTGATGGAGGGACATCAATACAAGTACTTCAAGAAACAATTGACAGCGAGCTGGGGAATTCTGCATGAAGTACCGCTAAGAAACAAAATTGGGGGAGTAATAACGGATCAGAGGAGCCAATGTGTGATTAGTACCCGACTACTCCTTGCTCCACCCTACAAAAACATACACATTGTAGTGGGGGACATGGTCTTCCACTACTATCCGCCTGCACCGATCCTCTCATTTGTGCAAAAGGGATAATTTATGTAAGCAGCTAGTGCAACTAGTGCTTTGGAGGTTACAAGTAGTAGATAGTTTACAGATTGACAATACACTCCTGCACCTCTCTTGGTCGACTTCTTGGTTTGCCGTCCCGGTTTGCTTTGTATGCCATGGGAGATATGAAGCTGAATTGCGAGTGCCGAATCGACCCGTATGCCAGAGAGCATACTGCCTTGAGCGTTCCCCTCTTCAACATGTAGGATATGGACAGAATATCAGTATAGAAGGATGAAGTATACAACAATGCTAACAGGGACAGAGGCAATACTTGATGGGACACAGACTAAATATTAGTATAGAAGGGCGAGGTATCTATTGAAGAGGGGAACGCTCAAGGCTGTGTGCTCTCAGGCATACGGGTCGATTCGGCACTCGCAATTCAGCCTCATACCCGACTAGCATACAGAGAGAACTGCGGGTACTCCCCAGGGGCTGCATTCCGAGAGTTGTAGGGGTGTGTTATTCTCAATCCGTATCTACTGGCTAGCCCTGGATGTTGGTTCAGGTCATTTCTAACTTGACACGCTTCTTCGGACCCTCGCATGCTAGATCCCCTAGGCTACTTCGTGTTGATAGAGTGTTGCATATGTGTGTTCATTAAATATTCAGTACTCAATATCTAGTACTAGTAGCCACACTTGAAATAAGGCAAATTGGTAATTACTAATAACGTATAGTGTCGGATAGTCGTCGAAAAAATAATATTAGAGGAAGAACGATAGACGAAGGACAGTTACGTGATTGTGCACCTGGGCAATGATAGTTGAGAGTTCAGACTTCGTCCGAGCATTCATCTTGATCTCTCTTCTCCAATTGTCATCGTCCTTCAGCTAGAAACATTTTACTGATTCCACCTCGTTTCGACTTGCACTCATCCCACCAAAGGTGCGTTCATTCCAACTTATGCTGGGGTAATTTTATGCTGCTGGTCTTCTCAGGATTCAATTTGCGTTCTTATTCTTTGTTCACAGATATACTAATATCGTTTGCTCTAGTTGACTCTGAAGGCATCATGGGTATTACGTGGAACGATAAAGCGGACGCCAAGGTACGTTCACACCTTTCTTCATCATCGATTTATCTATCATTCGTTTTATATACTTGAGTTTGGTAATTGGGGTTAGCCGCTGAGTCACTTGGTCGTCTTAAGGCCGGACATGGACGGGCTCGAGACTGACCAAGTGACGATGACCCATGACGGTGATTCCTTGCCTGCATGGTTTTGACATGTTTTCTGTTCCCAGAATTAGACAGCTGTCCCTCTATCTTTGTTTTTTTGTTTCAAGAGTTGACAATCTTTCTTTTTAGCTGCTGGCTGGCGTGCTTGCTCTTAGCCGCAGTCCCATCGACTTTGAAGCTCTTGCAAGATACATGGGCGAAGGTAAGTGCTGCGCTGAGAACCCTCCAGTCCTATACTGCAGTCTTTATTCATGAATCCTGGACGGTAGCGCCCATCCTTTTTGTTACGCATTTTATTTGTGGACGTCACCCACCTAATACACATACATTCCCTATGTATGCACATTTTCACACTCTTGATCGCACTATGCACTTGAGTTATGCGATCTTCATTTATTGTGCGCGCTCCACAATTTCGCCCATTTGTTTTTTTGCCGTGCACAATGTGATCAGGAAACCTAGCGTCAATCCTTCATATCCCCTTCCCTGCTTATTCACGCTGATACATGAACTGCGCTAAACCAGTCCTATAGGAGTCACCGTTAGTGCCGTCCGCCACCGCGTCACTCGCCTTAGGGCTAAGGCTGCGGAGATGGCTGGTGACAGCGGCAGCATCCCTGCTCCTGCTTCGCCTGTGAAAAAGCGCCAACGCACCCCAAAGAAGTCCGCCAAGGCCGCCGCCGCCCAGTCTAAGGATGTTGATACCGAGTCTGGTGGAGAAGGCCCGGCTCCTAAGGATGACGAAACCGATACCGAGGATGTGGAGGGCAAGAAGCGCAAGATCGAGCACGAGGACTCTGAAGAGTAAGTCCCTGCCAATTGTGAGGATGCCACCAACCTTTCAGAGGGCTAATTTCGTTTCACGCAGTGTTTCTTTCCTTGAGGATGATATTAAGGACAAAGAAGCTTCATTTGACTTCTAAGTGCCGCCATCGAGCTCGCGCTTTTTCACAACGGAGCCACTTTGCGTCGACATGGTGAAGGTGTTAGTATGCTGATGGTATCCGGGATTATCGGGGGGGGGGGGGGGGGGGGGGGGGGGGTTCAGAATATCACAACTAGGAGGAGCATATGCAATGGAACAACTTACAAGGGGTCATGATACGGTGGATTTACAGCGCATGGCAGTGGTCTCGGCTAGTCGGGTCATTTTGCTTGCAATACGAGGCGGTTACTGATCCCACTGATCTTCTTTTACCTTCCTACGGCAAGAATGCAATAAACGTAGATAAAAGGACGAAGAGAGAGACTCGATTCAACTGCGGGGCTTGGTGCACGTAAACAAATTGGCACCTTTCCATTTTCTTTTTTGGATCTTTTGGATTTTTTTCGTGGAAATCAATCGAGCCATATACCCCTTGTTGCGGAACGAAATGTCAAAGTTGATAAAGACAAGAGGTGAGGCGACAAAAGGCAAGGCAACCCCAGAAAAGGCATAGCGCAAGTTTGAAGATCGATGTTGGGGACTGAAGGCACCAGAACTTCGAACAACTGACATGAATCCTCGTTCCGACTGACAATTGGGCTACTTCGACACCCGGTCAGAGTAATTTTCATGATCCTAATTATTCTTCTCGGTCCAGTCCACATCCTTCCCGTTGTCGGAATCGAGTGGCTCTTCCTTCACCTTGGGGTCAAAAAGGCCCAGGTCCATGCTTTTATTGATGGGGGAAGCGGCAAGAGCCTCGTCCTCAGAAGGTACGTCTTCTCCCTTCTTGAACTTGGCTTGGCCGTGCTGAGCGGTAGCAGCCCTGGCGGTGCGCTTGCTCTTTCGGGAAGGGCCAGCAAAAGTGGAAGCTTCCTCAGTCTTTTTGCGTGGGGTAGGCTTCTTGGGAGTGACCGGGCTAGAAGTCCCGGAGGCAGTGGCACTGACGCTGTGACTGGAGCTTCGGAGGCGATTGTTCTCCTTGATCCGGGCGAGACGCTCCTTGATGGCACGGGGGGTAGGCTTGGGCTTGCCATCTTGGGCAGCTGAGGGAATGTTAGAAGGAACGTTTTTGGTAATATGAAAGATGATTGTGACTGCAGGATGAAGAACTTACGCCAGGCCTCGGCGACCTTGGCCGCATCAACTCTTAGTTGATGGGTCTCAAGGATGGTTGTAAGGAGCTGTATGAAGTGTGGCTTGTTAGTCACAGTTGTCAATACTAATGTGCATAGTCCATGAACATTGGACGAGAGATGACGAGAGAGGGGGGTTCCAGCAGAATTAGTAAATGAAAGTTGAAGGGGAAAACATAGCTCGAGATAATCAAATCGAAACTGAATCTGAAAGACAGCTTATATGGCTATACAAGAAAATCTGAACCTCTCAGGGGCAGGTTTGCCTGGCCAGACACAGTTCAAAATCCAAGGCCAACCAAGAAGATCAGCATAGACTGATCCTCTTGGCTTGGGCAATGAAATCAATCGATAAGTAATAGTAAAGTAAAGGATAAACTCACGGTTTGGTCGGCCACGGAATCCCATTTGACCTGAGGCATTTTGAATGCTGGGTTTGAAAAATGTGTTTAGAGATAAGATGAAAGGTTTTTTTCTTTGCTTAAGATGACTTGATGCGACTTGAGCCAGCTTCAGGTAGTGAACAGAAAACGTTGAAATGTGGAGGAGGAAAGAAAAAAGAAGAGAAAGAAAAGGAGACAAGCAGGCAATTAAAGGGTTCAGATTAATGCGTTCTATGGCCAAATTCTCTACGCTTAGTCGTTTACAAACGATACAAACGATCCTATCAGATGATAAGTCCACCTGAGTGAATAGCGACATGTGCTTAGTCGGCATATAAACTACCTAGGTAGAAGAAGAACTACATTGGAGGTCAGATCGTTCTTTCTTGATAACCGGGTTGAGACCTGTAGGTACATGCATACGCCTTCCTACTCATTCATAGAGTTCCTACGGCTTTTTGCTGCTACATCCGTTGGGATCGATCATCAATTTTGGCAAGATAACAAGGTCTCCCAAATTGAGATATGTCTCGACAGTGAAAGTACCACTATAGACTGGCTTGAGAAAGCCCTAACACTAGACCTGATTAGACAATAACTACATCGCTGAAGTGTATGACGATAAATGATCCACCAACGCGTCAGTGCAACCTCTGTGATTTGCGATACATTTAAGGATGACAGCAAGGAATTTCAAAGTGTTGCAGGAACCCAGATGATGGTTGAAGAGAGAAGAAAGCTGGACAGAGGGTGGGAGTATTGTCCGCCAGAATAGTACATATTTTTTTTCATCTCATTTAAAGCAGAACTATGCAGGTAGGCAATAAGACGGACGGACGATTTCATCCCTAATTACTCACGCATCACTCAAATCCCTAGTAAAATTATTCTAGGCGTTCCTCTGGGAATTTTAGGCCCATTCATTTTGAAACACGCCTTCTCGTAATCCGAGTTGGGGTCAGTGGTAAGTCATCTTGCTCGGATAAGTTAGGTGACGCAAGAAGATCATTGCTGACTTTATTCTCTCCACGCTTAGATCTTGTGAAACCGCGAGCATGGCTCTCCGGCCCGTCCTTTTCCACTGGCTCCCGGGCACGGTTGAGTTCAGGGGGAGTTCCTTTACTCGGATGACTGAGCTGCACGTTGTCATGAGCTGAAAACGAGCCGGACAAAGGGTTGTGGCTCGTCGCGATTGTCCCATCGGATGAAGAGGCTAGCTGGTGACGCAATTGTTTGGGGATAATTTTGGCGCGTCTCGTTGTTGAAGGAGATCGGCGACGATATCTAGGTTGCGATGCACGTTGGGGTGATCTTGATCGGGGGCGGGATGGAGACACGCGAGGGGATTTGAGATTCCTACTTGTGTCTTGGCTTGAATCCTTGACACTTGAAAGCGAATTGCGCTGTGACCAGTCGCCGACACCAGGGCTTCTTTCAAGTTGAGACAACTCGAGGGTGTTCGAATCCTGCAGGTGCGGAGAAGGCTTGCTCTGTGGCAGCACGGGGTGTTCGCTGTCGCGTAGACCCTGTCGTCGTGGGGATTCACGAACAGTGTCTTGATGACTAGGCTCAACTACCGAATCCTCAATTCCGAGCTCGCTCGCACGAGAGGCATCCAGTCGTCGCTCAATTTCCGGGGACTTCTGATGCCAACCTGCGGCCCGCCGCTTCACAGACGACCATGAATACTCACGACCAGTCTGTTGATGAAACTGCGATGCAAGCTTCACCCAGAACCCTTTCGCTTGAGGCTCATCATTGGACACAGAGGGCAATTCTTGTTCATAGAGTCTCCTCAGAAGACTCTCTTGGGCAAGGGTGAGTTTCTTGCCACGACCTGTGCTGGGGCGGTTATCAATTACTATATCGCTGATTTTGGTCCCACGGGCTGATGCAAGATCCATCGGGGGCATCGCTGGAGCAGAGGCCTGATTGTGGGGTTTGAGGTTTGATTGGCGATCATCTGGTCTTGTTTGGCATGGGGACGCCACGCTACCATCCAAGTCGGAATACTTGGCTTGAATATGAATGGGCAGTTCACGGTTAGACCCACAGATCAAGGAGATTAGGAATGTCAGTGGCTAGATTCTAGCCAAAAGTAGATCCCCTAGAAGTGGGTCGGAAAGGTCGGAGGCGCGTTGCGTCGCGTCTATCCCGCGTTTTCAGTGCTGACACGTGATTATCACGAATTGACTTGGTATCTATGCAGGTTTCGGGGTTCGGTCTTTCCCGTTATTTATATTGTTCCCACTATCAAAATACTTTGATCACGTTTACTTGAAATGCTTACAAAATCCCCTTGGGATGAATGAATCTAGGCACAATACTATCAGCGGTCCATGAGTGAATATTGCCAGTGGGAATTCGGGCAATCAATACATACAAGAGTTTGTTCATTTTGGCTCATTTGACAACCCGAACAGCGATTTAAAACATTTTGCAGAGTACCAACCTTGGAAGTTATTTGGATACACATATACAGCACGAAATTAGGGCAGAACAGCTGCAGTAGGGCAACCTTGCATGAAAGACCGACAGAGCACGTGAACCACGTGGTCACAGCTCTAAGTCGACTACAATGGAACCATCTGTTCCTATCTGCTATTTAAACTATTAGCGCTTCACTCAAGGACAACCTCGAGCACCTCTCCACTTGTGAAGAGGAGTGTTGCAGGACTTATGCTAGATATCGACTGGGGGCAATTGGCTTTGGGCCTAGAGACGAGGATACCTCAATGCTTCAGGTATAGAGCACATCCCAAGACAACACACGATATAGTAGATCTCGCCAAAAACTGGATCACTTCTGCACATAATGTGAAAGTATCCTTGATTAGCTGGATAACATGTAACAAACTTGGCACCTACTACTTTTTACGATTTTCTTCAAATCGGATATTCAAATTCAATATCAGGGGTATAAATAATAACATACATACATCAATCAAATAATTTGTCACTCAATAAATAATCTCTAGAATACCTCCACAAATGCCAAAGACGAGGAGAATTTCATTTCATGAGCATTCATCACCTCGAAGGTCAAGTCTAGCCAAGCCACCTAATGGCATAGCTGAATCCATTGCGCAATAATATCCTCCATATCATGTGCAATGCCCCACTGTGAAGATAAGCATCGGAAAAGCTTCTGCATAGAATTGAGCTCATAAAGCAGATTCCTGGCCGCACCACCAATTGGAAGCGGAAGCGAAGAAGCCTCATTTCCATTCTCGACAAAGCGCTTTGTATCGGAGCCAGATAGAGGTCGGATATCCTTGTGGTCTAGATTCAAATCTGAACGGGACAGCAAGGCGTCTTGCCAAATGATGTTGCGAGGCAAATTCACAGTGGCGGCTCCTGCAAGTGAAAGGACGACGTATATTGTCGCCGCTGCGAACAGCGAGCTGGGCATGTGCACAACATGCGCACGGCCACGTGGTAACTGCTCCACAATATCTTGGATAGCAACCGCATGGAGGACGGCTCGCCGTGCGTCTTCTGAATTAGCCCATTTGGCTAGATCGAAGCCTGGGCGGACGGTTCCGCTTCCACTGGAGATGTGTTGAACAATGTTGTAGCGCGAGCAGACATGATGGGCAAGGACGGTCGAGTTGACCATTGTATCTAGACAGACTGTGTGCCAACGCAATAGAATTTCGAGTCTCTCTGCCGCGGCGAAGTGGATGCTCATGGATATTGTCTCATGGACTTGAGCTAGAGCTCGCCGGACGTCTGATTTGGTAGGAACTCCTACAGCTAGTTCATTATCGTCAAAGTCGGAGATCAGAGACTGAAGCCCTTCTAACACAACACGCAATGCGAAGGCGGAGAAGTGGTACTCTAGAGAACGGAAGCTCCCAACTGGTGGGAAGAGGGAGCGGAAAATCATTCTAAACGAGGACTGATCCGGCTTTTGGGGGTGCATATGAGCTAACCATTCATCTGCAGTGTTGGCATCGAAGGCTTCTTCGCTACTCGGGAGACTGAGTGGGTTTGCCACATGACGAGAAGAGGCACCATCAGTCGGCGTTTGAGCCATGAGCCCGTCCAGGACATAGTAGGCTAACAGGGTGCGCTGCTGGATCTCCCGCGCAGACCAGATCCGCCACTGGTGTTCTTTTTCTGCAGCGGGGGCATCGATCGAGGGCAGGTTGTCCATTGAGTATGGCTCGCTGTCATACATGCCGCAATGTCTTGCCCATAAGAAGCCCAGCGGATGGAAGACCTGGCTGGTGGTTCGGATTGCGCGGTTCTTGGATAGCGCCCCGTAGATCTGACCCAACAGGGCAGTGATCATCAACTGGACACCCTTGCAGGCATCATATGGGCCATTATGTGTGATCAGGGACTGCCATGAAGTTGAGATTGCAGTATGTGCTAAGCGCCATAGGGCTTCGCCTTTTGCAACCGCGTCCTTGGGGCCTAGGTACAAAGAGCCGATGGCGATGGCATTAAGGAGGAGAGCATGCGTGCATTCTCGAAAAACGAAAGTAGCACGATGTAAAATTGGGAACGTGGGGATGAAGCGGACGAAGAACATGTGGAGACATTCATCAAGGAATACCGAGGTGATGGACGTGGCTTTGACGGCGGCAGTAACACTAGATGACTAGAGAAATGGATTGTCAGTTTCTATCAAATCTCGGTTAAAATTTGTCTTCATCGAGGGTGCTTGAACAGCCTGGCTTCCTCTGACAAAATACAACGCTCAACTCACCGAGCTCGTTACCATTTCTGTGACATCTCGCACTGCCTGGTGTCCTCCACCGGACGGTATTGTCCCGACAGAAGAGCCGGTGTCATCGAATAAATTCGGAGACCCAAAGTGCATACCATTCATATCCTGCACGACAGGTGGAAAAGGCAAGGTACCCAGCGGCATCTGCCATTGCTCTGCCGTATCCGAGGACATCAAGCTCTGAAACAAGTTTTCCGAATCAGGCCATACCAATGCATAGTCCAGCTCCGAGGGAAAATTCTGCATACTCGCATGATTCCCAGTATGAGACTCGTCCCAGGAGTGACTCGTTGCTGAGGTTGACGCCGGATCAGCAGTAGAAGCACTACTCGTATCCCAAGAAGCGAGAGAATCTAAAGAGATAGACTGTGGCGCCAAATGAAGCTCCAACGAGTCATTCTTTGTATTTAAAGCACGAGAGTGCAGCTTTTCATGGCGATTAAGAGCGTCTTGTCGGGCAAAGGGCCTTCGACACTCTTTACAGACATATGGTTTAGATCCCGTATCTAAGCCTTTCGGTTAGCTGTGTGTTTCTTTTTGGGCTTTATGTAGGGATCGACAAGGACTAGGGGGTCTGGTAGATAAGAACATACGGCAACGCTCATGTCTCTACGGGGACCCGTTAGCTATTGTGCATCACTTGGCGGTCCCTTTCCCGTGGGGAAGCTGGATTTGAAGCCAAATCTACTCACCCTCAAGTGTTCAGCCTTGGAGAATGCTTTTTGGCATACTCGACAAACCAGTTTCTTGCCTCCTAGCAGTGTAGATGGTGCCGTCATTATCTCCATCGAGGCCATTTTTTATGAGGAGAAGGAACAGCATGAGAGTGGATTGTGGAGAGATGATTGTGGGGTGTGGGACTGCTTATGCGATCACGGAAATTATATTCCAAGGGTACCAAGGGCTTGCCCCCTAAATTGTCTTGAATATTACAGAGATCGGGTTCAAATGTATATTTTACTGTACGTGAATAGGATTGGAGTGAAGCAAAATCAAGCAATTGAATTGTGTTTTGAATCAAAGCCAACTATCCCACCTTGGAAACGTTTAAGCGTTCAAGCGGAAATAAGGCGTCGTGACATTACAACTAAGAAAGTGTGGCTGCTGTACGGAGTAATTCCCCCAATTTCTCTTCAGACTCCGACGGATCAGCATAGTACTTACATAGATCAAGTCCTATTATTAGGACGTATCAGCGTTGCGCGGCTTGTGGGCAGGAATGAAAATTCTGTCCCGATTGGGGTTTCATCGGCTGAAAGGTGAATCAAGTGAAATATATCGCTCCGGCCTAATTGCACCAAAACGTCAAAATGCAGCGACTTTCGGTACTTGGTTCGGGATGAAAAACGGTACTACACAGTACAACCTTCATCGGCTAACCGTGTTCAAGTGCCATAGCGATGCATTTTGCACGAGCCCATGACCGCAATTTCTTTAGCGGCATCCTGACTCGCTAGTATTATAATTTCCAATCAGGAACTGTGGAGTGCCTCCGCGTTTCTCTCCATTTTCTCTCCATTTCCTCACTTCAAGACCCGCAACAGAGCCCGGTGAATGTAACCCAGGCGTAGGAGATCCGAGTTTGAGCAAACGCCGTAGGAGTTGTGTCTTTGTTGTGCACACTAACCCTAGCATTTTTCGAAGCATGTTGCTGGTTTCATATGCCCAGCAGAGGCTATTGTATAGTAGCCCCCAGATCGGCTATCATTATTGTTCCCCCCCCCCCCCCCCCCCCCCCCCCCCCCCAGTGCCCTCGACTAACTCACCGCGAGATATTACTTTCTGTATTTCTCTCACTCCCTCCGACTAGTCTCACGATCGTCAACACGCCAATTTGGATCATAGATAGAGGGTAATTTGAGCCTTTTGATGCTTCTCTGATTTCACTTTTTTCGTCGGGAACGTAAACAATATGACGCCCTTCGAATTGCGACCGACCTCGTGTCGACAAGACGAGGTCGACGTCGAGGACGTGCCAGGCAAGAAAGCCGACATTGGTTTTATCGAGAGCGCAGGAAATGGACGGACACTCACCTACATCGAGTCAAGGACTGATGGTCTGCCAAAAGCTCACCGAGACTATCTGATGAAGCGACATGGGACTCTGGAACTCGATCCTATTCCCGGAATGAGTTCAGCTGACCCTTATAACTGGCCCGAGTGGAAGGTAAGTCAATATTCTCTTTGGTATGAGATGACTTCGTTGCGAATGATCTTGAAACAAGTCAAACGCAAAAGATCCCGTCGGACAGAAGACTGATGTATCAACGCCTAGAAAATGATTAACCTCATCCTTGTGGCCTTCCACGCTTGCATGGGTACATTTACTGCTGCCGCCATTATCCCCGCCTATCTAGACATCTCCATAGAACTAGGCATCGGAATGCAGGATGTTGCTTACTTGACCTCTTTACAAATCGCCATCCTTGGAGTTGCGCCTCTGTTCTGGAAGCCGCTGTCCAATCGGTATGGACGCCGGCCTATCTTCCTCCTCTCTCTCATCTGCAGTCTCGTGTGTAATATTGGCTGTGCCAAGAGCGCCACATATGCCTCTATGGCTGCTTGTCGGGCCCTTGTGGCCTTTTTTATCTCGCCTGCCTCCGCCATTGGCAGTGCTATCGTGATGGAAACAACCTTTAAGAAAGACCGCGGCCGTTACATGGGTGTTTGGACACTGATGATCACACTGGGGGTCCCAGTTGGGCCTTTCATTTTCGGCTTCGTCACCTACCGCGCTGGTTATCAGTGGATCTTCTGGATCCTCGCAATGGTAAGTTCTCATCACTCAAGTGGTCAGTAACCTGTTCATGAGCTGATAAATCCAAAGATCAACGGTGGCCAGTTCATCTTGTATCTGTTCCTCGGGCCTGAAACCCGTTATCTGGGAGGCGGTATCGACAGCAAGGAGTCAGCTAGAAAGATCGAGTACATGTCACTGCGACGGATCGACCCCACACCATTCTCATGGTTCGAGTTCGTCCGCCCACTGACAATGGCTCGATACCCATCAATCCTCATCCCAGCATGTGCATACGCAATGGTCTTCCTCTTCGGCAGCGTTCTCACAACTGTTGAGGTACCCCAACTCCTGCAGGAGAAGTTTGGGCTCAACTCTGAGCAGCTAGGCATGCAGTTCCTAGGCGCAATCATAGGCTCCCTAATCGGCGAACAAATGGGCGGTGTGCTATCAGACTTCTGGATGAGCCGGCGCCGCCGGCGTATCGACCGCAAGGTCGAGCCAGAATTCCGCCTGTGGCTCAGCTACTTCGGTTTTGCGCTTTCCATCATCGGCGTGATTGTCTTCTTGGTCTGCACGCAGGAATCGCCAAGTGGACACTGGACCGTCTCACCCATTATCGGAACCGCTATTGCCGCTGTCGGGAACCAACTTGTCACCACGGTGATGATTACATATGCTGTCGACTGCTTCCCGCAGGAAGCTGGTAACATCGGTGTTTTTATCACCTTTGTCCGACAGATTTGGGGTTTCATTGGTCCTTTCTGGTATGTCTTCTTTCTCTCCATTTTGTTTTGCAAGGTCGTTTCTAACGTCGGCTTAGGTTCACTCCAATGTTCGAGAATGCCGGTGTTGCTCCCAGCGCGGGAATTGGGTCGGCGCTGATTGTCCTCGTCAGTGTGATTCCCACCATCTTCCTGCACTGGCGGGGTAAGGTTTGGCGTAGTGAGGAGTAAAAGCACTCGAACAGGAATTAGCTTTGGTTTCGGTGTTTCGAATTCAGATATTTTTTGGTCATTTCTTCAGGTCTGACTTTGAGAGCATCGGTGGGTATGATAAAGGGATTTGGTTCGCGTTCGCATTGGTTAAATTAGACTCGGCGTCGGCATTGAACATCGTACGGTGCTTCTAGACTATATATAGTTGGCCTATAAATTGCATCATTCTTCAAATAAATTCGGTAAGCGTGAAAATAAGTAACTATGGTCAATATAGAACAGTAACACCAAGGATACTGGTGAAATTCTGTTCAAAAAAAATATTTCATTGTCCGCATGGATGTGTATAGAGGCATCGGAGTCTGGTAGCGCCAGTAACGACAACATTAATGCAAAGAAATGAATAAATATTAGGCGGAGATTCAATGGCAATGGGAATCTAGCAAGTGTTCTTACCAAAAAAACACCCTCCCCATGGTAGACTGTATTTTAGGCAAATGATTCCGACCTGGTATAACTCTGTGGCGCGGAAAGCCATCGCGGGTCAACGAGGCCCTGTGACACCACTACTCCGTACCAGGTGAACATTTCGGCTTATGGCTCGGATGAAATATTTTCAGCTGAGCACTACGGAGTACATACATTAAAGCGCAGAAGTGCTAAGCACAGGACCCCTAGGGCGATGTGGCGGGAGAGATTTACTCCGCAGGGGGGAATTTATATCCGGTTGAGCTTTGTAATTGATTCAAGCTCCTTGGGCTTCTCGATACAGACTGTTCAAAGGCTCGCATTTTTGAGGAATCTCCTTGCCTTGTGGTTAAGAGCTAGGAATTAAATATGTTGTTTGGAGTCCGATGAATTTCATAGTAATTTGTAGTCGTATTGATCTATCCAAGGTGGCTTGGGAGCATACCTATGCATGGATATGCAGCAGATCACCTTGCCCAGAGTTTACTTGCTTGCAGTATGCATGGCATTTAACAGTTGTCAGAGTAATTGCAAGCTTCATTGAATATATCATATGTAAACAGAGAGCTATTGGCTTAATAAATCACATCTATCACTTTATATTCTGGGTTCGTTACTGGTTCTCGATCTTGTTGATAAGTGTTCCAACGTGGGGCAGCAGCTCAACAGCGAACTCGTCGCCAGCCTTGATGAATTCACTCGGCTTCTTGGCTGCGCCAACACCAGGTGGGGTACCTGTCAAAATGATTGTACCAGCAGGCAGGGTGGTGCCTTGGGAGAGGAAGGCGATCAACTGGGCGACATTGAAGACCAGGTCGCTGCAGTGAAATTGAATGTTAGTTGGTGTTATACTGTATACCAGAAGTAGCGCAAAGCAGATATAACGTACGTTAAGGGACAGTCTTGCATCACTCTGCTGTTCTTAAGACCACGGATATGGAGCTTGCTGGCATCGGGGACGAGAGCAGCGGAAACGAGGACGGGGCCTATAGATATCGAGTCAGTGCAAAGCTCTTCTGAATAGTACGCAGACTTGATTGACATACCAATTGGGCATGCGCCATCAAAACCCTTCGAAAAAGACCACTGGCTCTGATTCATCTGGGAAGTGCGGCTGGAAACATCGTTCGCAGCTGTGTAACCAAGAACGTAGTCGAGGGCGTCGGACTCTGGCACGTCCTTAGCATCACGACCAATGACAATAACCATCTCAGACTCGTAATCGCCGGTTTTGTCCTGCTGCGTAATCTTGGGCAGAACTGTTGGCGCAGGCCAAGGATCCGCCAGAGAGGCGGCCGGCTTCATGAACAATGTCGGGACTTCGGGGATCGGGAGAGACATCTCTTTCGCGTGGGAGGCATACTTTAGTGCGCATCAGTGACTTTGTTTACCTTGAATGTTCCTGATACCTTTGGAAACTCACGTTCAAGCCAATACAGCGAATAGTTCCAACTTCGCTCTGCGCCAAAGGGGACAGAATGCGCTCGATGGTCTCCGTCGCATCAGTCACTTGGCCAGGGCTCAGGACTGAAGTTCCAGAGAACGGGCGCACTGAAACCTCCTTGCCCTGATAGAGAGCCAAACCGACATCCAACTTGGGATCCACGGGCTCTCCGATTAGAACCTTGGTGGGGTTCGATTTGGGGACAAAGCGCACCAGGCCTATTTTCCGTCAGCCTGGGATCTGGTATCATATAGATAGTTCTTACGCGAGAAGGTAGATGCGATTTTGGACATGGCTGTATGAAATGGCGAATAGAAAGAGGATACAAGCAGATTAAAGCAAAAATCCCAGATATAATACAAGCTATCGAGACCGATCGCGGAGTAAGTCTACCCCGGCACTGTATAAGCCGGAGGGGCAGCCTCCCACAATGTGGGGAAGTGGGAGCACGCGGCCAATTTCAGTTTGGAGAATAAAACCCTGGCGATTGTCGCGTTTTTATCGCGCTTTTGTAATTTTTATTCCTATCTCGCCGGCATGTCTGCTCCTAAGGGTCCCTTCCACCTGGTTACTGTGAACACTGCGCCCGAGCGCGCCAAGCGCCTCATCGGCCGCGTCGCCGAGGCTCTGAGCGATCGGTATACTATCGTTCACGTCGACAACTGCGAGAGTAAGGATACTGAAAGCCACTGGGAGTGAATTTCGTTTGACAAAATATCACACAGAAATTGAGGACGTTGAGGCCAAGGTCAAGCAGCACAACCCCGAGGTTCTGGTAAGTCCGACTTCGGGATTTCGGAGCATCCCCGAGCTAGAATTTCACATTAACGTCCTAAATAGTTCAGCGCCTCTATGTGGTCCGCCGAGCAGGCTCAACAGATCCACGAGATTGCCCGCTCTGTTCGACCCAATATTAAGCTTCACGCCATTCCCGAGGGTTTACAGGTCGAGCGTGGCCCTGATGCTATTGTTGAATATTTGGTTGAGAAGGTGCCGGTGCTGCTGGACAGCTAGAAATTGTAAATATGAACAAGTATATATCTATACCACAATAAATGTTTCATGACTGGTCTTTCGGAGTTGTTTCAGTGACGGAGACAGAAGACCCTTGCTTTCGCTTCGCAATGTCCAAAACATGCAGTGCTTTTGGTTTGGCGCTCCTGTCTATGTAGTCTCAAATTGGGTTCCCTCCTCCCACTCACCCCCTCCCCCTTCCCTCCCAGTTCTATAAAACATTACTAGGTTCTCTGATGATGAGGCCTGAGACCAGGTACCCATTTATATCGACATAATGACTGCCAAAAGACAGTCATGTGAAAATCATCCAGTCCCGTGTAATCCTGTGCTCCCCTTAGGCCACTACATAGGTACTCCTAAGGAATTACACCAGAGCATTTACCCACTAAGCCAAAAGATTACAAGGATAAACAGAACATCTGTCTGTCATTGCAGCGGTATATATATCCCGCAACTGTATGACGTCGTCTTCGTCAGGAAGACATTGTTGGCATGGGCCCAAAAGCAAAGCACCAACTCGGGGTGCCTCAATGCATTGGTGATTCTAAGAGCTTTTTGAAAATTGAGCCAGCAAGTTGCAAAGCTTGATGCACAGCTTGGTGCACCCACCAAAACAGTGGCATAGGGATCATATTCTGTATGACTACTAACCACCTGGCACTCAGCCTCCTCAGCCTTCTCGGCCATACTTTGGCAATGCCGCACGCCGAGATCTCAGAAGCAACCATTTGTCACCTGAAATCGTGGATCCATCAAGCTAAACTCGAGCGACAACCCAAAATCCCCAAGCACTCGACCGATACCTGATCAATACGACCATTAAAGTTGTAGTTGCCCCAAGGATGGACATTTAATGGCTTTCTGTCCAATGGTTATCTGGTGAACACGAGAACCATCCCGCTTCAACCCCTTGGCACCTTGGCATTCAGGGTCAATTAGGTATAAATCCCGTGTTACCACTTCAGCAAAGTATAGAACGAATCCTTTTCATGGCCAAAGCGCGTGCTCATACACCCATGCCCAACCAGGGCAATACCTATTTTTTCTGCTTCTCTTGTTTCTTCTTGAGTACCTATTCAGAACGATGAGCTGACAATCTCTTTCTTTATACTCTATAAACTGATTCGTGATTTTGAGTGAAATGTTACTTCGCCACCCTTTTGTCACGGTTCTTGCCTTACTCGCTTTTCCAACGCGAGCATTATCACGAAAAGACGGTGGTGGCTCTAGCAGTGACACCGACAGTGACAGCACCAGCTACACCAATAGCCACAGTGACTCCAGTGACTCCAGTGATGGTGATGACATTTCTTCATCTACTTCATCATCCTCAAGCCCACTCAGCTGCACAGATTCCCACCGTCTGAACTTCGAAGATCTTCAACCTTCGCACTACGACCCATACAATCGGGACCCACGCCGGGGTCATGCTAGTGCTTACAGCGACTTTGATGGCGTCTTCTTCAAGGGCGAAGCCAATCTCGAGTACACAATCGTAACACCACCCACAAATTTTACCGAAGGCGACATTGTTAGTTCATCCTTGATCACATGTCCAGTTGGTAGACAATCCATGCGCATGCTAGGCGCTGCATGGGTTGCTGCCAAAGCTCCTACTCCTGCGGGGCCCGTCAATCCCATCACGCTGGGGTTCAAGGCTTGGAAGAGCAATATACGCGTCGAGGATATCGACTATTCGTACAGTGTGTGTAAGAATTTGGATCTCATACGGCTCATCACGACGGTAGACTTGATTACAGAATCTGGAGTCCAGGCCATGGATACAGTTGCATTGAACATCACTCAGGCGGCTGATAATAGCAATAAGATCATGTTCGATGGGGTCTATGATCTCAAAGACTGGGCAGATAGTAAGAGGGACCTTTTGCAACCAGAACGCTATGACAATGCCGGCCTTTATGATCAAATGATTACTCTTCCGGATAGTTTATGCTCCGAGCGGAAAAAATTGGGCAAGATCCTCATTGGATGGCCAACTGGAACACATATCAATGGGTCTATGACCAATGAAACCCTTGAGCTGAATTTCTCTGGCACGACAGTTACTGGGTTTGAACATATTTATCCCACATGGCAGGACACTGATACAAAGGTAAATGTGACTTTCGAGTTCACATTCAGGGGTAGCTTTGATGCCGCGAATTCCTCGCAGGTGGTTCTGGCAGGGGCATCGAGCCACAATGCGTCACTAGTCAGCTTTGAGAGGGCGACTGGTATTGCCACTGCCACAAGTCTTTCATTATACTGCGTACTGCTATCCTTTTTGGTTAGTTTTGGGATGATCGTTGTATGACCAAACGATTTTGGAGGAAATATGTCTCATCAAGTTCTCGCCAATAACAGTCATTTTTCGTTGCCATCGTGTAAATTCCACAAAGAATAACCGAATTTATCCTATCCCCGCCTTTCTACAAACATCTTTACATGCGAGTAAACCCGATATCAATTGGATACGTGCCCTACTATCAAATTGAAGACATCGCAAATCGCAATAAAAACCCTCACATGGTTAGTATCCATCTTTGCCGATAACAATCCCGTAGCAAGGACCATTCTTGCTAAACATGACCTGCAAGTCCTGGGTGATAAATTCGGGAACCTCCCAAGCGGCAAAATGACCTCCATGGTCATGTTCACTCTGCCGAGCGATCGGACCTAGGCCTGCAGCCCAAGAGCAAGGAATGACAGAAATTTCACGAGGGAGGTGCGCAATTCCTAGCTTCACATGCGGGACATATCCAACCAACGCCTTATAGGACTTCCCCTTGATCATTCCAGCATGCAAGGCCTCATAGTATATGCGGACAGTAGCCGCGGGTCCGGCTACAGAAAACCAGTAGATAGATATCCAAGTTAGGATCTCGTCATCAGTCCAAGGATATGAGTCTGTCCAGTCATGCAGCTTCTCGTAAATCCAGGCCAACAACGCAACAGGGCTATCTTCTAGTGCTGCGCCAATAGTCTGCGGCTTGGTGCTTTGGAGTTGGTTGTAACCAAAGCCTTCTTGTTCAAACCATTTGCTTCGTTCACGGCCTGCCTTTTCCCGGTCATTGTACGGCAGCAATGCGTGTTGCAGAGCTGCCCATGGGTTATCGGTAAATTTAGGGGGGTTGGCTAGCACCATGTTGATATGAGAAGCTTGGCAGTGCTCGGGGTATAGTAGACCAATGGTTCTGGTAATCCAGAATCCCCAATCTCCGCCCTGAGTCACTATGTACATAACCAAGTCAGTTTCGCGCATGGCTGGCCTATTCTGGTTCTGTTCAGGGCATACCATATTTATCATAGCCTAGCTTAATCATGAGTTTGTGTAGGACTTCGGCGTATTGTGCAAGGCCAAACCCACGACGAGTCACTCCTGAAGAGAAGCCGAAATTTGGCAACGATGGAGCCACAACGTGGAATGCGGGATTGTCGCCGTCGCCTTTCAGCATCGGCAACAGTTTTATGACTTCAATGAATGATCCCGGCCCTGTATGTAGAGATTTGAGACTGCACTGCAATGGGAGATTGATGAACGACATGTCAGAGGACATCAATACTTACATCCGTGGCTAAAAAGCAGCGGAATGGCGTTCTTGTTAGTGTTGATTTGGTGAACATCTACATGTTGAACCTGGTAAATATTGAACCTTTGAGAATCTGTATTGCTCAAAACTCACAGTGGATGTCCAAACTGCCAAATCCATTTACCTCGATCTGCGTTTGATACTGGGGCAGCTCATTTAATTCAGCTTCCGCCCTCCGCCAGTCAAAACCATCCTTCCAATATTTTGCGAGTCGCTGCACTTCCGTTACTGGAGTTCCAAAATCCCAAGGATCTTGCTCGGAGGACTCCAGCTGGGTTGGGAATTTGGAAAGTGCTAGACGCTGCTGAAGGTCTTGGAGACTCTTATTAGGAACAGAAATCTTGTACGGTTTCGGTTGGTCAGCCATGGTGATAATGTAATCTTATTTAATCGATGAAATTAGAAGCTGGTTGAGGGTGGCAGGTGGCATCTCTGAAGAGGGTTTTTGAATTTTGGTGAGATGACGTCGGACGCAGATCCAAGGCTGGTAGTTTTGAGCCGGGGCTCCCTAACGGGGTCTACACCGCTAGTCATGGTAAGTGGACGGATAATTTAGGCAGCTGCTGACGCCAGTTTTGGGGGTTAGTTAGGGTGCCCGGGGCCAACAGGCATACTTTTGTCCCCACAGCGGCATTAGAGATACCCCCCCAGGGCACTCCACTACAACGCCAAAGTGTGACATGTAAATTTTTGCTATCACTAACGGGTCATGAACGGGACGCTTAGGGGCCTAAAATGGTTGAAGCCTAGGCTGGGTGGATCCCCCCCCGTTAGGTAACCCCCAATCTTCCCTAGCTAGACCCCCGAACGTGGGGCCCCTGGAGCCCATCAAACTAGATTAGTCAGCAACCGGCTGGCGGGCATTTCCTTGGTTCCCCGGTCATTGATCTGACTCTTGATACTTCCAAGGTTCCCATTCCCAACCCAAAATCAGAACATGTTCTCTCTCCGGACGGTCACACGTGGTGTCCCAAGCCTCCGGGCTTTCTCCACAGTCCGTGTCCTGCAGTCTGAGCTAGCATACCAAGTCTTTGGCCCAGAAAACGGTCAGACTGTCCGAGACCCAATCCTGATTCTACATGGACTATTTGGATCAAAGCAGAATAACAGGAGTATCGGCAAGTATGTTTCATGACTAGATATCTAAACGAAACTTATTATCTTACATATCTCTCAGGGCTTTGGCACGGGATCTGAAATGTCAGATCTTTGCACTGGTAAGTTTCCGCTTGTCCCCGGAAAGACAGAGAAAAATGGCATCCCAGAATGCTAAACAAATCTCAACAGGATTTGCGTAACCATGGCCATTCTTTCCATGCTCCCGAGCATAACTACGGTGTCATGGCAGAGGATGTGCAGAAATTTATCAAACAGCAAAAACTAGACAAATGCGTCCTGATCGGGCATTCCATGTGCGTGATCATATTCCTTATGTTAAGTGCAGCTCAGGCGCACGAATTATCTATATTGTGTGCTCTTCTCATACTAATAATTGGTGAAGGGGTGCGAAAGCTGCAATGGCGGTAGCATTACGCGCACCCGAACGCGTGTCAGCTTTGATCCCCGTTGACAACGCACCGGTGAATGCAGCACTGCAGAGCGATTTCCCCAAATATGTTCGCGGCATGCAGAAAATCGAAGCTGAGAAGGTATCAAAGCAATCTGATGCTAACAAGATTCTCGAGGACTATGAAGAGGTAAGGTGTTCATCTTTTTGACGGATAGGGGAGAAAAGGTGGCCATGGGCCTGGCGCCCCATGGTAATGTTTTGCATGCTAACATTGCCCAGTCTCTTCCAATCCGTCAATTCCTTCTTACCAACTTGATACGTTCCGAGGAAGATAACACACTTAAGTTCCGAGTGCCGCTATCTGTCATTGGCAGTTCGTTGGATCATATGGCCGATTTCCCTTTCAGAGAATCTGATAACCTCCAATACAGCGGCCCGACACTCTTTATTCGCGGCACTAAGTCTAAGTATGTTTCGGATGACGCTGTGCCGGCCATTAAGAAGTTCTTCCCCAACGCGCAGATTGCGGACGTCGAAGCGGGCCACTGGCTCATTTCTGAGAATCCAGAAGCCTTCCGCCAAGGTAATTTCCTCTTCTCGATAATCACTAATAGTATTTCATGCTTACACGGTGATAATAGCGGTCGTGAAGTTTTTGGAGTCGACATAATCGGGTTATAGAGGTCACGTGATTTAGAGATTAGACGTATGTGTTTGTAGGGAATTCAATGTACAATAATAATATGTAATAATAATTCACCCAGTAGTGTGCTGGGTGATATCGATCTGAATAGTAAATCGTATCGCAGGCCAGGTTTTGAACCTATCGACCGAGTGGCGAAAACATATCTATCAATGCTTCCTCTAAAGCTGTCTCACGTGGGTATCGATGGTTCGTTCACATGGCAAGTCGTAATTCGAAGGTGAGGGAGGGGGAAGAAGCCCCGGAAAAGAGACCCACGGTCAGAGATGTGGAGAACATGAGATCCCTGAGATCAGATTTGGTGTAGCTCACTCATCCTGCTTGGTCCGCTTTCGCTTCTTGGCTGTTCTGTTTGGAGCTTTGGAATTCTCTTGTGCCTGTTCCGCTCTCTTCTTTGCCTTCTTCTTGTCCTTTTTGCTCAAGCCTGGAACAAAAGATGCCGGGGCAGAAGAGCTAGGAGCCGGCGAAGACTCAACTACCGAAGAAGATTCAGTTGTGTTTATTTCGTCGTCAGAGTCTGTTACAGAGGACACCCGCCGCCTTCCTTTCAAGTTTTGAACCTGACGAGGTTCGGCGGATTTGCCAGAATATGGCGATGGATGACTATTGCTTGGTCCACTGAGCGTGTGTGAGGGCTGTGGAGCGTGCATCACAGGGTAATTTGACCTCGAAACGCTTGTTGTGAAATTGTCGGTCTGACCCTTCCCGTTGAGCTGGATCGGATACCCACCTAGAGTAGGGCCCTTAGGGACTGTGCTGGGTGTTGCAACAGGCCTTGGAGTAAAAAGACGGTTGTTTGGTTGGAATGGAGGGGTTTCCTGTCCATGGATGCGCTGCTCCATTGGTTTATCGAGAGCATTGGAAGTGGGTTCTTCATTAAAATCGAGATTCGTTGTTGCTGCTCCAAGTGCCTTGAAGGTGTCCTCGGCGTTCCTCAAACGTTTGATGTACATATTCACCTTATCCCTTAGCTCAATGAATTCCTCTAATGATACTGGTGGTTTCCAATCTTCAAAGGCTTTCAGCTGTGTCCAGAGTTCATCAAGGTCCTGATCTTCGATTGAGTTTCGACCTTCCAGGTCTTTCAGTTGTGTCCGAAGTGCGTCAAGGCCTGCATTCTCCGCTGTGATTTGGCCTTCTAGGACTTTCAATCTTTTTCGGACTTCGTCAAGACCTGTGTCTTCCGTTGTATTCCGATTTTCCAAGTCCTGCAGCCGTCTCTGGAGTCGATCAAGATCTGTTATTGTATCGGTGCTGCTCACTCGCGCGGCTTTATTAAGCTTGTCGATCTCTTGTCGAACCTCTTGGAGTTGCGAGATGTGAGCATTAAGTTGGTTAATCAGTGGATCGATGTGACGCGTGTGCTGGGTGATTGTTTCAAGTTCTTCCACCTGCTCATCGGCCTTTTGAGCAATGCCTCCGATGGTGTCATCTTGAGCCGTGATTCTGTTGTGTAATTCGCTCCGCTGTTCAAGATTCTTCTGCAACTCAACACTGTGCTCATTGATAAGTGTCTCGATCGGTACAAGCTTGTCGAAAAGGTGCTTGACCTGTTGGAGCAAAGTCGGCAACTGACCCAGAGTCTGGAGTTGCTCAGGTGACACCTGTGCTGCTTGAGCTGCGCTATCCTGGGCGTTGCGTGCGTCTGCCTGAGCCTTTTCCGTATCCGCCTTAAATCGGTTCGTATCTTCCTTGAACACCTTCGTTTCCGCCTTGAACGCGTCTGCATCTGTCTTGAGCGCAGAGATTCTGGTTTCAATTTCGGCTCGGTAGGCTGTTAATTGTTGACTCAGTTGATCAATAGAGGGGTACATTTCCTGCATGGCACGTGCCATAAGACTGACCAAGTCGGCTGAGTGGATGTTGTTCCATCGTTGTTCTAGTGACCGAATGGCCGTGGAGTGAGCTTCGATTGTACCCTTGCAGTTTTTTACAGTCTCAGCAAGATCGGAAAGTGGAGTAAGGCGGGTTTCGAATCCATCAAGTCCACTTTTCAGATAGGTTCGGAGCTGCTCCAAGTGCCCTGGCAAGGAAAGTTTAAATTGGTGAACGCTGGTGACGAGTGTCGTTTGCTTTTTGAACATTTCCTCGGTTTTCGTAGCCAGGCCTTCCACTTTTTGTGAAGTATCATCGTATTTTTCTTCGAGTGTGTTTTGCCTTAACTCATGTTTCCGGCGGAGGGTATCCAACTCGGATAGACGCATGACGTCCACATCCTGATGAAGTTTCTTAATGTTGGTGAGAAGCTCCGCATGGCTTTGTATTTTCTTTTCCAGAGACACTACTCTTGTAAGTATCCCGCTATGGGGAGTTGGAGTCCTTTCTGATGAGAACTGGCCGCCGGTACCACCATTTTTTTGCTGGGTTATAAGCGAGGCCAGATGATTTTCTTGGGCAGTAATCTGCTCCGTGGCCTGCCTCATTTGAGCCTGCAATTCAATCTCAATTTGGGAAACTTGAGTCGATGCGCTATTATTGAGATCATGTTGCTTATCATTGAGAGATCTGAGATCGCTTTCAATGGCAGAGAACTTGACCTCAAGTTGTTCGTTCGTATTTTTCAATTTCCAACCCAGGTCCGAAATATCGATCTCTAGCTGCTTATTGGAAATATTCCGTTCTTCCTCGACAGTGTCCACCATCTGCTTGACGGCAACAACCTTGTCATCAAGCTTCTTGTCGGCAGCTTTCACTTCGTCCTCAAGGCTTGAGATTTGCGACGTGAACACACCGTTCCGTCTAGATTGATCAGCAACTGAGTTCGCAATTTTCTTGATATATTCTAGTGCATGATCCAATCCTTTGGGGTTATTGAGGGCCTGTTGCACTTCGTGTAGCCTTCCTTTGAGTTCGGCGATATCTTGGCCTTGCGTGTCCACCTGGACTGTTCCGATTTCGGCATTTCCTTTGTTTGAATCCTCGCTACCGGCGGTTGGGCAATGGCCTTGCACTATCCCTTCGACTGTAGATTCCAGACTCGCGACCCTCTCAGTTATCTTTTCGATCTGGGGCTGAGGCTTCGACTGCCGCAATGTCGAATTGATTTTGTCCTGCGCTTGGTTGGAGAGCGATCGATGCTGGGTGATCGATTTGACATGGTTGGCCAATTCATCTTTGGCCGCATCGAGCTGCTGCTGGAAGAGAGTGATGACGCTCGGATATTGCGGGGATTGCTTCGCCCTCTGTAGATTTTTGGAGATAGAAATTATTTCCTTCTCAAGTCTCTCTTTCTTTTCCTCGGATTGGTTCACTTTGATCAATGAATTGACCAAATCTGAGATGAACAATGCGCCTTGGTGACTAGGTGCACTTTGTTTTTCTGTCGATGTAGGGCCCGGGGCGCTGTCAGGGATCGAGAGTGGGGGCACATGTGGGAGCGAATCTCCAGCAGGTCTCTGGATGAAGGTAGGTTTTGCGGGAGTGGTTGGGTGTGTCTGTTGGGCGTTTGACGATTGAGAATCAGTAGATTGCCTAGGGATACCGACAAGCCGAGGATCCTGCGCCTTGGTTGGGAGTGGCACAGAGGGGAATCGGCCCGAGAGTCGCTTGCGAGGGTTAGGGTTAGGAGAGTCAACATCCATTCTGCTGGCCATATTCCCTGAAATGAATGTATTGCAAAATACTCATCGTATTTGCAACAGAGCTGAAGTGTGGTTACTGGGAGGTTGGCTCATAAGATGCAGTCTGTACCGAAGTCCTATGATGGGACACTGAAGGCACAATATTGATTTGTCGATGTACGATAAACCCGTGAAAAGATAACAGAAGGAGTTTGTAAAAGTGCAAACGCGTTCACCGCGCGAAAACCTATCGGTCAGGCACAGTCCTTGTAGGTATGGGTATTGTTGAAAATGGCTGGCTGGCTTCCCCTAAGTTGGTCAAGGGAACCAGAAAATTCTGATCAAAGACGCGATGAGTACCCAATTAATTCAAGTGACGCAGATACAACAATGAGAAATCAAGTCAAACGGGTTCTTGTTTCTTTGATGGATTATTCTGCCGGGCGGTGTGGACACTACGATCTGCGATCTGCCCTGACTCTCTCTTCTCTTTTGCTTTTCTAGAGCTCTAGCGCATTTTACCACCATAATCTTCCAGTTTAAGATACATTTCTACCTGGAAATTTCCAAGTATGGCTGTAGTGAGTTACAATACTTCTGTGATATTTCCACGGTTGCTGACACTAAAGCAGCCAATCTCAACTGTCGCCGAGAGCAAGGAGCTCCGGGGACTGAACCTCATCGCCGCCCATTCGCACATCAGAGGCCTCGGTGTCGATGCAGACACTCTTCAACCTCGGACATCATCCCAAGGTCTTGTGGGCCAGGAAAAGGCCCGGAAGGCCGCCGCAGTGATTCTGCAGATGGTGAGGGAAGGCAAGATTGCCGGTCGCGCCGTTCTGATCGCAGGACCTCCTAGCACTGGAAAGACAGCAATTGCAATGGGCATGGCACAATCCCTCGGACCAGACGTACCTTTCACCATGCTTGCTGCTTCTGAAATTTTCTCAATGGAGATGTCAAAGACAGAAGCCCTGACTCAAGCATTCCGGAAGTCCATCGGTGTGCGCATTAAAGAAGAGAGTGAAATCATTGAGGGTGAAGTTGTGGAGATTCAAATTGACCGGAGTGTTACTGGCGTAAGTGAATTCTTCACGCCGAAATCACTGAATGGCATTGGATACTGACTACCTGCAGGGCAATAAACAAGGAAAGCTCACGATCAAGACAACCGACATGGAAACAATTTACGATATGGGAACCAAGATGATTGATTCAATGACCAAGGAACGAGTAATGGCAGGAGATGTGATCTCGATCGACAAGTCATCCGGCAAAATCACCAAGCTCGGTCGGTCGTACGCACGCTCCCGAGACTACGACGCCATGGGCGCCGATACCAAGTTTGTTCAATGCCCTGAAGGCGAGCTTCAGGTTCGCAAGGAGATTGTTCACACCGTCAGCCTCCATGAGATCGATGTCATTAATTCGCGTTCACAAGGCTTCCTGGCCCTCTTCTCCGGCGATACGGGCGAGATTCGGAGTGAAGTTCGGGACCAGATCAATACCAAGGTAGCCGAATGGAAGGAAGAGGGCAAGGCAGAGATTATTCCTGGTGTCCTTTTCATTGATGAAGTTCACATGCTCGATATCGAGTGTTACTCCTACATCAACCGTGCTCTCGAGGCTGAGTTGGCCCCTATCGTGATCATGGCCAGCAATCGCGGCCAGTCACGCATCCGCGGAACAACCTACACCTCTCCCCACGGCCTACCCCTTGACTTCCTTGATCGGGTTGTTATCGTCAGCACACAGATGTACTCTGGTGATGAGATCCGTCAAATCCTCGCCATCCGAGCGCAGGAAGAAGAAATCGATCTTTCGCCTGATGCTCTCGCTCTTCTCACTAAGATTGGTCAGGAGTCGAATCTGCGTTATGCCAGCAACATTATTACTACTTCGCACCTCTTGAGTCAAAAACGCAAGGCGAAGGAGGTTAGTGTTGATGACGTCCAACGCAGCTTCCGATTGTTTTACGACCCCGCTCGGAGTGTGAAGTTCGTCAATCAATATGAACAGCGTTTCATTGGTGACCAAGGTGCCGTTAGCTTCATTGCTCCTACCAATGGCGACGCCATGGAGCTCTCTTAATTAGGTTGCATGTTTTAGTACTGGGCTATTCGGTGGGCAGTTAAGCGGGTCGAAAAAACTACACTGGATCTTGATTTTTATTTTATTTGTGTCGCATCAAAGGATGTATGATAGGACTGGCGCTTGTTAAGGTGATTTGGCCTTTGAAATTCAATTGCAGTCCTCTGTTCTGGAGGATCTGATATTAATATTTCATTCATGAATGGTATTTTGAGTAGCCAAAACAATATTGTAGCTGCCCAGGTGACATTGGGGAATTATGTTACAAGAAGGTGCCACTACCGCTCCATGGCCCTGGATCTCCAACTCGGCGGAACTCAACACCTTCGCCAAAGTAGCCTGCGTTCTTCCATGAGTCCATCATCGCACTGTCATATGGCCCGTGGGCATCCCCTCCATCTCTAGCATCAGACCACCGATACTCCCACATGGCCGGACCTTGCTCAGCCACTCCATTCGCAGGAGGGTCGACCCAGTCGTCGCCTGTGTCGTTGCGGTACTGCCGTGTGAGCATTTCGCGCTCTGTGTCGTAAATGTCTACTTGGCCACGGCCCATCAAGATATCAGCGGCGCCAGTAATAGAATCAATTGCCTTCTTCCGGGCCAATTCGTTGGGGTCCTCATCTGCCATCTCAATATCCTCGGCAGCGTTCTTCTTGTTCTTCTTGTTTTGCCACTTGGGCTTTCGGCGAAGGCCTTTGCCCAGTCGGGCCAGTGCCTCGAGTATTGTTTCGCCTCGTTCGAGGTGGGTGATGATCGTCTTCAGGACATCCCCTGTCAAAATGCTGTCGTCTATTCGATCCTTCTCTTTGCGCTCTGCGTCGCGTTGATCAGCAGCCTCTTTGGCCTTTTTGATATCCTTCTTGGAAACACCCTCCAGCCACGAGTCGTAGGCAGCGTCGGGGTCTATTGCTTTGCGGACATAATTTCCTTGGTCGTCGAATCGTCCTTCCTCTTGCTCTGCTCGCATATTGAAGGCATCCAGGAGAGGGGCGTGCTTTTTCTTCCCACCCGCGCCAAGTTCCTCGTCTACCTCTTCGTCGACTCGTGCGCGTTCCTCTTCCCCAACTTCACTGCCACTCTCATCTTCCTCGTCATCAATTTCATCTGCACCCTTCCTCATATCGACATGCAGCACTCCTCCACCTTTTGAAGAAGCGACTTGGCCCTCGATCTCATCGTCTCGTAGGAAGCGAACGGACTTCTTGTTTTTGTTGATAACCTCGTCACCGTCGACTTCCTCTTCACCGAAGTCTTCTTGTAGTTCCGCGAACATATCATCATCTTCTGCTTCCGTGGCTTGTTTGCGCTTGGGTTTCTCTTCTGTGCGCGCAGAAAACCCCTCGTTGTCGCTGTCCGAATCGTAGCCTTCGAGATTAACCGCCTTGCGTCTGATTCTCTGGCCACGTCTGCCAATCTCATCAGCGTCTAGCACTGCATCTTCTTCGGGCGCATCAGCTGCAAGAGCTGAGGGGTTGCGAAGGTCGAAGCGGGGCTTCTTGTGCTCTGAGGAATCCTCGCCGTCGTCATTGTAGTTGGTACTGGCAAAATCTTCGCCTGCGCGCTTGGGGCGTGGTAATGAGCTCGACATTGCGCTTTGATTGGGTATTTCAGTTGAAAAAAAAAATGAGATAAATTATCTTGCGCCAAATTGAAGTGTAAATTCACTTCCGAGAGAGCTGATTTCCTTGTCCGGGGTCGGAGCGGAAAATCATGGCGGAGCGAGCTGCGTCACTGATGGCGATCCAGAGAGCGGCATATGTACCTCAAATAAACCCGATCTTACTTACAACTTTCTCTTCCCATCTTGAGTCTTTTAAACTCTAAGAATTTGATATGGTGAGTCAACTTAAACTTAAACTCTCCGCCCTCTCCCAATCTTCACCCTCCTAACAAACAGCTTTAGTACCGAGCTGGTTATTGGTCCGACGACCCCATGGATGGGGTCCTAGGTGCCGGCATGGCGCGCCCGGGAGCTACATCCCGTCGCTTCGATGAATACTATCGCTGCTATCCAGTGGCGATGCTTCCTGGTCCCGAAAGAGAGAATGTCAACCATGGCGGCAAGGTCATCATGCCTCCCAGCGCATTGGACAAGCTTACCCGACTTCACATTACCTATCCAATGTTGTTCGAGCTTCACAATGGTGCAAAGGAAAAGATGACACATGCGGGTGTCCTTGAGTTTATTGCTGAGGAAGGAAAGATCTATTTGCCATTCTGGGTGAGAAAGACAGACTTCCCAATGTGCTTTGGCTGTACTAAGACTCCGTTCTCTACAGCTGATGCAAACATTACTACTGGAACCTGGCGATCTTCTTCAAATCAAATCGACAGACCTCCCTCCTGGCCAGTTTATCAAACTTCAAGCACAATCAACCTCCTTCCTTGATATTAGCGATCCCAAAGCCGTGCTAGAAAACGCCTTCCGGAATTTCTCATGCCTTTCCAAAGGAGATGTCTTCACTTTTTCATACAACGATCAAGTATATGAGATGGCAGTGCTAGAGACGAAGCCTTCCGGGGCTAAGAATGCTGTATCCGTTCTAGAGACCGACTTAGAGGTTGATTTCGCCGCTCCGGTTGGATTTGAAGAACCACAGCGGACTAGCGGGACCAGCACGCCCGGTAGCGTTATTAGCGGGGGAAAGCTTCCAGCTGGTGGACTATTGCACCCCCATGGCACCATGGCGCAATCGATCAACTACCCCGCCATTGCCCCCGAGGCCACCGATGCTGCCACAGGTGCCCGTGCAGCATCATCCAACTTTTTGTCTGGAGGACAGCGTTTGAATGCTAAAAAGGGCAGCAAGGCTCCCACTCCTAACCCTTCTACTCCTACCCCTGGTGCCTCAAGTTCCTCACATCTACCTGCAACCCGAAGAACCAATGGCCCGCAACCACTTCGACTCCCGCCCAATCAGCTATTCTTCGGGTATACCATTAAACCTGTCAAACCCCGTGATGAGAATGGACAGGTTGTCCCAGATGACCAGCCCAAGTTCCAAGGAATTGGACAGACTTTGCGTGGAAAGCGAAAGGATTTGTCCGACTCTACTACCCCCTTGGGAAGTGAGGCTGAAACCCAAAAGAGCAAGGAAAACACTAAAAAGTCCGACGGTGGCGGTCGAACTTTGGGGAAGCGCTAATGTCTGCAACGATCGATTCAACTACGCTTTCGTGATTTCTCCTGGGCTTTTAGACGGTGGAAATCTCTAGATTCCGCGGCCGGGATTTCCTTCGAGAGCATAGCAAGGTTCAATATGGCGTTGGGGGAGTCGTTTACTTTCGTTTGAATACATAAAAGGCCTTGCAATAAAATTCAATACCTTCATATTTCTCGTAGGCATTTCCATTCTCCGCGTTCTAACTTTGAGTTCAAGCCAGCGATAATTTTTTCAGTCCTTTTGACTCCAAATGCCGGAATGTCGGTAACTTTTACCACCCTCCGAGGATTGAGGATTTTCTCATGTCCCTACGAACAATCAAACATGCCGTCTGTACATCTCTGCACACGGGTTCAACTAGAAAGTAAGTCATGCTCGTGGTCAGAAACGGCATCTTATACTTCGGCTAGTGCACACGGCTCTTGGCAAGCCGAGGATCGCCGTCCACAGGCCTGAAACTCGACTACACTGTATCCCAGGCCATGTACCCGGGATTGCATCATGGCTACAACAGCTGGAAACCATTTGGCGGCATTTGTCAAACTGGCCCCGTCAGTCTATCTCCAAGACTCGCCCAGCCCAGGCGAGAAGGCTGATCGGCCGGTAATATTCCTTGCTTTTTGGATGAATGCACCCCCGCGCGCCCTAGCGAAATACGTAGTCGAGTACAGACGGCTAGTACCATCAGCGCGAATCATCTTCGTCAGAAGCTCGTCAAATGACTTCATATCCCTGAGGACCCAGACCCGCAGAGCCCGCCTCATCCCTGCCGTGGACGCAATGCGCGGTCTAGTGACACTTAAGAATCCAGTTTTTGTGCACTTCTTCTCGAATGGAGGCATGTCGAGCACGGCAAGCCTATTGCAAGCCTGGAAGAATGCGACGGGAGCCCCATTGCCTGTGTCCGCAATAATCCTAGATAGCGCACCGGGCAGTCCAAGCCTACGAGCGGGGCTCAAGGCTTTCTCCTTTGCACTTCCGCGGACATGGTTATTGCAGCTACTTGGCAAGAGCTTGCTTTTTGTTTGCTTGGTTCTCTTCAAGTTGATCCATTTCTTTTCCATGTTTCCGGAACCTATCTCCCTTGCCCGAAAGCTCATCAATGATACCTCTTTGGTGCAAGCGGCTAATCCGGACGAAAATCTCCGTCGTTGCTATATCTACTCAGATACGGATGATTTGGTGGACTACCGTGATGTGGAATCTCATGCGGTACACACCGAGGCTGAGGGTTGGGCGGTGCGCCGTGAACTGTTCAAGAACTCCCCTCACGTTGGACATATGAGAGCCGAGCCCGATAGGTATTGGGGCATTGTTAGAGAGTACTTGGGTGCTTTGGTATTGGTATAATTACCAATTCCTTTTCCCTTCGCCTTGCAGGCTTGCTTTGACCTTGGGAAGACTAGAGTGTTACATGATAGACAACCTGATGTGCGCCAACTATACATATCTGCTTGCCTTCATGCATAAACTCCATTCATTTAGGTCTTCTACCCGTAGCTATAAAGGCGGAAGGAACAGGAATTTGCTTCCATCGAAGCTTTGGAGGTCTTGACCACATAGCAAAATTTCGCAATTCCATGGTCATGGCGTTAAATCACTATGACTGATACCTCAAGAGCCCCTGTGAGTACGCCAATTATTAGAAACAAAGAGGGCTCAAAGGCCCGGAGCCAAGTTCCGCACTTTCCGTCTGGAGAGCATCAACCATTGCGATATACCCCTAAGAATCGAAGACGACGACACCCCTGCATCATTATTTTAGCTCTCGTTTTAAGTGTTCATGCCTTGATTTGTTCCATTATTTTCCCTTTCAACCATCACATTTCACTTATTTTGATGCCTGTGTCCGATATTGTGCAGGCCATTACAAGATAGATCTCGTTAAAGCAGGTTTGGGCACCCTTCATTGGCCCTATACTATTCTGACTGGGCAAGATAGATTATCCGATCATCATATCACTCTTAAAGACTTGCGTTGCTATATATTCTTGACTGAAGGCAACGATGTTCCAACACAAACCCAGCGAGGCGAACTTCCTCAACAGCCAGGCAGATAAAGACTACCGCTTCGCTCTTCCGGGATTCAACCGGCCGCTAGACTTTGCTCCGCTCGAGAAAAACATATATGGCGTTGAAAGTCGGAGTATGTTTCCATCTGCGCTGGATGATAGGGACATCGAAGCAGGATACGTGGAGTAAGTGGAGAGTCCCCAAGACCCGAAAGGTGCTCAATGCTGAAGATTCTCCTAGCCTACCCGTATTGACTCTCCGCGAGATCCATATGGTAGAGTTCATGGAGTACCTGACTGATATTCCTGAGTGGTGGAAAAAGGTCAGTTGTCCCCAATACAGCTGATACTGACCGTTCCGCTGAAATCGTTTCAGGTCTTTGACCCCAAAACACAAGAGGAGTGGAAAAAGGCCGCCTTGGACAGTGGCAAAGACATTACGCTCAACATGGCTGAATGGATTATTGACGAGCTTCAATTTAAAGCCATGATCTATGAGACCACAGATGTTGTCGCCCTGTACAGCGGCGATGTCACCAAGTCCGACACGAACTTGCCTGATTCACTCTTGCGCGATATGTGTACCCAGTTCAAAGTGCTAGAGTACGATTTTAAAGAAATGCAGTACTACCATCCAGGAGGTCTAGGCAAAGAGCGTGACCTCATTTCTATGGCATTGTACCCGCTTGTTTACGGCACGAGTCGCATTCTCACCGACAGGATCATTGGGCTTGATGACGCCCTCAAGTACGCCGGCAAGGGCGAGGTGATCCCATGTCCAAAAGATACTGGAATAACCAGAGAAGATATTGCCTGGCGCGTCTCGGCCCGGTCAGATATCAAGGTTCGACCTTACAGCCGAAATTACCAGATCCTTCCTTCAGACTGGGAACTTCGTGAGGATGGCCAATGGCATATAGCCACATACATCAACAACCTGCACCCAGTGAAACATAGGAACATCTACAAGCTCCTCGAGCAGGCTTTCAATTGCGTCATTCCGCAGTGGAACGCAACTTTGACTCCCCTCAAGGACATGCTTCATTCCCGAGCTCGAATCGAATACCACAAGGCAGAGTATTACCCAGTCCCAAAGGAAGTTACTGCCCAGGCACCTCAGATACAGCCAAGAGAGGCTCAAACTGAGTTCGACGAGCGCATGGACAAGTGGAGAATGGAAAACTACCGGGCTATCCAACCTGACGTAGGCAAGTTCATTCCCTGGGCAGTTCCACCCTGGTTGATGGACAAACTGCCCAAGGATCTGCCCAGCGCCGTTCGGATTGAACGAGGCGTTGATCTCAACCGGGACTACAAGGAGCGTGGATTGCAAGTGATCACACGTTTATTGGGTGTTGATCTAACTCCAGAAGACCCGTCTTTCGAGACAGACTGGCATGTCGAGGGCACGATGGTGAGTTCAAAAGCTCCAAGGATTCCGCAATATTCGGTAATAACAAAACATAAACCAGAACGAGCACATCTGCGCCGCAGCCATCATATCATACGACCACACCAACGTACTCGACCCATGCATGCAATTCCGCAACATGGTAGAATCCGACATGCTCTCAGAAATCGAGCACGAGCCAAACGACTTCATCTGGCTGCGACAAGTCTTTGGTTTGGAAAACGGCGAGCCGGCCATCCAATACCCAGGTTCGATCCAAGCTGGAGTAGGCCGGGTGATCATGTACCCGAGTACTATACAACACAAGTTCACACGCTTCGAGTTGAAGGACAAGGCTAAGCCTGGGCACGCACGCGCCATGGTGTTTTTCCTTGTCGATCCTAATATCCGTATTATCTCAACGGCCAATATCCCGCCGCAGCGTCTGGATTGGGCTAAGGACATACCGGAGACTAAGCAAGGGGTTAAGGCAGATTTGGCAAAGGCGGCCCTTGATAATATGAAGTCCAAGGGTGATATGCCGATGAGTTTGGAGGAAGCTATGGATACGAGGCTGAAGGTTTTACAGGAGGTCGAGGAGTTTACTCGCTATCAGCATGTGGCGTACGAATCGAATGTTTTGATGCTGTAATTTGGGTGTGCTTTCTTTTCTTTTCTTTTCTTTTCTTTTCTTCTTTTCCTCCAGTTTTTTTTTAAAAAAAAAAAGTTGAAATTTTCTTTCGTGTAGATTACTGCCGAGCTGTTTATGTCGATCCAAGGCGCTGTGGGTGAAGCTCCGGCTATGGTTTACAGAAAAGAATAATTGTGTAGGTAAAGATGATATTAAATCGCCGCGCTATGCCATTCATTCGTAAGACCAAGTATGCACATGTCCCATTTTGATATCCCAAACTCCAAGCGACCCCAAAGCCAAGTCCAGAGCTTAACGGCCCTTCATCTCAGGGAACTCATCATCAAGCTTCAGACGAGCCGTAACGTTCATACTCATCAGTTCTTGAATGAGAAGTTTGGCAGCATAGGGAATAACCATCTTCACAACGGAACGAGACGACTTGCATCCAGGGCACCAGTTCAAGTAGCCCATGAAACCACACTGTTCGCAGACATCCACCTCGTGACGATCAGACGAAATCATCAGACGCTCCAGCAGAAGCTGACTAGTACCGTACGCAATCAAACAATCACGTTCCATTTCACCGAGACGCAAACCTCCGTTACGCGAACGACCCTCTGTGGGCTGGCGGGTGAGAGTAGCAGTGGGACCCTTGGCACGTGAGTGCATCTTATCTTGAACCATGTGCTTCAGTTTCTGGTAGTAAATGGGACCAGTAAAGACGTAGAACGGCAGAGCCTCGCCAGTGATACCGGAAGTGAGGTAGTCCTTGCCACCATAACTGAAACCTTTCTCGATCAGGATCTGGGACATTTCTTCGACGGGACTGCCGCCGAAACAGGTACCGTAGCCGTGGTGGCCGTTCAGAACACCTGCTTTACCAGCAACCAGCTCCAGCATCTTTCCGACTGTCATTCGAGAGGGGAAACCGTGGGGGTTCATGATGATGTCAGGATTGATGCCTTGGTCAGAGAAGGGCATGTCCGCCTGGTCTGCAATAATTCCAACAACACCCTTCTGTCCGTGGCGAGAAGAGAACTTATCGCCGACCTCGGGGCGACGGGTTTGGCGGGTCAGAACCTTAATGAGTTGGGTCTCGCCTTCAGTGGCAGATACCAAGACCTTATCAATGTAGGAAGGATCCGCCAGCTTATAGGTCATGGATGCATCGATAACATCTCCACCACCAACGTCGGAGCCGGTGAATCCCATGGAATTCTGTACCCTAGGCGTGACCTTGTTGATGTAACTTTCGCCGCTATTGACCATTTCGCCGACTGCAGCCAGGCCATCGGACTCGAGAAGCGCATGCTTGCGGATTGGAACGCCATTCTCGTATGTTGGTGCTCTGAGGGAATCCTTGGCTCCGTTGGGGTAACTCTTCAGCGTCGTGACAAACTTGCGGAAGACTTGGCAACGTCCAAAGCCACGGTCCACAGATCCCTTGTTCAGGACCAGAGCATCCTCAATATCGTAGCCAGAATAACTCATCACGGCAACAGTCGCGTTCTGACCCGCAGGTAGTTGATCGTACTTTGTCAGCTCAATTGTTCGTGATTTAACCATTGGCTTTTGTGGGTAGACCATGAGGTAAAGAACAGAATCAATTCTCTGGAACTGATTGGAAGCAATGGCGCCAATGGCTTGCTTACCCATGGCACATTGGTAGGTATTACGCGGGGACTGGTTGTGGTGAGGATAGGGGATCAGGCCAGCAACAGCTCCAAGGACTGTGAATGGTTCAATCTCAAGATGGGTGTGAGTATTTGTGATATCCTTCTCGTAGATGGCGATGTAGGAGTCGTTCTCCTCGTTCACATCAAGATATTCAACGAGCCCTTGCGCAAGGAAGTCGTCGAACTCCATTTTTCCATCACGCAGCTGCTCGAGGTGGTGAGCATTGACAAGAGATTTGCCGTTCTCCACGACGATAAGCGGTCTGCAGATTCGTCCATCGTCGGTCGCGACATGCACGGCTCGCTGGTGATGATTGATGTAAATGCTGACAAATTCTGAAACCCGGCCCATGCGGCGCAGTCTTCGGAAAGCATTGAGGAAGGACTTAGGACGTCTGGTCAAACCAGTCGGTGTACCGTTGATAGAAATTGTGTAAGCACCCCGAGCATAGAGCTGCTGTCCACCAACGCTCGATATGTCTTCGATGCCGAGCATGAACATCAAGTTTCGCACCGGTCCTTCTTCATCGTTGGTCGTGATATGTGTCATGAGGGCCAAGTTCTTGACCAGACCACAGGCCTCACCTTCGGGGGTATCTGCAGGGCACAGCATTCCGAACTGGGACGGTTGCAATGCACGAGGACCACTGACCTTACGGGTCTTTTCGAACTGACTGCTAATACGGGTCATCATACCGAGAGCGGCAATGTAACTCAATCGGCTGAGAACGTGAGTTACACCGGCACGCTCCATGCGGAAACGCTTCAGGCTCCAGTTTCCTGTTGAGATGGCTCGGTTCATACCCTGAGTGATATGATTTCCATGCATAGTCACGATAGTCCAAGCATCAAATTGCTCGGCCCGATTGCGTTTGTTCAGGACTTTGTCGATGTTCATCTTGATATCAAAACAGAACTTCTTGAACAGATCTTCAAAAAGAAGGGCTAACATTTGACCTGCCAGCTCCAACCGCTTATTTCCAAGATAATCACGGTCATCCACTAGGGCTGGGTCGCTCTTTGCCATCAAAACGCGACGAGCCATGTGAGCAACGTAGATAGCCTTGGGCCGGAAGTTCATATCTTTGACCTCAATATGAGAAATAATGACAGACGCAATGGCCTCAACTGCCTCTTGTACGTGAGTCTTGCGATAAGCGGCTTGTTTGCGGTTGATCTTGATGCGACAACCGATCCACTCAAGGGCTTGTTGTTGGGTGTAAACCTCGACGTTGATGGCCTCTTCGAAATTTATGGCGAAATCATCTTGATACAGACTATCGTCACCAGTAACCATTTGCATCATTTCCTTGTCGGTGTGGATGCCCATAGCTTTGAGCAAAATGACGATCGGAATGTCTTCATTGAGCACGTTGTGCTTGACATAGAGTCTACCTTTTTTCGAGACAATGTAACTCTTGGATTTGCGCTCGTTGGAGGAACTGTAGATGTTAGTGATGGCAGAACAGAACAGTTCGGACATGGACATACCTGGTAACCGAGGCCTGGACGATATCTTTCTTTGGGTCGGTTTCGACAATAATTCTGTTTTTGCTCAATTGTTCTTGGACAAGAATGACCTTTTCTGTTCCGTTGACGACAAAGTAACCACCGGGGTCAAGAGGACATTCATTGAGGACGCTCATCTGAGCAGGCGTTTTATTCGACAGCACACACTTAGAACTGCGGAGCATGATCGGAATTCTTCCGATGGGGACCGCTCGTCGGATAACCCTTTGCCGGCCACGGACATATTCAAAGTCAACGAGAATGGGTGCAGCGTATGTAGTGTCTCGTAGCCTGCACTCTTGCGGTGTGATTGTGGATTCGAAATCAATTCCACCATCACCTTGCTCGTCAGCTCGTCGAGGCGAGGCAACGTAGATATCGGTAAACTTGATGTAGAAGTTGTGATCCACATCACTTCGAATTGTGGAGCTTGACTCGACAATCTTCTTCATTTGCACTTCCACGAAGTAGTTATAGGAGTCAAGGTGCTGCTTCACCAGCCCTTTGACCTTGAGGAAGGCTGGCAGCAGATTCCATTTGTCTCTGGCCGTATCAATCGGGTCTGTAAGTCCCTTATTGTAGTAAAATGGTTCCAAAAGCGCATCGAATGGATCTCTAGCCTTGAAATTCGAAGCCGGTTCAACCTTTCTGGGTGCGGAATGCTGGTGAGACTCAGGAACTGGGTTCGACTGGGACGAGCGCTTGCTTTTTGTGGGGTCAGTCGCCGATTGGTTTCCGGCCTAGTCAAGTAGCATAGCAGTCAGTATAATTATCAGAAGTATGGGACTTGCGACTGGAAAAAAGTTTTGTTACCTCTGAAGGACGTCGCGCTCGACTGGCCGCAGAGGGCTGTGGCCTCCTGCGCGGGGGCATTTTGATTAGACAGCTGAGGTGCAGAGAGATCGATCTAAAAAAAATATCCCAATCAAACTGCGCAGTTGTCCAAAGAGAAGCTCGCAAGAGGGATTCTCATGGAGGGGAGAGATTTGAGTAATTTGGAGATAGCTTAATAAGCCGCGGGAGCTGATAGTTGCCTGAGGCATCAATCGAGCTTCATACTTGATATTAAAGAAAAGAGTACTCCGTAGTTGGCCGCGTATACAGCCTCTGTCCTTGGCAATATAAGACTATAGAAATCTGATTTATCTGGCTCAAGATGTTATCATAGACGTTATATGCAAGATAGCAGCCGATGTATTTTTTAGCATGTTCTTTTTCAATTTCGTTTTCAACGATTTTTTTTAGAAGAGATTTCGTCTCAGTCTTATAACTAGAAGGATAATTATTAGCTATAGAAGTACCATCAGGAATGGGAGTAATAGCACGGAGTAGATATGCTGGACTTATTGCTCCACGATGTACAATATACCTTGACCGTATAGATAACCTTTCTATAGATAAGTAGGGATAGTCATTGGAATTCATGACTTGTTTGTTGGTTTGATCGAAGTAAGATTCGGAGCTCTCTTGTGTGTACCTTTTTGATAGAGATGCAACAACATTTCTGGGGGGAGAGGGGTTGTGTAGTAACAGGGCACGGAAAAAGGTTGACCGTCGTGATATATATTTCGAGCCGACGCTAGTACATCATTCCAGAATGAAAATCGAAAATAAAGATACTATAATAAAGGAGATAAATATTCCTAAGTACTCTCTTAGTTATCGCATACTCAGATGATCCGAATTTATAGTCAAATCCATCGCATTGTATTCTCAAGTAATAGGGCAAGACCGAAGGATCGGAGTATACTAGCCTTAACTCCGAGGCAGTAGGAGTCTCAAAAGAATAGACGAAGAAGTAGATTTTGGGCTAATCACCAAATGCAGGCTGATCTGAAGAATGGTTTATCATCATGTCAACTTTTCAGAATGTATAGAGCACTCCGTACAGGGTTGGATTTACGAGACCTTGACAGGTTGTCAAGGATTTGTCCATTGACATGGTAGTACATTTAGTGGGTCTTTGCACATGCAGGCCAGCCCCGGACGTTTTTGTCTGCACGGACGAAGTATTGATCAGAGTTGACTTGGTTCTGTTCGAGGAAGACGATCGACAATAGTGTAATTTGTATAAAGAACAACGTTAGGTAGTAAAGAAGCGGTCACGTATAAGACAACGAGCAAAAGAGGGCTTCCACCGCATATACCAAGCACAAGGCTTCCGTCCACAGAATAAGATTATTATTAGTAACCATAGCGGCACGGCTTGTGTGGCATATGATTTATCGAATATCGGTGACACTCGGTCCTTCATGTACGATTTTCTCCAGGGATGTTATCCTGTCTGTGGCGAAATAGGCTTGACCGCAACTTTTGAAATTGCCACCCTTTATGGAGTACTATATGGACACAGACTACACAAGATTGCATTTTTCCAGAAGGATTTCCCTATCTCCGATCGAATGCAGGGATACAGCACAATGAATGGTCCTTGTGTATCAGTCACACTACTCCGTACTTGAATATGGCATTGATCGCTGTAGCAATAGGAATTTAGAAAGTATGCAATGCCACCTACACGTGGTTGGTAAGACAGTCATCTTTGCCATTCGATATATACAGTATCCTCCGAGGAGAAAATTCAACCGAAAGCATTAGCAATCATTATCGACTAGGGTATGTCCGTTATCAATAATCCAGAAGGCCTATTGTACGGTTTTTTGCAGGGGTTGGTTGAAGGGGTGGAGACTAATACTAGGGAGTTTCAGGTATTATTTGCCAACGTAGGTTTTGGGGGAGCATAATCATAGCGATTCTAGTAAGTCCATTTTACGAATGACCTTGGATTATGATTCGTGATTTTAAAACTGAGGCAGCCAGTCAATTTCCGAGGCGTAAGTCAGGCGTTGGGCATGAAAGAAAGTAATTAAAATTGGTTCAATTTGGGCGTCAATAAGTGGGTTTTGAGTCCCATTATGTCTAGAATTATTATTGGTATTAGTGCGATCATAGCTATGTACGAAGTACTCCGTACTCCGTACTTTATAGGTAGATGATACACTAGTGCACAATCGGGGTTCAATGTACCGATGTACTCCGTACTATCACTTGGGGACCCGCGGACTTCCTGGGTTGAAAATCAGCACAGACCGTAGTGAGTACTCAGCTTAGATCGAAAATTATAATATATCAGAATTCTAATCAGATTGTAGTACAAATCGATATATAGAGGGGAAAAAAAAGTGGCCCATGATTGACGATCTCCGATGTGTGAATAAAATAATAAGGATGACTGGGGTTCAGAGGATCCCCGCTCTATTGGTATGCTTGTCATTCGGTGGATCAGGGGCTCCAAGCGACGCGGATCAGCACTTGGTGGCACTTACACCGCTTGTCCTGACGTTAGAGGGCCCAGATGGTGGGAAAAGTTGAAAATAGATAAGGTATGGGAAATTCCAGAAGTATAAAAGAATGTGATATGGGGAGAAGATTCTAGGGCTATAGGGACAAAATTGATGAGAGAAAGCTACTGGTACAGACCCGTGGAACTAGAACAAAGAAAAGAAAATATTCCATGGAACTATTTTTTATTGCAATTATTGGTTTGATATTGGGATATATAATCTTTATACGGAGTACGGAGTAATTCTCTCTAATGTATATATCTCTTTCTCTCTTTCAACATGGAATACGCATATCTAAGATTTCTAGGATTCAGGTACAGGCGCCTAACCACCCTAGAGGGGGATCAGTTGTCATATCTTCGGGCACTTTGGTCACTTTGGTCTCCACAAGTGGCTGCTACGAGGGGGGCCAGATGCACCTGCAGCTGCCACGCTCTGTTGACCAGCGCATTGAAAGCTCCCCCTTACCGGAGTCCTAGCACAATGGGTTCTCTCGTGTATAGCCCAGGTTGTCCCCAGTCGATCATGGAATTGACCATTCGTAGCATCTTCAGGACCTAGCAGGACCTATAGCCCATCGATTACCCCGGGCTCTTCCCGGGATAAAAGTGCTCAAGTCGTACAGACAACGGAGGCTCTCCAATCAATAGAACCCGATCAATTTCCGAGTAACTGCTGGCCGATCATCTGCTGTGGTCGTCAAGTTGTGTCGGTAATATACTATAGTAGAGAAGTACATATAAAAAGTAAAGTATATGGAACGTGTATTGTTTTTTGGCGCCTCACCCGAAGCGTGGAAGCAACGAATATTATATAACCCCAAGAATATCAGATCAAAAGATCATTGCCGCTTAACTAAATAAAAACAAAATAGGCCCAAAAAAAGCAGAAACAAATAGCGAAAAAAAAAAAAAAAAAAAAAAAAAGAGGGCACAGTCATTTCCTGAAAAAGGATCTCCCCGCTCTCTGATCTGGACTCCCCCAGCCATTTTCTCTTCCCCTCTTCCTCTTCCCTTTTTCTCCCTCTGGAACTCCATTTTGTACAACAGTTTTGTATCGTTCGTTTGGGTCATTGTTAGGTTGTATTTCCCCGCGCGACACGCTCTTTTCGCCCGCGCCTTGATCTCTCGGTGTTCGCTAAGTCGGAGCGGTAAGAGGGAGCTTTATCCCACTCTGCAACTCCCTGCTGATCTCCGCACCGTCAGGTACACACGATATTTGCTGTCAAAATTGCCCATAGATGACTTGCGCAACTTGAAATCATATAGCACTTCTCCCCTCGACCAGATTTGACACCTCTCGAGGCGTTCATTGTGTGAGTTAAGCCATTTTTTGCGAGCGCAGATCGTCTCCGCCTGGCCCCTCAGCCCCTCTCTCGATTTCCCCTTGCTTGAAACGCCGACGACAACACACCGCCAGCCCACCCTTTCTTCCCATTCGGATATTCCCCGGCCACCGGAGGTCCTGGCGCCACAACATCGGGGCTGGTCGTAATTGCTTCCCCGGAGAAGCTCTCCTAAAAATCCGTTTTTGGCGTCAACAAATCCCTATATTTGCTGACCGGACGTCGTTTTTGGTGCGTAGTTGAACAATTCAGCTGCGCTGCCCCATGATGGCCTTCAAGCATGGGCTGAGTGAACGCCTCGACGAGCTGCGATTCCCATCCCCACGATCCCCGCCCTCGGAGTCTGCGTTCCCTGGGTACACTTCTCTTTCCCCGGGTCATTCGAACTTTGGATCGGGGTTCTCGTCTCGCCCGGCTGGTGATGTTCGAGCGAACTTGCAACGTCGGTTTACCACCGATTCAAGCAAGTTCTCGTCATGGAATTATCTGAATCCAAGCTCGGGATCTGGCTCGAGCTCCGGTTCTGGTTCTGGCCAGATGCAAGATCCATTGGATTTGTTGTCTTCGGTAAGATTCATATTTCTTTTTTTTTGAGTTAGCAAATATCCCTCTGCATTGAAACCACGCACCTGTCGCGTCTCCGTTGGATTTGGGTTGGCGATGAGTGGAGTTGGATGAATTGGTGTCGTCTTGGATGCCGGGCTGCAATATTCTTTGAAATCATATGGAGATCTTTTGAAGTTCCGCCAGTTCCCAGCATATCACTCTGTGTGAAGCTTCAAGTTGACAAGACTGTCATCATTCATCCATCGCCATTCATTCGTCACCTCATCCATCACCATTCATCCATCACCATTCATCCATCACCATTGATCGTTCTTATTTCTTTTATCCAATTGTCCTATTGTTTTCTATCCATTGGTTCTATTTTCCGTTTCATCGGTCAGGCACACTCGTCGAAGTGATTGACGACGTTGACACCTATTGGTGCTTCAACCCTGTCCATTCTGAGCCTATTCAGACTTCAAATCCATTCTTGCCTGCTAGGCTGCAATCTGGTTCGGGTTGGTATAAAAACTAAAGCTCAGCACTTCTGCCCCCTGTTTCTTCTTTTATTTCCTTCCTCATAATTTGAGCAATTGTTTCATATCTCCGGATCCGAAGTTCACTACCTGTGTCGCTCTGCTCCATTTGCCGTTTATTTTGCGTTACATTACGTTGTTTCCCCGACTTAAAATCCTGCGTTCGGTTTGTGTTTCCTCATGAAAGTGATCGTGCTCGGGGTCTAAGAAGATATCTGTCTTTTTTTGTGTCTTTTTAAGTGTCTTTCCAGCCATCTCTTGTGCATCTCTGATGAGTTTTGTCGATTGAGTTGTTGAGACTTACACTTTTCTCTCACTTTGTTCAAACTGATATCTTTCCCAAACTTCCCTGACTCTTTTGCTTGACCATATCATTCTGAGAATCATATCTGACGTCTTCAGCAGTTTGAGAAAAAGAGACAACACATCGAGTACATGCGTGAACAGAAACGCCGTTTCGAAGAGGATATGAAAATCCTGGATCTTCAGCACGCTCGTGAGAAACTGGAGATGGACCAGCTCGCTCGGGACTTGGCGCAGGCTGGCATCTCTGGCCCAGTCAGCGAGCCCACCACCCCGCCTGAGTACCGTGATACTACTGTGTCGAGTGCCTTTAGCCGCCCCGCTCGTTTCTCCACCTCGAGTGTGACCTCTTCGCCCGGCTTCTTCAATGCTTTCGCTCCTTCAACCTTGACTTCGCCCCAGGCTGCCCCCCAGCCCTCTCAGCCGTCAATTGACCGATTTGCTGGACACTCTGTTCCCGGCTCGCGCCGAAACTCCGAGAAGGACGACTTCCTTGCTGATCCTACTTCTCCCTTCCGATCGGGCCCGTCGTGAGTTGAAGCCCCATTTCTCGAGTTCTGGCATCGACAGCCTAACTAATATCTATCTAGCGTTGCTCATCGATACTCGCTCCCCTCCGGCAATCCGAATGGCCAGTCTCATCGGTCCAGTATCTCCGGTTTGAATGGAACCCGCCTTGACAGCTTCAACGTTCCCAAGTATCTTTTCCCTAGTGATGAAGACAAGCCTCATAGCCATCTCAGGGAGCTAGAACGCCTTTCGACTCCTGACATCAAGAGTTACATCAAGTTAACCGAGCCTGATGATAAATTCCCAACCCTGTCCCGTCGTGGTGACTCCAACATGGTAAGTTTTCCGTCATCGAAGCGCAAACAATCCCAAATCCTAATTATTTGCTTAGTTATCGGCGAACCCTGATGCTCATGATCTCGCGAACCCTCGTGCCCCCAACTCTGACAATTATGCCAATCACAGTCGGCACCGGTCGTCTCACCAGAGCATGCCGCAGAACATTCACAACTTTGGGCGCTTGGATCAGGTGGGAAGCCAGAATAACGAAGATCACGGCAACCCTGTCCATACATCACGCCACAATGCTCGTCGCTCTATGGGAAGTCAGATCTCCTTCCACGATGACCACCACGATGACACATCAACCCATGTTTCCTCGAGCCGACCCAATGCCCTGCAGTCGTCATACTCAACTAACGATCTGCCTACTATTAAGGGCAATGGAGCTGGAAACGCTATTACTCCACCCAAGACTCACAATGAGCACATGCATCATCACAATGCAAGCATGGGACGGATTCCTCAGGCCGGTGTGAATAATCAGGTCAAGAACGAGTTCGATGAGTCCGAGTTCTATGGTAATCAATCAACTCTGCACGCGAGCGCTCCACCCTTCGGGCCTCAGCTCAGTTCGGCTGCATCTGCTACCCATGTTCCTAGTTCGGTTGTTCAAATGGGTTTGCCATTCCAAGTCCCTGCGGTTCCTGCCTTCAATTACGGAATCCAGCCCTATGTTGGCCAAACAGCTCCGATTAATGGTCACATGCAAAACTTCGGAGGAGCATCTGCTTACAACAATGCCTATGCCGGCTATGGTCCTGGGTTCCGCTTTAATGAGCCCGCAGCCCGAGGCAGTATGGCTCAGCGTCGCCAGGAGAACGATGCGACCCAGCTTACCCGTTTCGGGAACTACCCCTTGGAGCATTACAAGGGCGAGTTGTACAGCCTGTGCAAGGACCAGCATGGTTGCCGATACTTGCAGCGCAAGTTGGAGGAGCGTAATCCGGAGCACGTGCAGCTGATTTTCAGTGAGACGTACATGCATGTTATTGAACTCATGACTGGTATGAAACATGTACCTTCTACTATTTAACTCCATTGTCAGTACTAACCTTTCTCCTTGAACAGATCCGTTTGGCAATTATCTTTGCCAGAAGTTGCTAGAATACTCCAACGACGAACAACGGACTGCTTTGATTGATAATGCTGCCCCCGAGCTGGTTAAGATTGCCCTGAATCAGCATGGAACTCGCGCACTGCAGAAGATGATTGAATTCATCTCGACCTCCCAGCAGACCCAAACAGTCATCAATGCGTTGCAGTATCATGTCGTTGAACTGGTGCAGGATCTGAATGGTAATCACGTTATTCAGAAATGCCTCAACCGCCTCACTCCCGAGGATGCTGAGTTCATTTACGAGGCTGTCGGAGGCAATTGTGTAGTTGTTGGCACTCATCGCCATGGATGTTGTGTCCTTCAGCGTTGCATTGATCATGCTTCGGGTCATCAGAAGGCTCGTTTGATTTCGCAGATTACCTCGCACTCGTTCGCTTTGGTCCAGGATCCCTTCGGAAATTATGTTGTGCAATACATTCTGGACCTTGCGGAGCCTAGTTTCACCAACCCGCTGTGTGCTACCTTTGGAGGCAATATTCCTCAGCTGTCCAAGCAAAAGTTCAGCTCCAATGTGATCGAGAAGTGCCTTCGGACTGCTGATAATTACATGAAGCGTGAGATGATTGAAGAATTCCTCATGGGCAATGAGCTCGAAAAGATGCTACGTGATTCATTTGCAAACTATGTTGTTCAGACGGCTATGGACTTCTGTGATCTCGAAACTCGCAACCGCATTGTGGAGGCTGTTCGTCCTATTCTTCCGTCTATCCGTCAGACTCCTCATGGCCGTCGTATTGCTGGTAAGATCATGGCCGCGGATACCAACAGCCGCAGCAACGGTAGCAGCGCTCCTACCAGCGGGCAGGTTACCCCTAATGAGATGAGTGCCAGTGCACAGATCCCCAAGACCTTGCTGCAGAAGCCATTCAGCTACCACCAACCTGGCACTCAGTCTTCGAGCTCATCTGGTGGATACAGCAACCAGACCTATGTACCCCAGTCCTCCCAAAGCTCTGTCTCCAACACTCCTTCGGGGCAAAGTGACACCTCGTCTGTTTACACTGCCCCTACCTCTCAGCTGTCCTCTCAGCTGTCCGTGAAGCTTGGATCGCAGCAAATCCAGAACTACTTCTGATTGGGTCTGGGACACCCACATCAGTGCTTGTCTTTCACAACCCCAGTGTACCCATAGTGAGACGATGCGACGAACTCTTTTTTTTTTTTCTTTTCACGATTTTATGGTTGCTTTTTACACTGTCATCGAACTGGGCCTACATCAACTGCACATGCCATGATCATTTATCCTATGATTTACCACACTTGCGTTTTACTGCATACACCTTTGAAGCAATGTGCCAAGATCATTGCATTTGGCCCATGTTGCATACTGCATACCTCTCATGAAGCGACCCGTGCATGATGCAGATTTCGTTGGAACTAGGTTCCTCTGCTCCCTTTGTTTCCCAACATCTTGTATTTCTTGTTTCCCCACTCCCCCCCCCTTTTTTCCCTCCCCCAAATGCTTTGCATGTCTAGGTCCTGGCCTAAATCTTGGGGATATCAGCGATGGGTTTGGATCGTTCCTTGGAACAATCTGGTATACTATTGCCTTGATTTGAGGACTGGTTCGTCCAGTTTGGGATGTTTTTGCTTGTTTTTGCCTTTCTTTTTTCTTTTTCGCTTCCACATTGTGATTTTCCACATTTATTTTTACCCAATCATCGTTGTACTTTTGCGCCTTGCTTTTCTGCGCTTTGTGTTGTGCCCATTCATTCACATTGGTTCGTTGTTGCACGTGAGTTGAGCCGAGCATGGATATTGAGGCCCTGGAGCCAGTGTCCATTGATGACCTTGGTTATTTCATGGCTAGCTTGCTGCTTCTCAGGATTGATGATGGGTGCTATTTGGTCTTTGGACCAGGTCTTTGTCATGCATGACCCTGCACACACTTTTTGCATGTATTTTAGCAAAGAATTTAAGTTTTCATACAATTTTATCCATTTCTAACCCTCGTAGGTTTCCTTATTTGCTTTGTTTTCGTACTTTCTTCAGTTTTATCACGGCATTTAAAGCGCGACGCGTGATCACGTGCGTACTAAAGTAGCCGCCCTTCGGAGGTCCAGCAATATGCCCCAACTTGCTTCTTGCACCAATCCAACCTGCAAAGGCCCAAAATAAACCGACTGGGCCTCTCATGCTATCAACAGAGGTTGCCAGCTCATTGAGCACACAATGGCCTTGTCGTGATGTTCAGATGCGGCAGTTAGCCAGTCTTTTAAGCGTGAGTTCACTATCTGATAATATCTATTACATTCGTCAATCATCCTCGGAGAAAGTGACTGACCTCTAATGCTCTTTGAACAGCCTCACGTTCCTAGTCCTCCAACATTGGTCGTCCATGGTATATCCGCGACCTGCAAGTCGACTATCCTCCGAGCCGTCCTCGCTACCCTCGAAGTGCCATATGCCATTGTCAGAAGCTCGGAATGTATCACGGGACGACATCTCCTCACAAAAATTCTATGGAATACTCTGGAGGCACTGGACCAGAAGGAAGAATGGGAGAAATCTGGCAAGGGAAGATGCGAGCACGTCAGTGGCCTTTCAGTCTTGCTTGAGGAGTGCCTGGCAGCGAGATCCGCTGAGGACCCAGGCAAATTCGTGCTGGTGCTGGATGAGATAGACAGGCAAAGAGAGGCACCACATACTCTGCTGTCAGCATTGGCACGGCTAGGCGAGATCGTAAGTCCTGGCTTTGGACAGCTTTTACTGGGTGTAGAATGTTGCGGCTAACTCCATGATCTGTAGATTCCTTCTCTCTGTGTTGTTCTGGTTGTCAGCTCGACCCCACGGCCATTGTTCCTCCAATGTGCGGCGGTTCCACACATTAGCTTCCCTCCCTATACTCGCAGGGAGGCTATCCACATCATTCTCAGTTCGGATGCGCCGGTCGTGGATGGGTTGCCCGATGAAACCTCCTCACGTGTTTACCCATATTTTGTATCTACAGTCTACGACTCATTGGTTGGACCAACAGCAGGTTCCATACCGGACTTCCGATCCATATGTGAGAGATTGTGGTTTCGGTTTGTTGCGCCTGTGGTGAATGGCGAAACGCCCCCAGGCGGAAACAATGAGTGGGATTTCACCCGGCTGCTTGTCAAAAACAGAGCCATTTTCCGACACCAGGGCGAGTCTGCGCTGGTACATCGCATTGTACCCGATGAGACTCCTGCCACTACGAAACGGACCCCGCTGGCAAAAACCGCTTTGCCTTCGGCTCTCCCTTCCCTGCCGTATTTCTCGACCCTGATCCTCACATCCGCATATCTGGCCTCGCACACACCTCAACGACTGGACACAATCTTCTTCTCCAAATTCTCCTCATCATCCCTTTCAGCCCGGAACAAGCGTGCCCACCACCGCCGGCGTTTGAAAGTCCTCTCCCAAGCCCAGGCAGAAGATAGGCAAGCCGCGAACGACTGCCCTTCAACTCCCAACAAGAAAGGAAAGCGAACCAAAACACGTATCACAAAATCAACCCTCTCCTCCGCCTTCGCGACCTCCTCGGCCACCACGTCAGCCATTGGAGGTGGCGCAGGCATCGCTGGCCCGTCTACCATCCTCACGGCTCGTCCTTTCCCCCTAGAACGTCTCCTGGCCATCTACCATGCGATCGACCCGAACCCCCCAGCAACACCACTTCGAGTTGCAGCCGTTGCAGATCGTATCTATGCCGAACTGGCAACGCTGCGACGCCTGCGGCTTGTCGTCCCCGCTGCTAGCCATAACGGTATGGCGACTAGCAGCGGGAATACAACTGCTGATGCAGGAGATAAGTGGTGTGTCAATGTCTCCGGCGACTGGGTTGGCGAGTTGGCTAAGGGTATTGGTGTCGAAGTTGGTGAGTGGTTGGCTGGTGGTTTGGACTGATTCACCTTTACTTGAGGAGTACTGTCGGAGCTGGCTAGCCCTTGTACTGGTGATTCCTTCTTGCATTTTTCAACGGGAGTTCCTGGATTGTTGGCCCTCTAGGGCTGCATTGCATACTGGTTTTACTTGTGGTCAGGTCAATTATACCCATGTTATTATTTACTTGATCGTTTGCTATATCCGTATGGTAGTAAAATGCCTGGATATATTGTAGATTGTGGCGGTGCTACAACGCCCATGATTATCGTGCTAGAACAGTCAATTTCTACGACGTGTACATAGGAGTCGACGTACAGTATATATTTTGGAGATTCGATGTCACTAATCATTCAGTGTAACTACCACAATGCATGCTTGCATGCCTGCATACAGAGAACATTCACCCTACAGCATGAATAGACCTGCTGCGTCCGAACGCCGACCTCGCAGAAAAAAAAACACTTCAAACCAAATCGCCAAGAAACACCGAAGACCATGCGCAAAATCCCCTAACCAAAGAAGTTGAAATGACAAACAGAAACAATCAGCGCCGGAATTATGTCCTTCTTACCAGGTCCACTGCTCAACTACATCATCCGTGCCGACCAACAAAGTTGGTCCATGCGGTCCTCGCCACTCCGGAGTATCATTCCCATACTCGAATCGCACACAGCTAGGTGGTGAGGAATATTTATGCTCTGCGAGAGGCGAGGAGACCTGCAGTCCGGTTTGAAGAGAGAAGATCTGGATTTTGCAGTCCCGCGAGGCTAAAGCGAGGTGTATATTAGCATCGGACGAACTAAAAACAGATTTAATCTGATGTCCAAGGGAAACATACGATTAGCCAGCAGACCGAGCTCGGTGCTCACGTCGAAGGTTGGGAACGGAAGTGAGGTGAATCCAGGGAAAACGAGATAGGGCTTCGAGAAGTCATGATGTCTACCTGCCTCTGGCGCAAAACGGAGGTCGTACATTCGTAGCTGAGGTGGATGTGAGTGTCAGCTAACACCCGTGCCGTGTTGCATAGAGAAGAAAAGACGAAGGAGCAGACAGCACTACATACTGAGCTAGGTCCTGCTGCCACGAGCCGGTATTCATCTATCTGCTTGATTTCCATCACGGCGTCATTGTGTCGGAGGCGTGTAGCACTGCCACCACTGCGTAGGTCGTGAAGGAATATTTTGGAATTCTTCTGTCCCGCCGCAATCACGTCCGGAGACATCCATTCAACTGCATGCACACTAGTCTTGCTCGGGCTGTGCTCAGAGCGTCTTCTGCTACTCGAGGAAACAGTATTACCCTTGAATGGCTTCTTCGATAGGCTCCAATTGCTACTGGAACCCTCTAGAGTATGGAGCCCTTCTGAGGTTCCTATAGCGAAGTGGGCATTTGATCCTGTGGGCTGGGCTGCAGAGCACCAGAAGGACATCGGGTAGTGAGGTCTAATCCGAATCGGATGAGAGACTGAAAAATTTGGGTAAGCGTGGTGCTAGGGGAAGGATATACAAATGGAATCATACAGGTTGGCCAGACATAGTTGCCTCCTTCATCAGGCTCTGGGAGGAGATGGGCTGAAAGGAAGCAGTCACCTTGTGGTCCTTCGTTCATTGTTGCACTGGAGTTGTTAGCAATGAAACCTATCGAATATGATTTGTATGGAGACATACAGTAGGTATCCTGTGTGGCTCAAAGACATGGAACCTATCTAGAAGGGGTGTTAGAATATAGGTTCAATGGAAGGAAGAAATGCTGGGATGAATGTACTCACCCAGTACGGCTCTTTGAAAAGCACCCGTTCCATGGTGTGATCATATCTCCACTGTGACTCGTCAACGTCAGGGAAACAGACCCTATTCTCTGGTTAGTAATAATTGACATTCGACAGAGACAAGCCCGCCAACTTACGATACAGATGATTCATATCCGCGAGCCGATCCTTGTCATGTATGTCAGCCATATTTGGAGATAGTAAAATCCAATGAAACTCACCGGCAATCAATGTCCCAGAACGTGGGTTGCGCAAGACATGTTGAATGCTGTACGAGTTAGGCCATGGCTCGAAATGATGGAGTTCCCCACGGCGTAGTTGACTGGCCTGAATGCGAGCCTGCTGTTCTTGCCTGGCCCCGGAGGATTCAATAGCCCCAATCTCTCTTTGGATATTAATCAACGGGTGTTTCAATGACACAGCCTTTTGGATCGTCTCTTGACTCTCACGTTGTCTGAATCTTGCCTTTTTTTCACGTTCCTGTGATTGATTAGCGAATGGAATAATGCACATAAGTCCCTCTTGCTGACCGTCAGCTCAGACCGCTTTCGCTTCACAGATTGCTGTGAGTATTGTGCATTTGGAGGTGCGACATGGTTGGCCTGAATCTTGAAGTACTTCTTTTTCGCCTCGTCTGTGATACTCAATCAGTATGAGTGGACACAGGAGTTGAGGTATTGTCGCGGGGTAGTTGGCCATTGTACGCGTAGATACAACAGTAGCTCATGGGCTAGGCAATACGATACAGCTTGTGTGTATGACTGGCACACACCGGCACGCGTCTTTACGTACTGCCCTCGCGTACCCCGGCACAACGGAAGAAACACATCAAAACACGACTCACCGTAATAGTACCCTGGGATGTCTTGAGGCATGATTGCAGACGAGCCGCGAGGTTGCAAAGATAAAGATCAGCGAGAATGCACAAAGAGGAAAAAGAATCCAGCTATGTTCAAGTTATCGAAATGGTCATGAGACTTCCACTTTCGAGTGTCTAGCACAAACGAACAGCCATAGTGGATTTGACCGCCCACAGATCAACATGAACAAATACAAAAAAAGACAAGTCTATTTAATTATCATAGATGCGAGAGATGCGAGACATCTCGAATCGATTTCCACACGCAGTTAACAGTATTTCAAGGTGAAAGCTCGGGAGTGACGTGAGCTTATGTAATATCAAATGTCAGATTTATGCCTCAGGCCACAGTTTGATGTCAACTACTCCGTATGGTGGAAATGTATGGGTCCAATCAATCGTATTCAACTCTCCGTATTGCTGTATTGACTTCCTGGCAATTTATACTGTCCTGATTACATAAGAAATATTACTGCATACTTAGGATTAATAAATCCTCCGGTATCCTGGTGTATCTGCGCCGACACACCCCCTCAGCGGTCCCAGTATGCTTGCTGAGATCGCTGTATCATCTTGTAATTCCTAGTCTATAAGATGGCCTATATCAACCATGTTGAGCAGTCGCACGAAGCTCTCATGCTTTTGCCGAGTGAGCAATTTGGTGAGGCCATCAGCAACCATGCTTGCTGTAGGCACCCAGCGCACCCGTATTCGACCCTGTTGGACTTCCTGGCGGAGCCAATGGTGGTGAATATCGACATATCGAAGCTTCGTTTCAAAAGCTGTGTCCTCGCTTGTCAATAAGCTGATAGTCCTCTCGTTATCACAGTCGATTGTCAGGTGGTGTGACGGAGTAAAGGCGAGGTTTTGAAGCAATCGGCGCCACCATTGGAGCTGCTTTCCTGCCTCCGATAGGCCGAGTAGCTCTGCTTCTGTGGTTGACGTTGTCACTGTGGGTTGCTTGCTTACTTTCCAGTCAATTGGACCGCCGTATGCTTGATAGATATACCCAGCTGAGCTTTTTCTATCCGGGTGGTCTCTATACGAAGCGTCACTTGCAAACTGCACCGAGTCGGTCCCAGTATTGGCTGTTCCGTACTCAATCGCTAGGTTCCGGGTGGAGTAGAGGTAGGTGATGACTCGATCAGCTGCTTGCTGGTGCTGTGGACCGGGGTTCGTGAGAAATTGCGCGAGCTTCGCGGTCGCCTTTGCAGCGTCGGGCCTAGTGATAATGGTGGCATACCCTGCTGAGCCCACCTTTTGCTGGTATAGCAGGATTTCCTTTGGCGTTGCTACCCCCTGAAAAGGGGTCAATTCCTCAACCGGTAGTGGAGTATAGACTGGTGCCCTTTCTGTCAAGTGATATCGGGTAGCAATGCTTGTCACATAGCTATCTTGACATAACCAGAGCTTCTTTTATTGCCGGTCTCGAATGATTCGTATGTTTAGGAACCATACTGCTTCTCCATGATCGGTCAGTTCCCAGTGTGCTTCGAGATCTCGCTCTAATTGCTGTGCCTGCGCCTTTGCATTGGTATGACTGGCGATTAGGATATCATCTACATAGAAGAAAACCAGTAGTCCTTTTCCCATAAAAACGCATAGGTCTTCTAGCACTTACTGTAGACCTAGCTTGCGGAGCACGCTTGCTGCTTCTTGCTGCCAAAGTCGTGGTGAAATCCGTAGACCGTATAGCGCGCGACGTAACTTCCAGCATTTACCTAGGTTTTGAAATCCCTCAGGCATATGCGTATACGTCTCTTGGTCTAACTTGCTGTTTAGGAACGCGGTGACAGCATCTCTCTGTCTTAGGTCAAGATCAAAGGCAGCAACCAAGGCAAAAATCATCCTCGCTGTCCTTGCTGCTAGCGTAGCAGCTCTCTTTTCCTCGTAAGAGATGGTTTCAAGGTCTCCGCGCACACAGATACGGGCCTTAAGCTTCAAAAGGTACCCGTCCTGGTCAAATTTGTATAAGAACACCTATAAAAGAGGGAGAATCTGCTTCCCTCGGTCTCTTGGTTTCTTAATGACCTCAAAAGTCCCCTTTTCAGAGAGGGAGTTGATCTCCTTCCTCATCGCTGCGAGAAAACCTTCCTGAAATGGGTGGTTCATCATATCCTTCCAGTATTTTGGCGGTGGTGGGAGGTCGTCTCGGTGGCGGCGAGTGTCTGGTTTCTCAGCGTATAAGCCAGCGGCAAAAGCATAGAGTAGCGCCGGCGGTTCCACTTCTTAGGTGGTGCTTGTCGCGTAGGCGAAGTCTTTTTCCTGCCTTACTTAGCGTCTACGCCTACCACTGAGTATATTGCTGGTATCCATATCTCCGATTATCTCTCTTCTCGGAGCCAGTAGCTCTGCCTGAAGTTGCTTCTCTAGTTCGTCTTCAGTGGTTTCAAGATCCGCTTCTTCTTGCTGGATCTGGTCCCTTTGATCTCCCTCGGTATCCACCCCCTGACCAGAGCCAGTATACCTCTCTTGCTCCTGCGGTGGGGTGATTGGTAGTGGTGGTAGGGGCTGTTCAATCGGAAAGGAACCTGGTAGTGCTTGTGGTGGAGGGTCTGGGGTCGGCCAATATGACCTATCACCCACCCCCTGGACTGGGGTAGTCCCTCGTTGGTTGACTGTTATCTTTTGGACCTCTGCTTGTTGCGGAACCTCCTCTTGCTGCTGTACTTGCTGAGGCTCCTGTGCTTCCTGTAGATCCTGAGTCCTCTCTTCCATTGTACTAGTCTCCTCTTGACTAGTAATTTGGTGGTTTATCACCTATGCGACCTCCTTAACGGTGAGTTCCTGTGGTCCCGTTATAGCTGGTAGTGGGATAGGCTGATATTTCTTATAATCAGGGGTATATTTTCGTGTCTCGTCAATAACTGCATCCCTGATATGCCTCACTTTCCCACTATGTGGGAACCAGATCTTCCAGATATTCGAGGTAAGGTATCCCACCACGAAGCCAATCTCTGCACGTGGGTTCATCTTATCGGACTGTACTTGCTTCTCAATCCTGCAGTACGCCAAGCTTCTATATAACCTAATATTTGATAGGTTTATCCTCGGCGCCTGTGGTGCGACTTCCTTCCTCACTTCCTCCTATGGTACCACCCACCGATTCTCGGCGGCGATATACGTTGGTGTACGATTTAATAACCATACAGCGGCGCTTGCGAACTCCGGCCATAGCTCCTTTAGGAGGTTCCCTTCGAGGGCGAGTATACGCATCCGGGTGATAATCATTCCACCTGATCTCTCAGTATACCCATTCATCTCTGAGTGCCCTGGGGGGGAGTGATATATCAGGATACCATCGCTTGTGAGACTATACTCCGCTGCTCTGCCAGCTGCTGCTTTATTGTCGTAGTGGAAGGCCTTGATTGGCAGCTTCCACTGATTTCTTGTAAGTTGTACAAACTGGTTGATGGCCAATTGACATTCAGGTTTCACTTCGTGAGTCATGATCCAGTGGAATCTCGGTCCTTCTAGGTAGAAGTGGGATATCCAGCGGTGCTTATTGTAGGCTGGCTGCAGCTGAATTAGGTCGAAATACACCCTTCCAAAACGTCCAAAGGTACGTCCAACTTGTCGTCTTGAAATCTGCCTCGGAGCACTTCCTGTCTTACAGGTCTGATATAGAGATTCTTGCTCTGTGCTTGCTCCTCCTTTATCGTCAAGAACAACGCCGTCTACCATAGTGGCAAGCTTTGCTACGGTCCGCGGTTGAATGTGTGCTAGGCGTCGGTGCCAAATTTCAGAGGAAGCCCTTGATTCCTGTGGCTTCACTGATTTCCGTTGTGCTTACTGCACAGTATATGCTTGTTGTGGCGGAGCCTCGCCTGGCTTGTCAAAGATCCAGAGATTGAATTGATCCTATAGGTTCACACAGACGATAGGTCTATCATTTGGGTCCCGTATACAGTTTGTACGTTGGCACCAGAGGCCGCCTTTCTTCTTTAGTATCGCGTACGATACGAGACTCGTATAGAAACTTGGTGAGTATAGAGCGTCGCTTAAGGTGATCTCTATCCTTCCCTTTACCGGGTGTCTCCCTAAAAGTCTGACTTTGCCTCTCCCTAGCACCTGCGTGGTACTATCTCCGGTTGTTAGGTCAATTATATTAGGTGTGAAGTCGACGAATAGGGCTCGGTTATTGCAGACATACGCACTTAATCCGGTATCAAGAATCCACCGGTCACGGAGGGAGGGCTCGCCTGCCTTTGCCACAGAGAGCACGTGCTTGCTAATCTGTATAGCTTCACTTGGCTTGCTTCGAAAAGTGGTTGCAAAGCTGACTTGGTTAGCGGATTCGGCTGGTTTTTCCTGTGCTTGCTGAGCTTGCTGAGCTTCAGCTATCACTTTATCCACCTATTGCTTCTAAGCGTGGTCCTTTCCTAACTTCTTCTTTGCTTTCTCTAGTTTCCCTTCGTTTAGGGTATACCCTTCTGGCCGAATCGCTTCGTTTAGGAGCCAGCAAGTAGCAACTTTATGCTTCGGGTGTGAGCTACCACAAGGGCAGTGTCTCTTCTCAAACGGAAGCTTCTCTTGCTTTGTTTCCGGTTTCGCCTCTTGGTGACCTTACCAGGTCGAGAAAGCGCCTTTTGGAGGAGTGGTTGATGACACCACCTATGCTCCTATCTCGCGATTCATCGCGCGGAATGATTCAAGGAGATCTCGGGTATCGTACACCTTCTTTTCCATCACTATTTCCTGGTATTTGCCTTGCCACCATATAGGTAGAACTTCTTTCACGGCGTGCAGGAAGTCCCTATTGGTATCTCCGTCCTTGATACCAAGACTAACCGCTTGCTCCCTTAGCGAGTTCCACTTTTGGAGCCACTTGTCGATGTCTCCAGTCGGCTTCTGCATTGCAAACACTTTCTAACTCATTCGGATTTCCTCCTTATACGCGGTCGATCGAGCGAACCGAGACTTCAGATACACAAGTCTATCATACGGTGTACGATATATGATCAGTGCGAGGTGGTGTACTGGGTCAAGATAGGTGAGGATATATTCATTTACATCACTCAGTCCCTTTGCTTGCTTCTCCCATCGAGTATAGCTCATTTTATACACGTCTGCTTGGTCTCTCCATTTCCTTCGATCTGTTTCGGTGCCCTCTTCAGGATATTCTGGTTGTACCGGTTCCTTTAGAGTATCAGGTCGTTCAGTTGACGGGGTATCCGGGTTGCAGTGATCCCAGACATTTTTTTGCATTGCGTATAGCTGCACCTTCGCAAACCAGGTGAGCCATTGCGGTGCATCCTTCAGTTTATCGCCCTTCATGGCGGAGAGAATCGATGCTGTTTCCATTGCTGGATGCTGTGTTGTTTTGATGTGAAACAAGGGATGACTTTCTGCGGAGTGGCTTCGTGGAGGTTTATAAGACAGTTTCTAGCAAGTTGCTAGGTACTATATGCCGATATAGTAGTCTTATTCAGTGCGAACCGGGCTTATAACTGTCAACTACTCCGTATGGTGGAAATGTATGGGTCCAATCAATCGTATTCAACTCTCCGTATTGCTGTATTGACTTCCTGGCAATTTATACTGTCCTGATTACATAAGAAATATTACTGCATACTTAGGATTAATAAATCCTCCGGTATCCTGGTGTATCTGCGCCGACATTTGATATCTCGTCCGGGGCCGCGGCGGCGACGTAAGCGCGACCATCTTTTGTTTTTGTTTTTGTTTTGAATTTGCATTTGAGTTTGAAATTCATACTCTGCATTATAATTTCCTGCATTCATATCGTTATCAGAATGATCGCGCTTTCCAATTGCACCGGATACCACGGAATACCGCGGAGCGAATAGTCAAAACATGTATCTTCACGCAAGTCGGACTCAATTCAACATTTGAAGAACTGAATATCACTTGCGACCCCAATTTGATTGTAAGCCATGTCGCTGAATTTTCTCGTCTAGGCCGCGGCGTGTTTGACAGGCGACGCAACGTCTGTTGCGTCCTCACTTGACAAATCCAGATCATTTTCAGGCTCTGATACGCCGGTATGCCTACCTGGGTATCAGAAGATCCAGAGACTTCAAATTTCCCAGGCTCCGATGGCCTTATATGCTCTGGATTGCATCATGAGCAACACCGCTCCAGGGCTGTCACTCTTTGACCCCAGGCCGCGGAACGCGTGATCATGATACGACCATTGTCGCACCGTAGCCTGGCAACTCAAGTTCCAGGCTCCGATAACCTGGTATATCTCTCCAAACTGTGCGATTGGCCGATATCGCGAGTGTCATTGCTGCGGCTTCATTGAATCCCTATAGATGAGCCAACTGTACACAGTATTGGCTCGTTCTCTATAGGCCGAGAAACGACAGTGAATATCGGACAAAGCGCAGGCAGGCGTAGTCAGGCGTCTGCAATGAAACAAGTGCTGTCGGTCTTGGTTGGCGCCTACCTGGCGCCGGTCGTCGTCGTCGTCGTCGTCGTCGACGTCGAGGGTCGCTCCTTCGCCTTGACTCTCGGCGTCTCGGCGCTCCCTTCTCTTCTTCTCTTTTTTTTCTTCCAACACTCCCAACATCTGTATCAACTCTCCTCTTTCCATCACATCTTGCCATCATCTCATTTCAACCCTGAGCATCCATTAATAACATCTTTTAGGTAAGTGTGTTTCTGGGTTATGGTTCTTTCTTCCAACTGTTGATAGTTGGTCATGTTTGCCCGAACGGCAGGGTCATCCCTTGTGCCTTCCTGTCCATCTTTCATCCAATTTTATTGTATCAGATCAATGATGTATCCGCTCATTCCTCTTGCATGAACATCCTTTTGTTTGACAGCTCGAAAGTTTGACAGTTTGCTAATATCCTTCAGTTTTTTCTGCCGCCGTTTCGCCATCATGGCCAGACCCAAGTCTGACCTGATGGATGAACGAAACGTGCCGCTTAGGAGTCATCCGCCTGACAAATCTCTGACTCAAGACGGCGCTGAAGAGGAAGGTTCACGTTCCATTAATCTTCCGCCGCATCAAGATCTGCTTCAAAGCGAGAAACCCAGCCGTTCCCAGGAACGCAACCGGTCTCTCAGCCCTTTCAAGCGGCAAGAAGATTCTGAACTGCCACCCATCCAGGCCAGTAGCTCGACACCGTTCATTCCCAAGTCGTCAACTGGCCCGTTGGATAATCCGGACTCCGCTTTCAGTAGAGAGCGGCGTTTCCTGTCCAAGCTGCTTGACACATTCCATTCGAACAAAGCCGCCATTTCTGGAGAGGAAAGCCATGCCGACAGCTTTACGGACCAAGATCGTTTTCAAGAAGAAAGGGACAAGGCTGTATATGAAAAATTCCGCGACAGCCTGAACAGCAGCCTGGAGGACGATCCTTACAATGAACCGGAAAATCAAAGTGAACAATGCGACAGCTTGATAGCCGAGCAAAAGGATCAAGTCAGACTGTTTCGTTCCAGTTTGCTTGCTGGTACCAAGGCTCAGGAAGATCGACTTGGCCGTTCCCGTTCCCGACGGACTGCGGCGCTCTCTGAAGATCTTCAAGTTGCCCCCAACATAGCTTCCGGATCTGACACGCGCACTTCCATTATCAGCGAGAACAAATATTCTATGCTTGATGTTCAAGAAAATGACGAATTTTCTCTTCCCGACACTTTGAAGCCCCTTACCTCTTTCCAGGAAGAGAGTGAAGAATCTCTGGACTGCCTCATTGATGAACTGGAAGCTGAAGATGGAAAGGAACCTGACGTAGATGCAATCACTCTCCGAGCTGGGGAAATTCGTCCATTCCCTCCTGCTCTGCTGGAAACCGACGTCAAAGAGGGCCTCAACGACGCAGAGGTGGCCATGCGCCGCAAGAAGTATGGCTGGAATAGTATGGAGGAACAGAAACGGAACCATCTCATCAAGTTCCTTGCCTTTTTCAATGGCCCAGTCCAGTGGGTTATGGAGGTAAGCAAGACTATTCATCTTTGACCACTATAGTGTGGTTGGAAAATCATATGCTCACAATCTTTTCTCAATTCCAGGTTGCAATCTTGCTCGCCGGCGGCTTGCAAGATTGGATAGATTTCGGAATCATCTGTGCTTTGCTCCTATTGAATGCCGTGGTCGGATTTGCCCAGGAATACCAGGCCGGCAACATTGTCGAGAGCCTCAAGAAAACTCTTGCCCTGAGAGCACTGGTCGTTCGCAACGGGTCCATCGTGGAGATAAATGCTGAAGAGGTCGTGCTGGGCGATATCATCCACGTGGAAGATGTGAGTTCATGGCAATTCGAGAAGTAAAAAAACGAAAGAAAGACGTTGATACTAATATTCCTTATAGGGCACAATCATTGCGGCAGATGGCAGACTTGTAGGCGACGGCGCCTACCTTCAGGTCGATCAGTCTGGAATCACAGGGGAATCGCTCGCCGTGGATAAACACGAAGGTGATCCTCTATTTGCTTCGTCGGCTGTCAAGCGTGGGACTGCGATTATGATTGTGACTGCCACTGGTGATCATACCTTTGTCGGAAATGCAGCGGTCCTAGTTAATAAGGCTGGCAATACCAGTGGCCACTTCACTCGAGTCCTGCGTGAAATGGCACATATTCTTCTGATCCTGGTGGTTTTCACTCTGCTGGTCGTGTGGATCAGCAGCTATTACCGCTCGAATCCGATTGTCCAGATCCTTGAATTCACGCTGGCAATCACTGTGGTCGGAGTTCCCGTCGGTCTTCCCGTGGTTGTTACCACAACAATGGCCGTTGGCGCATCTTATCTGGCTAACCACCAGGCCATTGTGCAAAGGCTCTCAGCTATCGAGTCGCTGGCTGGAGTGGAAATCCTCTGTTCAGACAAAACGGGGACACTCACTCGTAACAGACTGACATTGGGAGAACCATACGTAGTCCCTGGCATGAGTGCAGAAGAGCTTATGCTGACTGCCTGTCTTGCAGCAACTCGAAAGAAGGGTGGCATAGATGCCATTGACAAGGTATTCCTCAAGGGTCTCCGCCAGTATCCGTGGGCCAAATCTCAGATCATCTCGTACAAGACTCTTGAGTTCACTCCATTCGATCCGGTGTCAAAGAAAGTTACCGCATACGTACAGGCTCTGGATGGGGAGAAGGTCATCTGTGTGAAAGGAGCTCCTATGACCATCCTGAGAACCGTGGAGAAGGAAACCAACCTGTGCGAGCCTTTCTTTGCTGAATATGAGGCAAAAGTCACCGAGTTTGCCAATCGAGGATTCCGTGCACTCGGGGTTGCCCGCAAGCGCCAAGGACGACCATGGGAGATTCTGGGAATCATGCCATGCTTGGATCCACCTCGCCATGATACTGCTAAGACAATTTCTGAAGCTCAGGGCCTGGGACTCTCTATCAAGATGCTCACCGGAGATGCAGTGGCTATCGCACGCGAAACGGCACGTCGGCTCGGTCTCGGAACCAACATTTACAACGCTGAACGACTTGGTGTCACTGGCGCCGGCTCTATGTCTGGCTCGGAGGTGAATGATTTTGTTGAGGCCGCTGACGGCTTCGCAGAAGTGTATCCCCAGCACAAGTACAGTGTTGTTGAGATTCTCCAGCGCCGAGGATATCTGGTTGCAATGACAGGCGACGGCGTGAACGACGCTGCTTCGTTGAAGAAGGCAGACACCGGAATTGCGGTCGAGGGTGCATCCGATGCGGCCCGCTCTGCTGCTGACATTGTCTTCTTGGCACCTGGCCTGTCCGCCATTATCGAGGCAATCAAGATCGCTCGCCGTATTTTCCATCGCATGTACTCGTATGTGGTGTTCCGAATTGCACTGTCCATTCACCTGGAGCTCTTCTTCGGACTGTGGATTATGATCAAGAACGAGACGCTCGACCTCCGCCTGGTTGTCCTTCTCGCCATCTTTGCCGACGTTGCTACCCTAGCCATTGCTTATGACAATGCCAATTATTCTCAATCTCCTGTGAAGTGGAACCAGCCAAGACTCTGGGGAGAATCGGTTGTCTTAGGGTTCATTCTGGCAGTCGGTACCTGGGTGACGCTGGGCACCATCCTGTTGCAAGGCGAAGATGGAGGTGTTATCGAAGGATGGGGCTCACGAGATGGGGTCTTGTTCCTGGAGATTGCTCTGACCCAGAGCTGGTTGATTCTGATAACTCGTATCAACGGATCGGGATCGGGATCGGGATCGTTCTGGGCCAATCTCCCATCGTTTTACCTTATCGCCGCCGTGGTTTCTGTCAATATGACTGCAACCTTGATGGCTGCATTCGGTGCCTTCGCTCAAGCCACATCCTGGCTAACTATCCTTCGCGTGTGGATTCTTTCCTTCGGTGTGACATGTGTGAACGCACTGGCTTACATCGTGATGCACAATTCGCAACGGTTTGACAACCTCATGCACGGCAAAGGTCCTCGAAAGAGGGACAGAGAACGCTCCTGGGAAGACTTCGGTAAGTTAGCAGAGGCTCAATTCTTTCTTATATCTTTGAGACGGAAAACTAACGCATCGTAGGTCTTGACATGCAGCGGATGGCGAAACAGCATGAGAAGAGCAGCTAGGGGTGGTTCCAAAGCCCCCGGTGCTACAATGAATGGGGATGAAATAGGGATGATGAATGCGGAAATGGCATTAATCGATGCATCTTAATGGTTTCATGATATTGAGGAGGAAAGATGGATGCATAACGGACGATGTCTTGTTTCTCATAAGAGACCATGCCCAAGCGCGAGGTCTCGGGAGATCTGACCTCTACGTTACATTCTCTATTATTATCCGGCGCTGAACTGTGATTTACAGACAGGCCTTAATTCTTATCAGATTTTATTGATTCTTTTCTTCCTATTGTATAGTCTCTGCTAAAGCTTTTGATACAGTCACAATCTTGGAATGGTGCTTGCGGCGATGAGAACACCTCGAAGCCTACATACACATTACCGAAGGAATTGGCATCTTCAACCTTGGAACAATCGAAGAGTCTCCGCGGCCTTGCTAGGCAGCGCAGGCGCGTTATATGAATATCCATATTTTGCGGGTATCGCCTCGAGTATTGGATATACTCAACAGCCACGGAAAAATTCGTCCCAGGCAACGATGAAGCCAAATCCAGATATAGCAAGCACTTTTCCAGGTATGGTTCTTTCACAAATATGGAACGTCCCAAAGCTTATGTGGCACGCGGAAAGTGAATGATTCGAAACGGGGATGCAATCTGGGCAGTCCTTTATAGCTATAGGTTGTATGATTCTTGCGGCGAGTGGTGCGAAATGAATACGACTGCGTTTAACGAACACTCCAGGAGGTACGACATTAGTTACTAATTATATGCAGCTAACATGACTAGTACTACTTCCATCCATATCTAGGTATGTAACCTACAAGACCACCCGCGGATGTGTACCTGCATATTTATCCTGGGACCGCAGCCTAGTCACCTTCACAGCCCTTAGGCATCGAATAATCGCCCCAGGTAGACCAATTGCAGATTACCCAAGTGCCTGGCAACTCTTCCAGAATCTTTCAGCGTTGCCCTAAAAGGACGCTGCCAACCTAAATATGGTCTCTGCGTGGCCTACCAAGATCGCACTGGAATGCCATGTGCATCTTTGAACGATAAATAGGTATGTCTAAAAGGATGGATTGGGAAATCCTTGGCTGATGCCTGAATATTTATTCTCAAATGTCTCCATTCCCTTTCTACCGAAACGACTTATCATCTGCTGACTAGAGGAATTTGAACAATGGGTCTATCATGGACTTTATCGAATGTGACGGAATTAGTCACACAAGTATTGGCAACCCTGTTACTGACGTTCATAAATGGACATACTATGTAGAAGATATTTGAAGTTGCTGGTCTTTAGATGCCTAGCCGATATGTAAGATGACTTACAATGATTAACCACAAAACAGAGTAGTGAATATCTGTTGGAACTAATATGATAATCAATTGGTTTTGGTGTTAGTCGTCACACAATTTGGAGTTTTTAATTGGATGGTTCTGTTTCAAACTTATTGAGAAGAATGTTCTAGAACAGTGGCCGTTTGGTCTTGGCTATCGGGATGAGCTGTGCGCTCCCGTCCACATCGGAGTTAGGGTTATATATTAATACATAATTCTAAGCAGAAAGGTCCCTTTGAGCATCAACCCCAAGACTTAGCTCTTATAACCCTCCAAGAAACATACGCTTTGGGACACTCTTCAACCCCAGTTCAAATACTCCCTTCATACAAGAAAAGAGCCAAATTTCAAGCTTAACTTTAAAAAGACTGAACAAAATATTCATACATTATGCAGCTGTCCTAAATGCCTATACAAATGAGTCAAAGTTCCCTTTCAACAGCACCAACAACCGGGACCCCCGATTTCACAGTGGCCATGCCAGAGTTGCCCTCCCCCTCCGCACTATCTACGCTCTGGCTTTGATATTGACGATGGTTTACCGATATATCATCCATAATATTGAACTCTTTTGCCTCGGTGTCAGCTTCTCTCTGGAAACCCTTCTGTCGGAGGTACATCCGCCAGAAGACAAGACTGCCATGAATCTGGGCCGCGGAGAACGCCACATGCAGGACTGGCGTGACAACCTTGAAAGCGAGTCGCCACCTGTCCCACGTGCTTGCAAACAACCACATCGTCACTACCGTTTCGGCGACTGTCCCCATTGCAGTTGAGAAACAGGAGATGAGGAAGACCCTGCTGAGGAATTGATGCCGTGTGGGGAAGGTACGGTAGAGGATTATCGCGACGTGGGGGAATAACTCGAAAACGGCGTCGAATGCGCCTAAAGCCCAATTTCATTAGTATTATTTTGGGGTTTTCTTTTCGCTGCAGGACCAGATCCCTGGATACTTACCCCAGACAGTACACAGGACAAACTCGATGTACGCATCGGGTTCCCGTAGCGGTCGAAGACTGATCGCTATGGCCGCTTGCCCAATGAAGATTGTCCCGATGTGATGCATCACGGCCACGGGCGACAACTTGACGCGATAGATGAGCTCGAAAATGTATATACCAATCAACATCTGGGATACAACAACTAGGATATCTCCCAGTGTCACCACCGAGCCTTTGACGAAGGGTGTGCTGAATGATGGTCCTTTGCAGAAAGCGACACTGACAAAGGGGTATGCGGCAACAATCAAAATGATTAATTTGGTGACTCCCGCGATATGGTGGTTTATGAAGCCGCGACGGTTTAGTTCACTCATATCTGTATAGACGGAGCCATATAGACGACGGATGAGGAATCCTTCGAGGATGTAGTAGCGAACGAGGAAGAATACGACCAACACGATGGAGATAATCAAGGCTGAAAATGGGGCCAGAGTTGAGATTGGCCCGAGATCTTTTGTACCCAGTGGAACTGAGTGAGGGTGTCGTGCGAGAAGCTCCATCGTGGTATATTTGATAAGCGAATGTATTTGAAAAGAGATGAGGGAGAAGTGATAGGATTCGATAATGAGTGATGATCTATCTCAGCAAAGTAAAGAATGAAAGACGAAGCTTGTGATGTGCGTTTCTTTGCGACATACGTTGGCCACCGTCGGTTGTAGGGGAGAAACGGGGGAAGGAGTGGTGGAAAGAGCAGTGAAGATCGGGTAGGGTAACTACTTCAGGGCCCCGTGTAGACAAAGTCGACTCCACATAGAAACTGCACCGGGCTAATATGCCAATGGAAATTCGAGTATAGACTCAGCCCCATAGAACATACGAAGTTACACTAAGCTCACTCTTTGCCTTTCGAGGCAACAGATTTTTTTTTGTCTTACATTGGAACAAATTCTACACAATGGGATCTCAACTATACATTAGATTTAAAACAATACAAGAGTCTCTTGTCTCTTTAAGTCAATTCATGAAAATCCAATCGAACCCTTTTTATTTACAAAAAAGCCAAGCTTTGCGTGGACGGCAGCAAAAGCTTATGTAGTGGATACTAATGATTCTAGATGATTGGCTGTGATTCTCCATGTCCGTGACTACTATGGAGTAGCATCGGTTGCAATATCCTCTTATTTAGGCAACAGGATAGATAATAGGGCTGCCTGCCCAACCCTGAATGTACTTCATATATAATATGGCTATATTTACCAGATCGGAAATAAGTGGAAATTAGGTTGCCTGGAACCTTTCTGGGGGAAAAGTCAATTGACGATTCTAAAATTATCGTCTACAACATACGGAGTACTAATATTATAACTTCTTTCCTAGTAAATGTAACTCATGCTATCATTCATGTCATGACTTTCACTTAAGCAACTACAAAGGCACCACTTGCGACTCTAGAGGTAGGACCCTTGGATTTCGATCATGGCCCCGTAGCTAGGGTCCCAGTCAGACTGGACTTTCAAGGCTCTCAAGGTCATGCCCACGTGCATACACTGAATATCAACTAACCTCATTAGCCTTAGTCTCAGTCATAACAGATGAGGGATAATACGAGAAAATAAACCTTAAATGTGTAAGGCTTGGAACAATTCTTTTTTATATTCAAATTGTACGAAATGTGACTTGAAAGGATGTACCGAAAAGCAATATTCGAGAAGAAATCTAACTGGCTCTGCGGATATTCAAAAAAGGAAGAGGACAACATCAGTGCACATGGTAAGATATGGTTGAACAGGTCCGGGTTCTATAACAGTCCAACGTACTTTGTAGGATTCACCCCACCTCTACAGTGGATCTATTAGCATCAAGATTTCCGTATTTCATGCAAGTTGATTCAATTACATATAAATGATGACATGTTGATATTAAATTATCCTCAGACATAAAAACTAGATACATATGGTATATGAGATTGCCATGGAATAATATATTTCATGTCAAAGCTTCATATCTATGGCAGTATCATAGATTATACTGCGGTGGAGAAATGGATCAGTGATACCTTACAAGTCAAATACACAGAGCCGCGACTGATTAGGAGGTGATATGATCATTTTGACCTTTTTCAGAATGGGAGAGTGAATATTTATATGGTAGCATGTTGTAAAGATCGCCCAAAGTGATCTAACTGAATGATTAGTCGGGTCACCGTTGATTATGCGTTATAATCTGCGAGTAGGCCTTATGCATAAAGTTATTGAGGCCCAAAACAAACTGCAATATCTTTACATCTTGTTTTCCCTCTTTGCCACTAGCTTAATGGGGAGTTGCCCACGCATCAGCTTGCCCGTCGGGTTTCTCGGCAGCTCATCAATGTGGTGCAGACCACCTCGAAGCTTCTTGTATGTTGCTACTTGACCCTCGAACCAAGCGTGAATTTCATCGAGAAGAGCCTGACGCTCATTCTCCGGAACTGAAGCAATGAGAGTCACGTAGCCAATTGGCCAATCTGTTTGGCGACTCTCATCAAAGTAGCCACAAACTGCTGCTTCTAGTACTTTGGGATGGGCGCTAAAAATGCCTTCGAGCTCTGAAGGAGCAACTTGGTTACTGTTCAAGATATGTGTTAGCGTAAATTGATCCTTCCCATTAGGAAATTGGAAAGATGGAAATCTTTACTCTTGGACTTTGATCAACTCCTTTTGGCGTTCATGGAACCAGAGAAACCCATCTGCATCCATAGAGAGAACGTCTCCAGTTCGAAGCCAGTCATTGTGGAAGGATTCATTTGTTGCTTCGGTATTGTTTCGGTATCCCCTATGGATTGTCAGTCATGCTCCCATATTGAGTTCAGGGCGATTGATAGGCATTTCTCACATGAAAACTGTTGGCGCTTTGGTCAGTACCTCGCCTGGAGTACCCGGCTCAACATCTTGAAGCTTTTCGTCGACAATGCGAATTTTCCTTCAAAACCTCATATTAGAATTGATAGGTTCATTCTCAAAAAGGGGTAATGATTCGGAAAACACAACTTACACCCCAGAGAGTAAACGGCTGACGCTGCCCACTTTCTCAATCGACTTGTTGTGAGGAAGTTTACAGATGATTGTCTCGCTCATTCTAGTTCCAATAGCGTTAGGTGATTGCCATCATCTTTGTGTGAGGGATTAGATATACATACCCGTACGTTTGCACGAAACATACGCCTTTGAGTAACTCCTGCATTTTTCGTACAACTTCCGGCTGGAGGGTAGCACCAGCACTGAGTATGTATTTAATACTGCTCAAGTCCAGTTCCTTCACAAGTGGATGCTGGGCAAACGCAACAGCAACACTCGGAACAACCTTCAGTGTCGTAGCCTTCACCTTTGCACATGCTTTGATGTAACTAGGAAGGGTGAAATTTCTCATTGCAGCAACGTAGGAACCCATGTAAGCGGGGAACAAAACGGCGCCCAAGGCACCGATCATATGTGGGACTAATAAAAAACAGTATCATGTCAGATGAGTTGGATATTGGGAGAAACAGGGGGACTCTTTTCAAAATGGTCCAGGCAGCTACCCAGCTGAAGCAGTACCATCCGTAAAGATTATGATCTTCATTGGATACTCACATGGTGCAAAGAAAACCTCGCGAGCGTCACAATTGTTGAGCCAGGCATCGGTGGTTTGGCTTGCCTATAAATGTGCGATGATATTGTGATGACTGAGGATAGCGGCCTTCGGATTTCCGGTCGTGCCAGAGCTGAATAGGATGAGACAAGGATATTTGCGGTTATCCTGCCCAGACAAATCGAACGGGGGGAGAGGCGTCAATTCGGAAGCTTGATCGATGTATGAACTTGTGAACTATGGAAAAGGAAATCACGAAGTCAGCAAACATTGCTTTTGCAACAGAGTGGAGTGAGATATTAAAAGCAGGGAGGTAGAACAAGTGTTCATTAACATACAGATCCATCGCGGTCCCCCAATTCCACAATTTGGGGCATGAATGGAGGGCCCTGTTTCATTTGTAGAGCCTCTTTTACCCGCCCAGTAAATTCAGCCTCACAAGCAATGATGGTCGGCTCAATAGTAGCTATCGCATGAGCAAGCTCTGCACCTGACTAGGCGGTGTTCACTCCATTATAGCATGTCCAGTTAGTTTTCTCGAATGCTGTTACCAAAGTCTCTGGAAGTAGACTTACCCAACAACCCCACCCATCCACATAACAGTTACCACGGGGGGTTGGGTCTTCAGCGATGCAGCCATGATGATCATGTTGAGAACTACTAACAAAAAAGAGAAATCTAGGAATTTAGGATGTTATGGGGAATACGTCATATCAGCTTTTCCCCACACTTTGTATACTCACCCGGCTGCAGAGCCGTACCGGTTCACTAAAGCAGCAGCGCCGACGGCAGCTTGAGCTCGAAGACCACCATATGTCAACTTCTTGTAAGGAAAGCCCAAATCCTCGAGAATGGGATTGTCTGCTGCAACCATGTCGGGATTGTACTGAGTCAAAAACTGATGAACAGACAATCCATCTGGTACCGGGGTATCAGGAAGCGTTAAATGAAAGATTAGTTCCATGTTTGAGGAGATTCGAGACCTTTGTGACGAAAGAAAATCGTTCGAGGAGGATGGATTTGAAGCTAGGAGCTTGAATGCTGGGTTTTCAACAAGTACTGGGCGTGAGAAGATTTTTGAGACCTTGTATCTCTCCAACTTTGCCTGAACTTCATGAAATGGTCAGCTATAGAAAGCGTTTAAATAACCGGAAAGCATAATCTTATGAAGATATACTACATAATTCTAGTTAGGCACTGGTCGGGTATCGTGTCCAGTTTGGAGCTCGGTCCGAGTAATTCAACATTGCTGATTTCACAGGTGGAGATATCATTATCTATCACTTACATAGATTTATGCAGCAAAGATACATGTATTTTTAAAACAGTGCCATGACAAGTTCACCTCAACTCCTTGGTGCCTCGGAGGAGTTGAGGTGAACTTGTAGCATCTGTCACTAATGCTGGAGGCTTGGGAGTTATTGGTGGCGTTCATTATACCCCTGAGGCTCTCCGTGAGGCCCTGGTAGATCTCAAAAACGACCTTGTTGATAAAAATGCGCCATTTGGCGTATATTTACTCATTCCCAAAGTAGGAGGTGCCGCAAGAAAGACCAAGTATGATTCTCACTCCACGGCGACTGATAATATGACAGCTAGCTAATATTTGACTTTCAGTCATGATTACTCACACGGAAAGCTCGACGAGCTTATTGAAATCATCATCGAAAGTGGAGCCAAGTTGTTTGTATCTGCAGTTGGATTGCCACCCAAACATGTCGTCAAAAGGTTTCACAAGGGTGGCGTTCTTTACATGAACATGGTGGGACACCCAGTTCACGCTCAGAAGGCAATCGAAAATGGCGCAGATCTGATTTGCGCCCAAGGAGGGGAGGGAGGTGGCCACACTGGTGACATTCCTACCGTGATCCTGATTCCAGCAATAGCCGAAGCAATTAAAGGCCAACGCAGCGCATTCACGGGCAAGGATGTTGTCTTAATTGTGGCTAGAGGTCTCTTCAACGGCCAGTCACTTGCTGCCTCCCTAATGCTTGGAGCATCGGAGGTCTGGATTGGAACTCGCTTCATTCTCGCGAAGGAGTCTGGCGCTTCAGCTTACCACCAAAAGATGCTGCAGGAGACAGGCTTTGACGACATTATTCGGACAATTATCTTTAGCGGGCGAACTATGCATGTCCGTGCCACGCCCTATATTCGTCGTTGGGAGCGAAGCCGTAGGCAGGAGTTGCTTGATCTTCAAAGCCAGGCATTTTGCTCGCCAGGTCACCAGGTCACCAGGTCGTGGTAATAACTGGTAAGCATTTATCAGTAATTACTAGTAGTTAGTAGTAAATAATAGGGATTCCCGAAGAGGTCAATTTCATGTGATAATTTCGACAGATGTACCTTTTAGCTGACCAGGTCACCAGGTCATCCCTGGGTCCTTTCCCAGATTCTACGTCCAAAATCCCCTGGTTATTACTAGTAGCCCAGTAATCACTAGGAACTACTAGAAAATAGTGGAATCGTATTTCTTTTTCTGACCTGGTGAGCTGCTCACCAGGTCAGACAATTTTATCCCCTCCCAAAACCCTCCTATGGTAGCCCCTATAAGCTACCATCAACTACTCGTAATTACTGGTAAATGCTTACCAGTTATTACCACGACCTGGTGACCTGGTGACCTGGCGAGCTCCCTATTCCTTCAAAGCCGGGGCGTTATCGCAAACCAGAATGATCTTGACACTAAGCAGGATGATAATGAGATACTTGAGAATGCTCATCCTGTCATTATGGGCAAGGTGGCAGCTGTGGTCAACGAAATCCTGCCCGCAAAGGATATTGTTGAGGGTATGGCGGAAGAAGCCTGTGAGCACCTGGAAAGTGGACATGCCATGAGGAGCAAGCTTTGAGGGAGGAATGTGGGCTATGTTCTATTTGAATTGAAAACATATATATTCAGAGGCTTTTAGCAGATTGCCAGATTTAGTCTCGAGTTTGGCTTCTCCGGCATGTTTGTACGCTGCGAGGCCTGATCGATCAATACACACTTACCACAATTACTTACCATCCGCGTCCTAGAATATAAACCGGTAGCAAATTCACGGTCTAGTATACCGCGATTAGTCGATAATGACAGGTTATCACAAATACGGCGGATTGATACTAACAGGCCGCGACATGCCAATGTTTCACAATATATATCCAATTCACAGGGTTTGAAAATGAATTTGACAAAAATTTGAATAACTACATAGACATTACTGTGGTAATTGGCTTTAAATTTCGACACAAAGAGAGCAAGTAGTAAAAGGCATAGACAAGGTAATAAAGTGAAGGGCATAATGGAAAAAATGCGGTAGGTTCTAATTTGCAGCTCCCTAGCTACGAAATCTACACACTACTGATGCAATCGGGCATATTGGTTGTAACTCCCAGATTCTTCCCACATCTAGGACAACAAACTGAAGAGATTGTTCAAATTTTAGACTCTGCCCATTGTGGTTGAACCTTCTTTGCAAATGCTTCCACGCCAATCTTAAAATTCTCCCCTTTGAGTACCTGGTCCACATACGCCTCACGAACTCGTGAGGTCGCGTGTTGGATACTCGATGTCTCCCATGCCTGCCTCAAGCCCTGTCGCGTGACCAAAATGGCGTCCGGAGAAAATTCAGTGATCCGCTTTGCAATGGCCAAAGTCTCCTCCAACAGAGACTCAGGCGTCTTGGAGATTCTGTTTATCAAGCGAAGGCTCAGAGCTTCTTGCGCGGGTAGGCGACGGCAGGTCAACGCCAACTCGGTGGCAATTTGCATACCACACACTCGTGCAAGGCGTGGCAGACCGCCGGCTGCGGCAAATAACCCAACTCCTGCTTCCGGAAGACCAAACTCGGCTGTGGGTGAGGCAACGACGATATCGCTAGATCAAACATTATATATTAGTATCAAATAGCATACGCCCAAGGCACATTGAAAGAATGGCCCAGACTGACCAATTGAGACAAATCTCGAATCCTCCGCCAAGGGCGAACCCGTTCACGGCGGCCAACACGGGCTTTAAGCCTTTCCTCTGGCTCAGTCCTGCGAATCCAGTGGGTGGGTGCATATAAACTGCTTTCTGGGCTGGAGAAATGTGTTGAGCCTGTTTCGAGTTCTGTTCCTGCAAATCTTGGCCCGCGCAGAAAGCCTTGTTCCCTGCGCCGGTGATTACGGCAACAAGCAGGGATGGCTCATGGTCAAACCAAGTAAAAAGCTCAAGGGCTTCCCAATGGGCGTCTGATGGTAGGGAATTTCGCTGCTTCTCACGGTTGATGGTGACCAGAAGTGTCCGGGGTTGAGGAAAGGATACAGTATAGTGCTTTACCACGGGGGGTTGGGTCTTCAACGATGCAGCCATGATGATTATGTTGAGAACTACTCACAAAAAAAAGTGAAATTTAGGAATTTAGGATGCTATGGGGAATACGTCATATCAACTTTTCCCCACACGTTGTATACCTTCCTTCACGGTGGACTTTGGTGAGGAGTATCGACCAACAATGTACCGCGGCCCTCGGTCTTTAGTGTGCCAAGACCACCACATTCACCTAGAATTAGATGCAGATTAATGCATTTATCAAGGCATGAATGCTAGAATCATAGGAAATGCAGGTGTCAGCTTTTGATTTTGCAGTCTCAACTTACTACTAGCCAAGGCGCACCGGTGGGTACTATCCGTTATGTCGGCTTCTGGGGTTAGGAACCCATCAAGGTCTTGACCCGGCATTAAACCTACAATTGTTGGGATCCGACATCAATAATGATATGTGAACCATCCTCGTTATGCTCACGCGGTCTTGGTTAGTGGCGATTGACTGTCCAATCAAATCCATCACCGAGGTTATTCGGCAAGTATTTGGGCCTGGGCTTGAGGAGATACTGAGCCAGTAGCGGCTATAGTATAGCCATATCACGACGATGGTAATCCCAGAGAGTTAATATCCTTGGACCTTATTTCTCACTCAATCATTGGGATAATCATCTGCGCTAATTCGAGAATGTCGCGCGCCGCCGATTTGACCCCCGTGGTCATCGGAGTCGGAGACATCAAGAACAACTCCTTGAAGCCCGAGCATGCCTATGAGCCACTCGAGCTTATGCTGCAATCCATTAACGCTGCCATAGATGACAGCTCAGCGGCGAGAACAAAGATACTTTCGGCCATTGATAGCATTGATGTCATTGCTAACTGGACCTGGCCATATCCTAACGTTGCAGATCTTTTGGCCGAGAAGCTCGGAGTGAAACTGGTGCACAAGCATGAAAGTGGGCACGGAGGAAATGCGCCTGCGAAATTGTTTGATGAGGCTGCTAGACGGGTATCGAAGGGCGAATCCCGTCTTGCTGTTGTGACTGGTGGTGAAGCGCTTGCAACCTGTTCGTTTGCTCCTGTATTTTGATTTGGTGTTCTGGGAAGAGGAAGATCTTAATGAAAGAAAAATATAGTGGCTGCATTAACTGCATCAAAGCAGTCCCCTCCTAAGAATTGGACTGAAATAAGCGACCATTCTTCTATATGGGAACGGTCACAGCGTGATGGTTCGTTTAACTCGAAGACAAAATAGGGGAGATTGCTGACTCGCATCAGATCTCGGAACACTGCATTCTATCGGACTTCCTATTCAAGTGTATCCCCTGTACGAAGCAGGACTTCGAGCCCATCGCAAACAGAGTTATGCCGAAAATCATCAGGAGTCGGCAGAGCTGTATGCCAACTTTGCTCAGATTGCGGAGAAGAATCCCGTCTCGTGGAACTATGGCAAGCCTGCTGCAACAGTCCATTCCATTGCCACAATAACGAAGAATAACAGAATAATTTGTTCCCCATGTAGGTCAAACTGTTGATATACCACAGGGTAGCATTAAGAATCCCCAGATCCCCTCTTGATGAACGCCTTCAACAATGTCAATCTGGCGGCTACGTGTATTTTGACTTCAGTGGAAGTTGCGCGTGATTTGGGAGTTCCAGAATCTCGCTGGATCTACCCCCTTGGAGGTGCAGGAACCAGCGACACCAGCAATTGTACGTGCATCACTCGTCTTCTTCATTTAGTGGAACTAACAAAGATGCACGCAGTCTGGGAACGCACCGACTTTCACTCCAGTCCAAGTATCTCAAACTCGCTCGATGAAGCTCTTAGAATATCTGGTTTGATTAAAGAGGACATCGACATTTATGACTTCTACTCGTATGCCTCCTTCCCGCGATTGCACCGTTCTACTGCTAACTTGTGAAGCTGCTTCCCTATCGTCCCCAAACTGGCCGCTCTACACCTCAATCTCCCTATCACCAGAAGAAACTGCCCCCTGACAGTACTTGGTGGGTTGACCTCCTTTGGCGGCGCAGGAAACAACTATTCTCTCCATGTACGACTCCCAGTTCGCCAAATGATATGCTTCTGACCAATTCAAAATAGGCCATAGCCCAAGTCGTTCGCGATCTACGCGCTCGCCGCGGTATACACGGACTCGTTCTCGCCAATGGTGGCGTTCTGTCCTACCATCACGCCGTGTGTCTCTCGGTTCGGCCACGCGCAGGTCGATCTTCGTACCCATCGCAAGCCCCTCTTCCAGAGTACTCGCGCGATATTACCTCACCACCGATTGCAGTTAAAGCAAATGGTCGCGCAATTATCGAGGTATGCGTATCTGAATCATTGAAGCGGCCCAGACTAACAAGTGCAGACGTACACGGTTGAGTTCCAGCGCAACGGTTCTCCTGGACAGGCATATGTGATAGGCCGGTTGGAGAACGGGGAGCGCTTCATAGCGAATGCTGCCAATGCTTCGACCCTGAAACAACTGTCTAGCAACACGGTTGAGCAAATCGGTTGTACTGGTTGGGTTGAGAACGACGCGAAATCATCGAAGAACCTGTTTTCGTTTGATCATTCACATGTCTAGTTCGTCTTATGTACAACCCCCTTGTTGTTTCAGCCAGAGGGAATGCTTTTGAGAATCACGATCCATTCTGTCAATTCAAGTGCTTCCCCCCTTGGTAAATTCTTATCCGATCATGTCGCTGTGCGAGAGACCAGCGTTTGGGGGACAGTGAAATGTTACTAGAACGTCGGAAATTACTGCGAAGGAGGTCGAAGTGGAGAATTCAAACCCCAAATGTGATCAAAGTCCCCAGTGGTCGCTAGCCCTGCGATTAACAGTCCGATAGAATTCTTGAAGGTCGCTCATTCGCAATCTCATTTACCCACACGGTACAATAGTTATCCCGGCTTGGCTTGTTTGATATTGCTGCGCCCTTGACCTGCAATCTTTTAGTTCTCGGCACAACTAACCTCGCGACAGCCAATCAAGGGCGCTGGCCAAAGCTGAATAATCCACCGAAGAACCGCTTCAGGTTATCCCGAAGCCCTAAGATCAGTAAGTGAAAAGACCATTTAGATGATATATATTTCCAGGACTTAGTTTCGGTTTCCTATTGCATTTAACCCCCCGGGAAATATTTTGAGAGGCATCGCTATATTCCCAGTGTCAAAGCCTCACCAATGCACAGTGTTTAGTGTTGGACATTTGTCTTCGTCTAACAATGTCTGAAACAGTGAGAAATGAGAAAGTCGACAATGAGCCCATTTTGTTGAGCGAGGCCTCCAAAGATGAATATCCTACGGGTTTGACCCTGTGGCTCCTTGTTGGGTCGGTCATGATGTCGGTCTTCCTGATCGCTCTGGACCAGGCGAGTACGCTCAAACCCTCCCATCTCTATTTGCTAGTTTCTAATATCAAATAGACCATTGTCGGTACTGCCATTCCAAAAATTACTGATGAATTCCATGGGCTTTCAGAGGTCTCTTGGTATGGATCAGCATACTTTATGTGTCTCGGCGGTTTCCAGTCCTCCTGGGGCAAAGCATACAAATTCTTCCCCTTGAAATCAACCTTTCTTGTAACCCTCTTTCTATTTGAACTCGGCAGTCTCATATGTGGTGTTGCACCAAACTCGAACACTCTAATCGTGGGTCGCGCCATCTCTGGCGTCGGCGGCGCTGGAATCGCGACTGGCGGAACTACTATTATTGCCTTCTGTGCTGAGCCAAAAAAGCGGCCGACTTTTATGGGGCTACTTGGCATCACCTACGATGTCGCTGCTGTGGCAGGCCCACTTCTCGGCGGTGCTTTTTTAGATAAAGCGACCTGGCGCTGGTGTTTCTATATCAATCTTTTAATCGGATTTGTCGTTGCGGTCATCATTGTGTTCTTTTTCCATCTTCCAAGTGCTGTGAAGGTTCAAGCGGCTACTTGGAAAGAGAAGGTGTTGCAGATAGATCCAGTGGGCATCGTCCTTGCGATGGCATGCATTATTTGCTTCATTCTCGCGCTCCAGTACGCGGGAACCACGCACGCCTGGAGAAGCAGCGAGGTGATAGGCCTCCTCGTTGGATTTGCCCTAATTTTTCTGGCTATGATTGCTTGGGAATCGTACCAGGGTGAATACGCGATGCTAGTGCCGAGACTATTGAAGCAGCGTGATCTCTGGGCTGCATCGCCTTACCAGTTCTTCTTCGCTGGCTCATTCCTTTTACTTCTTTACTACCTCCCTCAATACTTCCAGAGTGTTAAGGGAGCCGATCCCATTCAGTCCGGTGTGGATAATCTACCTATGGTGATTGCTATCGGAATCCTTGTTCTCGCAGGCGGTATTACCGTCACCGTCACCGGTCGTCCAGCGCCATTTATGGTTCTAGGCGCGGCTATTGCGACAGTCGCGAGCGGCCTTTTCTATTCAGTGGATATCCATACCTCTTCCGCAAAGTGGATCTGATACCAAATCCTCGCAGGAGCAGCTATTGCGTTTCCATATCAGAACTGCCTCAACATTGCCCACGCAAAGGTCGATGCTGAAGATATCTCCACCGTCACTGCAATTCTGTATTGTAAGATATTCCTCGGATTTCCACAGTCATTATCTGCCAGCTAACACAAACACAGTCTTTCAAACACTTGGGGGTGCGTTCAGCATCTCGGCGGCCCAGTCGGCATTTGTCAACCGGCTCATCACTACTTTGCCCTTGACTGCCCCTGGAGTCGATCCGCTAGCCGTTTATGTTACTGGTTCCACGGAGCTTCGAATTGTATTCCCTGCAGAAGATATCCCTGGTATCATACTTGCGTATATGCAAGGTATCAAGGCCGCATTTGCCGTTTCCATTGGAATGTTTGGAACCGCTATTGTGCTGGGTTTAATTCTTCCCTAGAAGAGAATCTACAGCAATGGAAATCAGGATGTCGTTGCTATAGCATAAAAGGCACGAATGGATAGTTCGAGCTAGTACATAGTAATTAGTGTACAACATAAGACAGCAATGTATTTTGGTGAAAGAGGGGTGCCTATTTTAGTTGACATGGAAGTCTGGAAATATACATATATTTTTTTAAAAATTACCCGAAGACCAGTACTCTTGTGATTATCTTACCTAGTCCTAGGCGTGATTAGTAAACGTGCATATGTCCACGGGCGACCTCATGCACATAATCTCTCCCGCATATCAACATGTGGCGCCTATATATTGCCCAGGTGTCGCCCCGCACCCCATTTAGGTGAGATTGAAAACTCACCCACAAGAGAGCGGTCTCTAAGCCCAGAAAGTCTTGGATCTTTTACCCTTTTACTCTTTTACTCTTCCAAACGATGCTACCTCGGACGGCGGAAACGCACATACGTCAGTCATGCGACCGTTGCCATAGAAGTTGCGATGTGTCCGTATGAGCTCCGAAAACACAGGCGGATGCATACGCTGCCTACGTAGACAAGCGCAATGTGTCTATAGCGTCTCCCTACCCAAGGGCCGACCGACCATATACAAACCCAAGGACATAGATGGTGATCCACCGTCAACTCCACTTCTAGGGTTAACTCCGCCTCCACCCGCACCTCTCGGCGCGACAGCCGGCCAATCGATTGTATATTCCATCAAACCTGCATGTATTTCTGGTATCCCAGGCCTCATTCTGGACTGGGATACTCCCACAAGGAATGCAGCGGAGGATCAAGACACTGGATCGGCTGGCCCCGTCCCAGTTGAACCCTCACCTCATGTACATGGACAATCTGAACATACCGACAGACGTCGTAGCATCATTAGTATGACAGACAGCGGAGCTAGCAGCAGCGGAGCTGGTCCTGACGTCGTTATCGGGCAACTTTCCAAACTCAGCTTTCGTCTCTCGGCATTGGGTCGCTTAGCCGACGAGTTCGCAAGACCATCACGATCATCAATTCAAACCTGGCGCGAACAGGCTCCCATTGATAGTAAGCTGGTCATAGATGCTACTGCTTTTGCATCGGTTGCCTTGTGGGTTGCACACGGCTCTGCTGGCTTCAATTCGTTTGATTCGACACGAAGTTCAAACAATCGCCCAACACCGGAGCCGGAGATGAAGACACCCGGCGGTATCCTTTACTATCTCTTCTCAGCCTCGCACTTTCTGCTACAAATTATAAGAGGCCAACACTTGCATGTCGAAGACAGTGCTCTCACGCCTTCTATGCCCACGACTCCGCCATCACTCGTGGAATCCAATCCATTCGACAACGCCATTCGCCATCTATGTATCGGCTGTTATTCCTCGCTTATTAATGCTTATATCTCGGTAATAAATATTCTTGGGCATGACGTAGAGCTAAGCAATCATGGGGAGAAGGCGATACTCGGTGATATTCGGCTCATCTCTATCGTGCAGATATGCTCTTACCTCACCGAACGACAAAACCAAGCGATAGGTTCATACCTATTCGCTGAAAGCTCTACTTCTGTCTCTCCTCCACATGAAGATTCGGGGGAGAACTCACATGAACCTGTCTTGCAATCCTCCAATATTGGTTTTAGGGAGGATACGAGATGTTTGAAAATGGAAGTCCAGGAGCGACTCTTGAGTCTACAACAAATTCTGACTTTTTGATCTCTGGGGCTTAGGATACAAAATATATTGGAAGGAAAGCCTAGCCTATTAGATCATTTAGTGTTGCGAGTCCCAATGAATTCCATTAATATGGAATTCAACCCTAATTTGGGCCTTTTAGTTCCAACCGTTGGAATATTCGAGGTTCCAAGCCCCTTAGCATTTTTTTAGTAGTCTTCTCAAATAATTCTTTCAGATGTCTTTGTTTTATAGTATTGAGTACTGTAGCTAGGATGATAAGAAGTATTTGGCCAGTAAAAAGGTACATGAACACAACAGCATACAGAAACCTTCTAGCTAGCAAAAGCAATTTATTTGTCACTTGACTCATTTTCTTCCAAGTTTGTTCAACAACTCGAGACTTTGGAAGTTCCAAATGCTACCACACAATAACATGCACTAGAATACGGATGAAAGTTTCATTTTCCGCTATGGCACCCCGGAACGAGATACATTGTTCCTGCGACCCCAGTCAAGATCCAATGAATGGTAGTTTCAATTGGGCAGTGACTGTTCAGTTTGAGGATGGTGTTGAGTAGATCATACGGTCACCTAGATCTGGCTCTGGTCGGTTTTCCGGGTGAATTGAGCAACTTCTTGCGAGTGAAGCTGCAACACTGAAGTCCCTCGGACGGGTTACGGATATCCCCATGCTAGAGTTTGACTCGTATATGTAGGATCATAGTTGGGCAACTTTGATCTATTCACTGATATATAAACAGTGCAATCTCCAAAAATACAATCGGCGTTCCCTATATTCTCATGAACAAGGCGAGGCGATGGTCTTTCCAAAAGCTCTGGACAACCAGTCTTTCAACGGACTAACTGAATCTAGCCGACAAATCAAAAGTCATATTCCGATTAGATCAAATTACATACAAACTTGCTCGGGTTTCTTTGAACCGCATTGGCTCGCTTTTCGAAGAGAATGATAATATCGAGTTACGGGAATGCATATGCCGGCGCCATATTCTCCACGAATGTTATTCTTTAGACGTGCTCACTCGTGGACTTTTCGCGACAGAGTCTGAGTTCTACAATAGTCTCACAACTGCCATGGTACACCATCAGAGTCTTTCCCTCTTACGACTCACTATTTCATTGCTCCCATACCTTCTCGCAAGGACTACGAAAAATATGTAGCCTATCAGGATGCCTGTAATCTTTGGAACGACTTTGTGGCTACCGGTGACAAGACTGATTCTGCGGAGAATTGGTTGGACTACATCCTTGTGGCGGATACTCTCAAACATCTTCGTTGTTCAATGCACAAACGACCACCTAACACACACTTTACCGGATTCATTTCCTCTCCATCACCCTGATTTGAACGTCAACAATATTTTTCCTAACCATGACTTTGACATCATATCAATACTTGATTGGTCATTTTGTTCTTCTGTCCCGTTTGCGGTCCTATTGGCTCCTCCTGGGCTGCCTCAATCCCGAAATGGACTTAGCAAGGATCTTATCAATGTCTTTTGAGAGGGATATAAGGAGGCATCAAGCCGAAATTTCCATAACGGAAGGCAGCCGTTTCTTTTTCTCGATACACTGCTATTCTAGAGCATACAAAGTTTTCCTAGTCCCTTATGAGACTTCTTACCTTTGATTCGACTCGTGATTTGCGTCTTTTTCGTACCCTCTGGAATACAGTTCACCCTGGCTACTATCTTGAGACTTTAATCATCTCACAGAGACAATTATCCCAATATGTGCAACTATACGAAGAGACGCAGGCAGAAGAAAGGCCTATGTCTGAGATTCGAAAATCGGAGAGAGATTGTTTTAGAAATACCATGAATCTCACTCTGGCGCAGAACCTCGCCGTGGTTTCAGATTGTGGGTTTAGCTATAAACCACAGTTGAATCGCTTTACAAATTCAATGACGTTTATTGTAAATCCAAAGCTATGGGCATGGATATCGAAAGCCCTAGAGTAGCGCGATTTATGATCGCACTTATCAGACCCACCAAGACATCAGATTCAACCAGCGAATTCTCACTGTTGTATGTTTTGTAGCTGTGCTAAGATATATGAAAATATTTAACTCAATTATGAATTATTGTAAACTACACTACACACGCAAAGAGACAATAAACAAAATGCTCGGTTCCAAGCCAATGGCATTTAGCAAGGAGCCGGATCAATGGGAGACCAATGTGGTCACAACATAAGGGAAAAAAATGAAGGGAAACGATATACATAGCGCTGGACAAACGGAGGGAAACATCGATGCAAAGGAAACTACTGATAGACCCGTCATCGATTCCAAGACTTCCAAGGTTCCATAAAGGAATGAGAGACATAGGCGCAAAAGCAAACAATATGTAGGAGATATGTGCAGTGAGAAAGGGAAGGTGGTCATAATCAAGTCTTTGAAGTCAGGTAGTCCGCAGCCTGGTCTTTAGTCAGTATAATGCAAAACAGAACGTGAAACAGAACTTACCTTGTCAAGGTTGTAGTCAAACTTCTCCAAGGCATCTAAGGAGTCATCCCGTGTGAAGCCCATACCGGTCAACCGCTTAAGGATCAGGTCATCTTCACCAGTGTCGTTGTCCAGAGCCCATCCAGGCTGCTTCGATGTCGCTCCGTTCGAGTCTTCGCCAGTGTGGGGCTTGGAGTTATCAAGAGGCGCAAAGAGCGCATCCCATTCGTTGGAAGCCGGCTTTGGTTCTCCCTCCTTAGGTGATCCGACAGGCGGGGCGGCAGCTGCATGGACGTTGTTGTCGAAAGCAAAGAACTGAGAGTTAGATTGAGAAGCATCGGCACCGGAGACAGCCTGCTGCTTCTGGGACGGAGAGTCGAAAGAGAAATCAAAGTCAGTTGTGTTCTTGGCTTCGTAGCTCTGTGGCTCGTCGTCGTCATCGTCATCTGCTTCGGCTGCGGGTGCAAGGTTCATTCCCGCGAAAGCTGCCTCAAAATCAGGTCCTCCCACCTTCGCTCCACCAGAAGGGATGGCAGCATCCGAGAGAGAATCCCGTTGGGTCTCATTGCTTACAACTGGCGCCCCAGTGGTGTGCTCCACTGAATGAGGCGCATCCGGTGCGACGGTAGGATCAGCACGCTCCGGCAAAAGGCCATCAAATTTAGGAGGAAGATGAAGGTTATCTTCTTTGGAGGCTTCATATCCTGGAGGGCTTTGTTGTGCCCCAGGGGACGGGGGTTTGTTTGAGTTTCCCGGGACAGGGAAAGCAGCCAATTGGGCAGCGTCGATGGAATCCTGCTGGGTCTCCTTTTTGGCATTTGGCGCGGGAGGTGTGAAATTGTCATCGAATCCAAACGCACCCTCGTCGTCAGAGCTCTCATCTTCATCTTCGTCGTGGTGTAGCTCTTGAATTGGGGGGAATTCGGATGCAGCAGCTGATGTAGCACCATTTGTCTGCCCAGCTCCAGCTACAGGCTTCATAGAAGCAAATGCCTCCTCGAAATCGTTACCTTGCTGAGATTCCGACCGTTTGTGTGCCTTGCTACCAAACAGCTCGTCGAAGCTCAAGTCTTTGTTGTCTTCGACCTGGCTCTCATTGACAATAGGGGATGTCACAGGTTCCGGCTGCTGAGCAGTTGCGGCTGGGACCTCGGGGAACTTGGCCGAGGCATCCTGTCCTTCTTCCTCAAATGGAGAACGTGCCAGGGTACCTCCAATAGTCGAGGTTAGTGCACGACTGTAGTCGCTAGATTCCGCCACTGATGTAGGTCCATAGTCACTGGTAGCCGCCTGAGAAAGTGCATCGAATCCAGAGGGCTCAGGGCCGCCGAATCGACTAGCAGGAGGCGAAACCATAGTAGAAGAAGTTACGGACTGATTATCGTTGAACTGCAGGAAGTTCGGAGTCAGTTGTCGGGACTGGCTCGGAGGCGGTGGCTCAGAGAAGGGCCCAGCAGGGAATGCGCCAGGCAAAGAGCCAGGGGGAGGAGAGACTGATGGGGTCGTGACAGCAGATGTAACAGGAGATGTGACCGCAACTTGTGGCGACTCGGCGCGGAACGAAGTGGGTGGTGGTCCGGCAGCAGGGGCAGCTGCGAATGACTGTCCGAAGAGACTGTCAAATGCTCTCTGCTGATCATTCGAGACATCAGGGGATCGAGCTTGTTCACTCGAGCTGCCTGTTCGACGGAAGAAAGGGTTTGTGTTTTGGCTTGCCGTAGAGGCAGCAGGGCTTATGACCTCGGGCACACTGCCAGCCGGTGTCGCAGACTCCTCGGAATACTGTGGAGTCTCACTAGCCAGACCGTCAATTTCACCCTGGAGCTTGTCCCGTTCGCCTTCGACAGTAACTAATTGCTTTTTGTTAATGGCAACAAGGCCCTTCTGTTGGCGCGCACTAGATCGCGCCTTCTCTAGCGTCGGCTTAAGCTGGGCAACTTCGGCATTGGCCTGGCGGATCTTCTCTTTCAGGCTGGCATTCTCCTGCTCATCGGTAGCCAAGGCTGTCGAAACTTGCGCGTATTGGTTTTGCAGATCCTGGCGGGTGGCTTCCAGCAATGCGTATTGCTGTTGTAGTTTCTGCGTCTCTGCCTTAGATGACTTGAGGCGCTCCTCAAGTGCCTTGAAATTGGTAACCTCTTGCTCATACATTGACCGTGCTTGGGCAAGACGTGCCTCAAAGTCACGTTTTTGTTGCGAAGTTTGCGTAATATTTTGTTCGGCAGTGGTCCTCTTCTCCTGCACGGTATGCATTTCCTTGGCCAGAGAACCGATTTGGTTGGACAAGTTCGCGAGTTCCGTAGTCTCATTCGTCAATTTGTTTGATTCTTCAGGATCATTGTCACCAAGGAGATCATCTGATGGAGGCGGGGGGGAGCGAACCGCTGTCGGAGGTCCCGCTGATGCACCAGTGATCTGTGGCTGCAAGCTCTGGCCGAAGGTAGAAGTTGGAACAAAAGGCTTGAAGGTGTGCGATGCTGTCTGAGGAGATGCCCTAGAGGAAGGCGAGCCTGGGGTTTGGAAAGCATTATTGGAGCCTCCAGTAGACTGAGGTATCTGGGGCTGGGTGAATGGCGGCGCGGGTGAGTCGAGACCGAACAGATCATCTGCAGCTGACCGCACAGCGGGGGCGGGGGCCGGGGGAGGAGTGGGGACTGCCATTGGTGCGGGGACTTGGCGACGCATGTTGGGCGGGATGAGCGCGCGCGGGACTACTTGTGGGAGCGGCTCCTTGCCGCTACGCTGCATTCTCACCAAGTACATAGCCACAGCAAATTCTTCCCGGCTTAGCTGGCCGTCTGCGTCGATATCCGCAAGGTCCCAGATTTGAGCAAGCGTTTCTTCAGGAAGCTGGGCCTTCATGAAGAAAGCGACAGCTTGGTCTCCGGTAATGAGTCCTAACTTGGCTGTATCAACAGTCTCAAAAATGCTATCAAACTGGGCCTTCTCTTGCGGGGTAATCAACCAGTCATTCCCGGTGGCCTGGGCGGAAAGAGAGCCAAAGGCTGAGCGATTGGCTTGGCTCAGAGGGCTTGCAGTTCGCTGAGGACCAGTAAATTGCTGGGGCATGGCCGGGACGGGGGGTACATCGGGTCTCGACGTGAAAGACGCCCGTGCGGGTCCCCTTCGAGCTGCCGCCTCATACAAACCAGGCGGGAGTGTCGCTGGAATGTTGCGCAAGGCACCGGATTTATATGACGTCAGGAGATGCATGGCAATCGTGAATTCGGTGGCATCCAAGGCACCTCGCTGCTTGGTGTCAGCCAAAAACCAGATACGACCCAAAACCTCATTTGGGAGCCGGGCGCGTTCGAAGATCTGTTTTGCGATTTCCCCTATACATCAAATAGCAAACACGTTAGATGCAGTGGCACTTTCTGGGCGGTGAAGAGCTATATACCTGAGATCATCCCATTCTTGACGTCCGACTTCTCGAACAGCGAAACGAATTTGTTAGCGTCATCCGGCTGAAGTGGAGGAACACGAATAGGTCCATTGGCTCCAGGTGGAGGGCTTTTGGCTCCTGATTCCGGGATGCTTGCCGTTGTGTCAACCACAATTCCGTCAAAACGAGGCAGAGGGCCAGCTATAAATCACATACGGTATCAGCATGCGTGCCACTTGTTTCAAGAAAATGTCACTCACATTGCAAAGCCAATTCGTCGGAGGGTGCACGGCCAGCTTGAGCATGTCCAATTAAGCGCAGAACAATACCGAAGCCAGACGGGGTTAGGAGACCCCTGTTCTCTTTATCCGCAATTTGCCATATCTACACCACCAATAATTAGCCATTACTCCCATTATCGCAGTAAAAGACCAATGGTATATTCACATACCAGGCCGAGGGTATCCGGGGATAGGTGAGTCTTCTCAAAGAATGGAACGGCAATTTCACCAGTGATGACGCCAAGGTTAGTGGTATCAGCAGCCTGAAAAAGCTGGAAGAAAACGCGCTTCTCTTCCGGGGTGAGGTGGAGATTCGGGTGTCGTTGTGCTGGAAGATTGTGATCCGTCAGTTCCGCTGGGTTGCGCATAAAGAACGTGGGTGTATGAAGGGAAGGGGGTTAGTGATGACGGAGGTCGGCGGGCCTTCTCCTTAGGTGCGCCGAAGCTCTCCTGCAATTATTTTTTGGGTCTGGCAAGAAGCATTAAGTGTCACTCACTGGTATCGGCCATTGCTGTGTCCTAGGAGGAGCTTAACTCCCCGCCTTCCAATGAGTTCACAATCGTTGGGGGCCTTGAGCGACAAGTTGGAGACACGGGATGCTGTCAGCTTAGTCTGAATATGAGACAAGCATGGGTGAAGCGCAGTGTTTGGTAGAGAGAAAGGACACGAGATATGAATAAATCTCGAGCTCCAGGGAAGAAAATAAACTTCGGGAGGAATGATAGAAAGTGGCTGGAGTCGATGTCGTAGGGGACGTTTCCTGGGGTTCTCAAGGCGGTCAGTCGGTCTAGCGCCCATCCGGATCTCAACACGTTGTTGTCTCGCCTTGAAAGGGGGAAGAAGATTATAACTACAAAGAAGAATTGAAACTCATTAATAAAGCTCGGAGCTTGCCAATTGTTCAAATTGCTCTCATCGCAGTTGATTTACGTGTATTAATTGCTACTGGGGTGCTTTCCGAACCTCAAGTAGCGTCTATATACATCAAGGACAGCGTCTTTGACAATATATATCAGCTAGAGAGAGAGAAAAAAAGGCCAAAAAAAAGATGATGGTAAGCAAGCCAAAGACATTTGGTGGATTTTTTTTAAAACATCACCCAAAACAGTGATCTAATTGATAAACTGAATATGGTAGACTAACTCGGAACTATAGACATCCATTGCAGAAAAGAAGGAGAGAAAAAAAGCGTAAAATGAAGACATTCTCTTCTATAAGAGCACCCATCAAGTCTATTATATTTACTCAATAGCAAGTCTCAGATCATGTTCCCTTAACAAGCTTCATTAATGAATGCTTCGACCTTCTGGGCCATGAACGAAATTAATATCGACAATAATCTTGGAAGTCTCGATATAGGTTTCAGTCGGAGGGTGGTGGTAGTAGTAGTACATGTCTTACTACCCCTGACACAGATGCAGCCAGTGCTATGGCGTGCAAATCCCTACAACCCCTAGGACAACTTACATACTAGTCACGACCAGACAATATACCAGACTTGATTAAGCTTGCTATGGCCATATTGGTTCGCATGCATCTCTTCTCTTAAGTCTCGAAATGCGCAACACAATAACCATATATCCTTCCAAGATTCCGTACAGTGTAAATCTAGGTGTATGCTGCATGATATTAATCAACTCAGGTGCCCAACCTTGGCCGGACTATGAGATAGGAGATTTCGCGAGTCAACCCAGCTATCTATAAATTGCACACTTTACGAGATCTAGTGAAACGAGAGGGAGTAATAACAATGGCATACGTATGTAGAAACCCGAAAGTTGGATGGAACGAGGGGAAATTTCATCGCTGCTTCAGGGATATTAAAGATATATCAAACAACAAAGCCAGAAAATCATTGGCAGCAAAACTTATGTTCCCTTCTATTTGCAAGAAGCCCAATAGACGCATGAGGACCGAACCTCTAGACTCGGCGTTGGTCCCCAAGCCAACCCGTAGAAGTGGAACAACCAAGAGTCCAGAAGACCGGTCACAAAACATGGCTAATCTAGTACTCGGGCTCCAGCTCCTCATCACCCTCGATGGAGTCGGAGGCGACCTCCTCGTAATCACGCTCCAGAGCAGCGAGATCCTCACGAGCCTCAGAGAACTCACCCTCCTCCATACCCTCACCAACGTACCAGTGAACGAAGGCACGCTTGGAGTACATGAGATCGAACTTGTGGTCGAGAGCGGACCAGGCCTCGGCGATGGCAGTGGTGTTGGACAGCATGCAGCTATATATCATAATTAGTATCAGGGTTGTAATCAGGTTCTAAGACCCAAGAGAATCATAAGAGAAACTTACACAGCACGGCTGAGGTTGGCAAGATCGCCGTTGGGGACCTGCTGGGGAGGCTGGTAGCAGATACCGAGCTTGAAGCCAGTAGGGCACCAATCGACGAACTGGATGGTGCGCTTGGTCTTGAGGGTAGCCACGGCACTGTGGGCATCCTTGGGGACAACATCACCGCGGTAGAGCAGACAGGTGGCCATGTACTTGCCGTTGCGGGGGTCACACTTGACCATCTGGTTGTGGGGCTCGAAGCAGTTGGAGGTGATCTCGGTGACCGAGTGAGCCTCGTGGGCGGCCTTGTCGGCGGAGATGATAGGAGAGTAGGCGACCAGAGGGAAGTGGATACGGGGGTAAGGCACCAAGTTGGTCTGGAACTCGTTCAGGTCGACGTTGAGGGAACCGTCGAAGCGCAGGGAAGCAGTGATGGAAGAAACAACCTGAGCGATCAGGCGGTTCAGGTTCTCGTAGCTGGGGCGCTCAATGCCGAGGTTGCGGCGGCAGATATCGTAGATAGCCTCGTTGTCGACCATGAAGGAGCAGTCGGAGTGCTCCAGGGTGGTGTGAGTGGTGAGGATAGAGTTGTAGGGCTCAACAACGGCGGTAGCATTCTGGGGAGCGGGGTAGACACAGAACTCCAGCTTGGACTTCTTGCCGTAGTCGACGGACAGACGCTCCATCAGGAGAGCACCGAATCCGGAACCGGTACCACCACCGAAGGAGTGGAAGACCAAGAAACCTTGGAGACCAGCACAGGCATCGGCAACACGACGCACACGGTCAAGGACCTCATCGATCATCTCCTTACCCACGGTGTAGTGACCACGGGCGTAGTTGTTGGAAGCATCCTCCTTACCAGTGATCATCTGTTCGGGGTGGAAGAGCGAGCGGTAGGTACCGGTGCGGACCTCATCGACGACATTGGGCTCGAGATCAGCGTAGATGGTACGAGGAACGTACTTGCCCTGGCCTGTGAAGTGGGGGAGAAAGAATGTTAGAAAGTCATGCTTTGGAATTTTGCACATCCAAGGCGGGGGGACACGATGGGAAAAATCGGGTTTTTCGTACCAGTCTCAGAGAAGAAGGTGCTGAATCCGTGGTCGGGGTCAGCCTTCTTGCGCTCCTCTGTGAGGTATCCATCGGGCTATCATTCATGTTAGTCGTGGGTGTTTACCTCTCGACCAGAAAATAGGGGGTAGGGGTGCCCGAGTCAAGGTCGGGCGCCATCTCGAGTTTGATTGGAATTTCAACGTACCTGGATGCCGTGCTCCAGACAGTAAAGCTAGAAAATCAATCTTGTTAGTTTACCGAAGATTTGTCCCGCAATGGATGTGGCTATTTACCTCCCAGCAGGAGTTGGCGATCTGGCAACCGGCCTGGCCGACTGTAGAGAGCGATCATGTCAGCGCGTCCATTGAAGAAAATATATCAATTCTATCTAGCAGGATAGATGGATGATGTTGACTTACCGTTCAAACTGATAATCTCTCTCATTGTGATCGAGTCGATGTTTTTTCAGGCTAAAAAATCAGGAGGGGAAAACGGAAACCCAAACAACAAACGCGGCGGTCTGAAACTCCGTCAGGTTCAAATCGACACGGAAATGCACGACGAAAGGGGGCGGGGGTGGTCTTCGTACCTGAAGAATGGAGAAATGGACGAGAAGATGAAAGGGAAAACAAACTCGACCAGAAATGTTGTGGAGGAGGAGACGTCTGTGCTGTACAGGGGGGAACTTCGTTGTTGATCCGTTCGTTGGGTCGCGTTGGGCCTTTTGATTGGCTCCTTCCCGGTGAGGAGCAGCGGTTACTGACCGCCTCGTAGGGATCCCGTGATTACACGTGATGGACAACAGATTAGAATATAGTATTGAAAAAGAGTATATTTCGAGCTTGAATAACTATACTGGAAAATTCGAAGGTCAAACATTCAAGAAGTGTATCCAGGGGTGCCCAAGTGGTGGACTTCCCTAAGGGGTAGCGTGGTGTGATAGTATTTTGGAGCTATCTCAATACTCGGTCAAGTTCGGATCCACTCGGGGAGGACCACCTCGAACCACCATTTGCCTATATCAAAGTCAAAGTACGGAGTAAGACACACACCTTGGTACTGTATGTACTTCCTTCAGTATTTCACATTTAATGCTAATTGAACTCTAGATTATTCTAGAGAAAAAAAGGGAAACACTGCCCCAGCCGCTTCATGAGCCAAGAATAAATCACTTAAAACATCATTCGTCCACCTAAAAATCTGCCTATATTGTACAACAGACTATCAACTCTCTCATCATGCACATCAAACTCATTCCAACACTGGGCCTCATTCTCCCCCTATTCACAGCAGTGGTACGAGCCAATGTGGAAAAGACTGTCTTCCTAGCACCAGCACCAGTGAGCGTGCCCTCTGAGGAGCCAGATCTCGACGACCTAGGTCTGGAGCGTCTATCACCACAGATGCCTGTGGTGCGCACTCGTCTCAATGCCTCATTTCCAACGAATGCCGCACCCGGCGGCACAGACTCGTGGTTCTTCCTTGAAAACCTGAACCCCGGCCAGCGGTATGAAGTACGAGTATGCTGGCTAGCCACAGTAAGACCATCCATCAATCCCTCCACTCCAATCAATCCTTTCTTTATTCATATATAATACCCATCGCTATACATAAATATGACTAACACCCTCCTTAGCAACCAACATCATTCACCCTCACCACCTACCCGCTCTCAAACGATTGGGACCAAAGCGTCCTGACTTCCATGAGCAACTACGCGGCAGCCCGACTCGCAACACTAGATCCAACACTCCAAACAAATGCTATCCCCCGCCGCGCCAGTCCACACAGTAGCAGAGACCCGCTCGATCCTGCACCGACCAGTGACTCAGTCCTGTTTCTGCATGTGCGCGCTGCAGCCGATTATTTCAGTACTGACCAGGCATTGATGGAAGATGTCCCACCAGTAGCAGTGGACTTAATTCTTGATCCATTCCTGTTTAATGTTTTCCCGCGGTCGTTGGTGCCGACTGCTGGGTGGATTGTACTTATTACTGTTCTTGCGGTGGTAATTGGGAGATGGGTTGTGATAGAGGTTGGGAGGGCTGTGAATGATGCTAGGAGGCAAAGTGTTTTAGAGGAAACGAAGAAGAAATGAAGTTGGTGTGGATTTTGCATATTTTGGAGATGTATTATTGAACTAAGCATGAACTGAGCGGAGAACCCCATTAATATATATATCTTTGTTCAGCCCGGCCATTGTGTAGATCACTCAACCCCAAGAAGTGGTACACATTGATGACGACAAGGTTAGTGAATTGTAAATGACCTAATGAAAGTGGAATGGATGGGAGTTATGGCTCATATAAGCGTCCTATAACATGGACTTTAACTACATGTTCATTATTTCCAAAGGCAAAATTGTGTAGCCGACTTAGAACTATAGACCCGGACAAACAAGGTCAAATGACGGAGATATAAAAAGCAAAATTCAGATAGCATAACAAGGAAGAGCAATTAAAGACCGAAGCTGCAAAATCAGGTACATGGCCCGGGGGTGCTGGATACAGGATGCGCAACGACAGGGGGAATAAGAAAAAAGAAACAGAAAACAAAGCTATGGGCAGTGTATATGAGAGCCAGTAGGCATAAGAATTAAAAACCAAAAAAACCAGAGTTAAGTCGACTCTCCCCTTCTTTCTTTTCTTCCTCTATGCGTCTCCCAGAATCTGATTGGCATCTGTGCCAGCCAGTCTATTCAAGATGAGCCCACGCGCTACCATCTAGGTCGAACAAGATTGCGCGAAACTCTCATTAAGTCGTAGCAACATGAATACCTGAGCCATTAACAGAAATCTTGATCTTAACCTTAATCTTCAAAGAAGTTCAAGATGGCGCGGATGCCCTTAGAGCCCAGGCCATGGGTCGGGTAGGAGATGTACAGCGGGTCCTCAGTAGCGCCGAGCTTAGCACGGAATTCACTCTTGCGCACAAGGTGGAACTGCTTAGCGAGGGCTTCGTAGGTGTGCTCCAGCATCTTGACCTTGGTTCCGTGCATGTTGTGACCAGCGGTGAGCTGGGAAGTGGCGCCAGCGCCAAATGTGAGGCCCTTAACGCCGCTCTTGGAGGCGGTCTGGATTGCATGCGTGACAATGTATTCAATAACACCATTGGGTGCACCGGGGAAATCAAGGCTGTATTTGACTTGCATACCGTGGGCAGGAGATAGCATAGCCAAAGCAACGAAAGCGCAGACGACGCCGTTCTTGTCCAGAGCATAGAAATACCAACGGTGCTCAGAGTCGCACCATGGGCGGATCTCGGACAGGTGCACCTGCGTGCCCTTGCGGTTGGCCAGCCACTCACTAACACGCTCGTCAATCTTCTTGCGAATGTCGTCTGGTACCATCTCGCCTTGATTCATCGAGACAAGTTTAATGCCCTCGTTTTCAGCGCGACGCAGCTTACGTGCAATCTCGCCGTCAGAGGCGGCCTGGTTGCGCGATGGGTCAACGCGCTCTTCAGCGATACAGGACAAACTGCGCCAGCCTAGCCGCTCGCCTAGGATAGTCTCGACCTCAGGCGAACATAGGATCCACACGGGCTTCAACTTTGTTTCGCGACGTAGCCACTGCAAGAATTGCGTGATTGTGCGCGTGTATTGCTTAGGGTCGCAGGCCGGATTACCGGGAATAATTGCGTAGTTGCTGGAGCTAGGCACGTAAGCCACGGCTGCGCCTGTGGCCATGTCACGCCAGATCTTGAAGCGCTCATCGAACCAGGAGGTCGATGTAGCATCGCCGTAGTTAGCGACCAGATGCTCCAAAGGCTGCAGCTCACTGGGGTCTAAAGCTACCCGAGCCTTGTGCTCACGGTGCCACGGCGGTTCCATGGTCGATGATTCTGGGTGGCGGAGCTGTTCAGAAACAGGCTTCGCTGGGAGACTCTTGGGATCGCGAGGGAACAGTGACGTCAGCCGGATGTTGCCTAGCTTGAGGATAAGCATCACGATACGTTCTAGGCCGACACCTGCGCCCGCGTGGGGTGGAGCACCCCAACGGAAGCCCTCAAGATACTCCTCCATATCATCCGGGTTGATGCCCACACGACGCATGTTTTCCTCAAGCATATGGGGATCGTGAATACGTTGACCACCTGAGACAATCTCTTGTCCACGAATAAACATGTCAAATGAGTTGGTGTACCTGTCATCTTCGGCATCGGGCATGGTGTAGAAGGGACGTGCACCGCGAGGGAATTTGTCAAGGACGTAGTAATCGGTGCCGTATTGCTCCTTGACAAGCTCACCCAGGCGAATCTCATCACGGGTACCCAGGTCCTCATCTAGAGGTAGCTGCTCGCCGTCTTCATTCAACCAACCCGAGTCGTTCAGCATCTTGATACCATCAACAAACCGAATGATTGGCGTATGTTCGAGCCATACGACATCCTCGGAGGGAAACTGGTACTTGACGAGCTCAACCTCGCGGCGGTACTTGGTGTAGATACCGTTGAGAATGTTCTTAATCACAGCATCAAGGGTCTCAAGCATCTCATGGTAATGCTCATCAATAGCCATCTCAATATCCAATCCAGTATATTCTGTAAGATGACGGTGAGTATTGGAGTTTTCGGCACGGAAAACAGCACCGATCTCGTAGACACGGCCGAAATCAGCAGCAATAGCCATCTGCTTTGCCAATTGAGGAGACTGAGCGAGGAATGCAGGGCGGCCGAAATAATTGACCTGGAAGACACTCGCTCCAGACTCGGTAGCTGCGCCTTGCAGTTTTGGGGTATGGATTTCAATAAATTCGCGGTCATCAAGAGCAGCACGGAAAAGATTACATGTTGCGGACTGAATACGGAAGACGGATTGCGAGTTTGCTGTGCGAAGGTCGAGGATTCGGTTGGCCAAACGTGTCCGGTCAGGAATATGATTGCGGCGGCCCTCGGCCTTGTCTTCTTCAGTGGTCCGAATCTCTGCCTCGTAGACGCTGAAGGGGACAGGTTCCTCGCGGCGAACCTGAAGGTGGACTGATTCAATGGCTAGCTCGACATCATGAATTGAGCAGCCCATCACCGGAACTTCGGGTCTCTGTATAGTGCCGCGAACCGTGACAAAAGAGCCCACCCGGAGGTGCTCCACCCACTGGACCATGGCGATAGACGAGATCCCCTCCCGCTCATGTAAAACACCCTGGAAGGTACCTAACTGTTGGCGGAATACCAGGAACACTAGCTTGGCACTCATTCGACGAATGACATGCAGCCGTGCGCTGAAAAGTACTTGCTGACCCTCCATGGCAATAGTTATGTCATCGAGCCGAGTCCGCAATTCTCGTGATCGAGTGGCCGACTGCATCAAGGGCAGCTCGCCGTATCGAGCTTTCATATCTGGCGTCTCCTCAGCTGCGGCTTTTGCAATCTCCTCATCCTTCCGGCGGCGGTCGGTCTCGGAGAACATCTCCTCGCTGAGACGACTGCGCTCGCTTCGACGGTGCTGACGCACCAACCTCTTTTGTTGGTTTTTGCTCATGGCACCGGTAGAAGAATCATCAGAGACATCATCAGATGAAGAGATATACTCATTCTTGTCACGTAGGAAGGTGCCTAGAATGCTGCGACGTGGGGATGCGGAGGGCGAACCGGACCGAGATGGAATGGAACGAACTTTAGGTGGCAGGGTAGAGCGAATATTGGAACCGGAGGAGTCATCTTCCCCTCCCAAGTGTCCTCTGATGGCCTTGGAAAGAGCCCGTTTAATCGACATAATGTCAGTGTATGGGGAGAAGGGAAAGAAAAAGTAGAGGGGCTTTGTATATATAAGGCAGGGTGGGGGAGGAAGGGCCCGGAACAGGGCGATCCAATGTTTCAAATTTTAGAAGGCTTGGAGATAAAGAGATCGACAACAAAACAGGAACTGCCCCGATGGAGGGTCAAATTGAATAGTCGAATAGTACTCCGTAGACCAGTAGACTACCTAGACAGAATTAAAAGAGTGAAGTCAATAAATATATAAAAACATTCTAAACCTAGCCAGGGCCAGGTGTGATGACATCATCCGATACCAAGAAACCCTGATTTTCTTGGTATCTTGGTATGGAGCCCTCGAAAACTGGCCGCTTTTGATCTTACGTTGTACTTTCTGTGAACTATTACTCCCACAATCCTGTCCAGCACTTTTGAGGCTATTCTTATTTCCCTCTTAACATCCTCTGCCCATTTTACTCTTCGTTATTCCCTCAATCGCAAATATTTCACCGATCTTCCGGTATTGGGGTTTAAGCCCATCTTATCATTCTCGGCTTCCGGGTAACTCCGATGCGCATGCCAGATCAGTAGGACAGAAGTTACTTCCCATTGCAGCATCATGGCTTCATCTCGTTGGTGGCTCTATGTGCAGGCCGTCTTTTGGCGGTTCCTGATGCGCATTGGCATGTTCCTACATGAGATCGGCGGATCACCACCTCGACCGTTATTCACCCGCACCGTTACCTCCGACTCCGATGGCCATCCCATCGTCCTCCACTTCTACTGTCCACCAGATTATCACGAGCAGCGAAGGCTAGGTCATCGCTTCCCTGTCGCTGTCAACTTCCATGGTGGTGGTTTCACACTTGGTGCCGCCACGGATGATTCTCGATGGGCGAAAATAGTGCTGGACAATGTCGGAGCCGTAATGGTTAGTGTCAGCTACCGACGGGCTCCGGAGCACCCATTTCCCGCGGCCGTAGATGATGGGGTTGAGGCGCTACTATATCTGGCAACACATGCGGGTGAATTGGGATTGGATGTGAGCCGTGTGGCGCTGAGCGGGTTCTCAGCGGGCGGCAATCTGGCTGTCACAGTGCCCTTGCGGCTGCGTGGCAGAATATCCACAGAAGTGAACGAACATCTAGGTCGAGCCGATTCCACACAAAATTTGCTCAATCAGGTCAGCGATCTCAACATCGTTGCTTTGTTCTGTTGGTACCCGATTCTGGACTTCGAAGAATCTCGCGACCACCGTCGTGCTATGAGTCTGATGCCGGACAAGACTCTCCCTGCATTTTTCACGACCCTCTTTGATGAATCCTATCTTCCTGATTTGGCTGAACGCGATTCCCCCTATGCCTCTCCAGTCCATGCATCTGACCGTATACTGTCTGAAGCTATTCCCCGCGATGTGTTTTTCTTTATCTGCGAGTGGGACATGTTGATGAAGGAGGGTCAAACTTTCGTTCGCCGCTTAGAGAGCCTTGGTAAACGCCCTCGTGCCATGCTCATCGAGAAAGCCAAACATGCATGGGATAAGTCACCCAATCCGTGGCGGGACCAACACAGCGTGGACGTTTTGTACCGCGATGCCTGTGCGGACATGAAGGCTATCTTCGACCGGTGATCGAATTGCTTGACTTTTCATGTATTATTCCCTTGGTTTCTTAGCACTGTAGGATTTGACTTTGGCGTTTGAACAACTGGCATTCACGGCGTTGGCTATTCATAGCGTTGTTTGATGTATTTATCCTACTGTCACTTTATCAGCCTGGTCATATTGTAAACCATAGATACATACATATGTTGATATAAGGATGTATGTATGTAGTATAGTTGTGGCTACAGCTGCCGTATCAGATTCAAAGTACATAGTTAACTAACGTATTGATATATACGTAATATACACCTCGGCTGTAATATCCCGAGGTCGAAAAGTCGAAAATCACACATGTAAGCGATCGGGACCTCGGGACATGGATACAACGCCGATATCTGAACAAAAGTACGATGTGCATATGTACGATGTACAAGATAATGAATAATGTCGGCCGGATCCTTTCCCTTTTTGGTTTAGTACTCGCCTCATGCCACCTTTTGATCACAGGTAAGATATCGACTGATTACAAATATACTTAGCGATAGTTACTATAGGCGTCCGTACGGGTATGCACAATAATATTGAGTTGACTCATATTTGCGCCAGCAAAGCTGCACACCGCTGAGAGGAGTTTTTCGTGCTTACAAAAGACACGCCGGGATGGTTATCAAGACCGATCTCAGCAAGGGTCAAAGCTAAAACAATGTTAAGGGACGAATCATCTTGATTGAATTTGTGTGAACTGACCTTCGGGATTATAACTTGGCCATCCCATAGCTCTTAGTCCGTTTTGGGGATCGGCGATAAATGTGCCCCAAGCCGAACGCATCTCCTCCTGCAGCTGGCGCTGCGTATCGGACTCGGCGATCCCGGTAACTTCGGCGGATTCTCCAAAAATCATGTTAAACTCGACGCCATGGTATGCGCCACTAGTGGGGTAAAGACGGGTATTATCCCAATCGGCGTTATATTGAAACCGCCAAACTGGTGTATGTCGACGACTTCGATGGGCAGCTTCGAAATTGGATGGGCAGAAGAACGTTTGCATATTGAAGTCATCCCACTGTTCATCTGTCAAGGTAGATCCCTGGGCGTAGGTCGCAATTTTGTAGAATCCCGCTTCATTGGCATTGTGTCCGACCAAGTAGGGCTGTTTGGGGAAGACGCTAGTTAGCAGCTACATTGACCAGTATATTTGAGATGTCGGAGAGCCCACTCACGATACGGGCGAATTTCCCTTGCTGCGAAAGAAGAGTATAATTCTCAAAAACGGTCACATCGTCCACAGTGGGCTGGAAAGCGGGGGCTTTCCTCGCAGGGTTCGTGGTCGGAACCTTGACCGCACTAGCAGCAGCGAGGATTGCACTCGCATTCTGCTTTCTCATGCACGGCAGGACATCCCCTGAAGACCCACAGCCTAACTGGTCAGACACGGTATACCAATGTTCTGCTGCGGTTGTCCTGTTATTTGTTGGGAAGCTGATGGCTGTGCCGGAATGCGAGATCAAACCGGCAACTAGGGGCTCGGACTGGTAGGCGTATGCCCAATAATCAACAGCAGCACTACCACAGGACTGGCCAGATATAGTAACACGGTTTGGGTCGCCCCCAAATCCATGAATGTTTTTCTTCACCCACTCAACTGCCAAACGTTGGTCTAGTAGACCAGGGTTAGGAGGATGCCCAGGCAGACCAGGAAATCCGAAGATGTTCATGCGGGAGTTGACCGTCACAACAATTACATCCTCTGCGTCAGCAAATCCGCCTCCATAATAAAAGGGAGTATTGGTCGTGCCACTTGTCCATCCTATACTATAGATCAGAAATATGAGGCAAGAAAAAAAGTACGAAGCAAAAACGTACTGCCACCGTAAAAATGGATATAGACGGGCTTGGGTTGCTTTGAGTCTTGCTTTGACCAAACATTCAAAGTCAAGCAATCTTCACTTTGGGTATTGTTATTAATAGCCGCAAAGGCCTCGAAGATGCTGCCAAATTGGGGAGTTTTGTCGGGATAGTCGACTAGCTTCGACACCGAGTACATGCAGTCTCTGTACATTTCTGTTAACTGAAGAATTAGAAAAGCATCAACCCAGATAATGCTCACTTCCCCTAGATCGTATTAATGTCAGAACTTCATACTAATATTGAGGGATAAGATGAGATCGTACGTATTCTGAAGCGATGTGAACACCTCTGGGCGTGTAGGGTTGGGGCGGTGCGAATCGCAATTGGTCGACCGGCGGCTGCGCGTAAGGAACCCCTAGCCATTCTGTGACTCCCGGATTCTTCGATGCTTCGTGGCCCTGGATAATTCCATTCGATCCGACATGGGCCTGTCGTGCTACGGCAACCGCCGCGAAAGCCAGCCAGGTTAGTCTCATGATTCCTTCAAAGAACTCCTTTGAATTGGATAAACAAAAGCAAAGGAAGACAGGCTGTTGGAGAAACTGGGCATTTGGAATGAATTAACGACCTAATATAGCATCAATAAGGCCAAGTGGGGCTAATATAGTCCGTACAAGCAGGCCATAGGCGTTTCGCAGTGGTTTAATTAAAAATTCTGTCTCGAGTTCATAACGAATCCATTATTTGGCCCCCATGGAGTCGTCCGGGGTCACATCGAATGCCCAGTAGTACGCAGGAATGCTTCATGGATTTTGATCTCATTAAAAAAAATATAGCTCTATTGCCCCTATATCCATTAAATGCACATACAAAATGATCTTTCTGATTCAATCCAACCTATTTGACTTGACAATGTTATCCAAAGTATGGTATTTTATGGCCAAACAATTGACGGTGTCCCAGATAGGGGCTATGTACTTTTCATTACCGCGCTGGTAATGGTGCTCACTGCGGCCATTTTTGTCACTATTCGACTGGCAACGAGGATTCATCTGAGGGAGTTCGGCTGGGATGACCTTTTTCTCGTTATCGCTCTAGCGGCATCGGCCATGACAACAGCTGCTATCAATTTAGGTAATTCAGAAGAATATAACTATATGGTTCAATGCGAATGTGGCGGTGTATTCAGTGACAAGCTGACCTTTAGTTGCCAGCTGTAGTGCATGGTTATGGTAGACACAAAGCGGATATGGGAGGGAGCATAAATGTAGCTCTCAAGGTATGTAGTGATATTGGGATACCTAATGCTCGTTCAAAACTCTCACAGTCCGACAAGTGGTTTTTCGTTGCTCAGATTCCCTATAAGATTGCCCTTGGCTTTACAAAAGCTTCTCTCGTCCTCCTTTACCTCCGAATATTTATTACAAAGTATTTCCAACGCGTTGGAAAGGGCTTTCTGGTCGTTATCGCCGCATGGACAGTCGTGTCAGTCCTCATCACGACTTTTTAATGTATCCCAATCGAAGCTTCTTGGAACAGTAAGATTAAGCCCAAGCAATGTGTGGATAAAGATAGGTGGTGGTATGCATTTGCGGCAATTAACACACTTACCGACGTTTTGATCGCCATTCTTCCTATCCCCCCAGTTTGCCGTCTGAAGCTTTCGAAACGCGACCGGATTGGGTTGTTCTGTGTTTTCAGTGTTGGAGCATTGTATGTTTTCAGCTCATGTCATCTGCTCTTTTCATTGACCAGAAGTCTAATGTGTGATAACGATGAATAGTGTCTGTGTCACTAGTATCATCCGTACGGTTGCAGTATCTCAAACATCTACTGGGCTAGACCAGAGCTGTGAGTATCCCGAAAGCCTTAAAAACGAAGGGCTCAGAGAAAAGCTGTTGATCGCTTCTCAATATAGGGGATTTCATCCCTCGCTCGGTGTGGACTCTCGTCGAGTGCAATACGGGAATAATTTTTGCATGTCTCCCTATGATGCGCCGGCCGCTAAGCTTTGTGTTTCCATGGCTTTTCAGGGGCTCTACTCAGAAGGAATCAGAAAGGCTTAGCTATTTTCCCATTGAGCTGAGATGTACAAAAAGCCAACTGCGTCCACGTGGGAGTCAAAGCCAAGAGGAAATTTTACAATCGGACGTGCGAAGTGGCTTTGGCCGAGATGCAAGATAATTACATTTCTGCTACGACAGACCTAGATAAAAAGAAGCAGTGAATAAAGCGAGCAAGAGAAAAACATATGAGTAGGCTGATCTAAAAAAAAATACAAAAATTGAGAATCTCAACCAGTACTCTGTGCCTAGGTCACGCCTATCCATTTGAAAGGATAGGTTAGCATATTTCTTTTTTTTAAAGAATTTTCATCGTGGACTGAAGGAAGCGAACTCCAGCTAGCGGGGGGGGGAGGGTGAATACTAGCAGAGGAACCCAATCAGCTACTGGTCGGATTGTCGATTGAAAGCACATCGTTTCTGTGACATTTATAGGAACATATGCTTCCGAAAAGGGAAAGTGGGTCTATATCACACGTTGGTGCCTGAACTTTTGCCTGCAGATCATATAGCTTGTGACTTGTAGGTATGTACGAAAAGCAGTTTAGAGCCAATATGAAATGTATGTTGAGAATCAATATTTTTTTGGAAAAAAAAAAGAAAGACAGAGGAGATTCAGCGAAACGTCGCGAACCTTGGGAATAGAAACTTGAAGGGACACGATAATATCTATTCCAGGATTTCCCCCAAACCCTACCATGGGTTTTCTGATTTATTCAAGCAATAAATGCCATTAGAGGTGATATTGCCGACAAGACACGAATTAAAGGTTAAAACCCATTCGTCATCCTACCAGGGCCGTCGCATTCTACCTTTCTTGGCAGCGCTGATGTCCCTGTTCTTGGTGTTATGTTCAAATTCTCAAGTCCAAGATATTGACAAGTGCATGGTCTTTACATGGATGTGCCCATGGGTGGCGCCTCATCATTGGCGGAACCACATCCATAGCCAAGGGACGTGAGGTAATCATCGCCACATGGTCATAGCCATACTTTGTAGATCTTGAATCTCGCTTCCACTCGGGTATCTCAAAAATCAAAAAGTCCACTTTCGCCTAGACCTTGTCATATTGTTTCCATTTGATTTACCCATCAAAGACTCATGGGTCTGTTGAATATATATAGACACAGCTGAGGATTGTATTGCATGTAGTCACAGTAAAAAGGAAGGGATTTAGTATGTACATAAATGGAAAATGTATAGAGGTCCAAAGTCTATACAGAGACGAAACAGACTCGCTTCACTAAGTACTATGCATTCTGTAATAATGGGAACACAACAGAAACCTTGGAATACTTGTGGAATAGCATCCACCAATCAACTGTATGCATAAAGGATCAACCTTTGTTTCCTTGGCATCTAGTAGTTTTCCCTGGCAACAGGAATGTTAGGTTGAAAATTTAAGAGTGACGAAAGAGTGGAGCTAGAACATCTTTTCTCCACTTCTGGGTTTGGAATCAAGCTTTTGACAGCTCGAGGCTCATTGAAAAATGAGGACATCTCAAGCCGGAGCGATTCTACACTTTTTCTAGGTTTCTTTAATTTGTAAGCCCTACGAAAGATTTTTTTTTCCCTTCATATTTCCGTTGTGATGGGATCCTCAAAGGAACCTGACCGGGGTGCCGGCGTCAAAGGTATGAAGTTTCAAGAGATCGCGGCGAAATGGTAATAACGCTAATACAAAGATAGACACCGTAGAAGTCCCCGAAAATGAGCAACCAGGAGGCACCCAAGAAGAAGGAAGCAAGAATGATGGCATGGGCAACAACCCATCATATAGCTTGGCGGGCTCTGGCGCGCAGAATCCAAACAACAACCGTGGATACACAGATGAAGAGTACGAGCAGTACAGTGCTCAGTATGAAAAAGGAGATGATGGCCCAACCTGGAGTTTGGCCGAGCCACTCCCTCATATTGTCCGGCCGGGTATGCGCCATGGTGCCTTGCCAGAGGATCGACAGGAGGATAAAGAAGGGATGCCAGAGAACGGCCAGGATCCAGTGCAGACGCATGGAGTACAGAAACAGCAGTCGGTGGAAAACCGAATGAAGAAAGTCAACGATCCCAAAGAAGACGGCTTTTTCAATACTTGGTCGAAAATTCGTCACTATCTTCGTGAGCCACTGGCTGAATGGCTTGGAGTGAGTTTTCGATATAGCCCCAAACAAGCAACACAATTGATATGCTAATAACGATATTTCGCAGACAACTATGGCAATGACGATTGGCCTTTGTGCCACCTTATCGAACTTCACTTCCTCCGGAGAGGCAGGATCATACCCTGCCCAAAGTGCCGCCTGGGGCTTTGGATTCATGGCCGCTATCTATACTACCGGAGGTATGTCTGGTGGCCACCTAAATCCAGCCGTCTCGATATCACTGTCTGTATTTCGTGGCTTTCCCGCACGTCGATGTGTGATTTACATTGCTGCACAACTCCTTGGTGCTATCACGGCAGGGGGTATATCATACGCGATCTACCACGATGCCATTATGGAAGTCGCCAACTTAGCCAAAGTGCATCCGAGTGCAAGCGCCGCCGCTCAGGCTCTTCTCACCTTACCGAAACCATTTGTCCAACCCGTGACTGCGTTCTTCACCGAGTTTTTGGGCAGCGCAATCCTAGTTGGCTCTATTCTCGCTCTGGGAGATGATACAAATGCACCACCAGGAGCGGGAATGCAGGCATTTATTATTGGGATTATCATTACCATTGTGATCCTTGCGCTTGGATATAATACCGGAGGGTATGTGTCCGATTGCATTTCCAATTTCAAGTACGTTTGAAGCTAATTGTCTAATTATAGTTGTTTTAACTGCGCACGAGACTTTGGCCCACGGCTTGTCGCTCTCATGGCTGGATGGGGTGGCAATATCTTCCGAGAATACCATGCATGGTGGGTTTGGGGTCCATGGGTCGCAGATATCACCGGTGCATTGTTTGGTGCCTTGTTATACGACATGGCTATCTTTACTGGTGGTGAGAGTCCAGTCAACTATCCCCCACGGAGGCGAAAGCGAGCATACCGTGTCAGAGCTTTGAATTTTCGGAAGAAACTTCGTATTGGGAAAAAGAAGGTTCCCGATCTTGAACAGCGTGTTAAGGAAACCGAGGATTGAACTATCGATTACTTAAATGTATATCTATCACTTTGTATAGTTATTGTAAATATGAAAAGTAAAGTTACCGAGCCTATGAATCCTTAGTTGCTTTATGTACATATCGTACTATTAAAAGGTTTCTTAAACCCTGCAACGGTGGCGGGGACTGAGGGAAAGTTGTGTGTAAGTCGCGATAGCACCGGGATCACGCTCGTGCTTTTTCTAATAGACTCGTGGCATAACAGGCACATCTGCTACGATAGGGAGACGAAATAACGAGTAGCCTACAGTGGTCCTCCTGTTGTCAGGTTGCCAGGTGAGCTTCAGGTAGTAATAGGTTAGTAGGCACTAGAAGTACTAGTAGTTACCAGTGGGAAATATCTTACTAGGAGAGGCAAAACTACAAAGCTCACTATACGTAAGACAAAGTACGTTATATTTACATCCCAAATCAAAATAGAACAGAACATACATGATGTATCCAAGTACCAGAAAGATCAAACCTTGAATTGACCCGTTTGCGTGAGAGTTAGTCGTCTAACCAGATATTGAGCATGCAATTTCATGTGGTTGTCGCCGTTCTTCCTCTCATAGACCAGGTTGCTAGCTGATTTCGGTGTTGGATCCACCAGGCAGCTTGTACAAAGTCCATACATGGCATATACCAGACTATGTTACCTTCATACTGAGATGCGTGAGAGTTGCATCCAAACATATGGGAATAGTTTCCTTGCCGAATTCAATGTGCGAGATGCTCTGGATGATAAGTCTTTTCTGAAATCGACATGTCACTCGGGTTTGATCGTCACTATCCAGTTCCAGCACGGCTACACAATGACTTGTGTCCGATGGAGCGATGGATTTGGGTAACAGTACATGGTCACATTCATAAGTACTGGGGTATCCCATTTCTTTTGCTTCATCATCTAGCCAAATGTCGGTGATCTTGTAAATCCGCTGCTGTGAGACATCATGGACTGCCCACACACTTTGCCTGTCAATAGTAGCCCTCTGGAAATTCAGAGTAAGGTATTGTGCCACCAGACCGCTAGGAGTGCAGACCCCGTCATATGCTGCAAACGGAATGCTAGATTCTTTTGCTCTCATGAAAGATCTAGGCGCCCAGGTAAATCCTTCCTGGGTTAGTTTGGGGCCGGAAAGAAAGATGATCCCAGCAGGAAGATGGTAAACTCTGTGCAGGAACCTGGCCATGCGCTCCGTAGCTGGGAGGTTGGCTAACTCCAAAGCATCCACGTTCAGAAGACCGGATATTGCGAGAGTTTCGTCCCCGGGCTTGCTGCTCGTACGCCAACAAAGACCCCGAGCCACATCACTGAGGGTAAGCTGTGTCTCTCTATGCTTTTTCAGCCGATATATCTCACTTGCTAAGTAAGATGTCACTCCGCTGAAAAGTTCTTCGCCGATGGGAACCAAATCCTCCAGGCTCACCAGGCCGTCTCTGAATTCAAACACTAACTTTTTAGCCAGCACCGCTTCTTGTAGGGTCCACAATCTTTGCATCCAACCTGAGCTCACCACCCTGAGTAATTTAGTCTCACGAGGGGCGGATATGGAGACCGATCGGATGCCAGAATCAATAACAAGCACGATGGCAGCATTCCTGTAGGTAAGAGCCATGAGCCGGATTGCTTCTTTGCGTACATCCCTATTCTCAGGAACGCAGAGCGAATCAATCCAGAAAGCCCCACCAGGCATTAGGCTTTCTACCAGGATGCTCAATCGTTTGACCTGGCAAGAGGGCAGGCCCTTTTCAGCCGTACTGCCAAGCCCGTCTGCCCACACATGAGATATGGCAACATACGGCATTCCTGAGGCATCGCCAAGATTTATCCTGATAGGACTCGAAGCCTGGCACTGGATGACTGGGACTTTCCCTTCAGAAAGATAATCAGCACTCCGTTTGGCATGCAAAATTTGACAATTGCAATTTTGTTCCGCGTGCTGTGGCTCATAGGTATTATAATCTAGTGTATTGATCACACAGCCCTTCTCACTACAGTTGCCATGGCCAGCTGATGACTCCCGAATGACTGGCTCCGTAACGCTCACATAGCCTAGCTCGGTTAAAGTATCCGAGAGCATCGGAACCGTAAATGGGCACCAGCCCCTGGAAAGCATATCTTTGTGTACCACATTCATCCGCGCCTGGAGAAAAGTCCACGAAAACCCCTGGCGCGGGATGTTGGTCGCAAAGACATAACTTGATGACACGAGTGCTTCGGCCAGGGAACCAATCTGGAGCAAAATTTGTGCAATATCCCTTTCATCCAGTCCCGCGGCTTGGAACAGGCTATATCGGGGATGCAGCGTCTCGAGCATCAAAAGCCCGTGGGCTTTTCTAAGTGTAGTCTGCATACGCTTCGCCATATGCCGAGCTTCGTCACCGGCCCCTAGACCTTGAATACGACGCCGCCATCGGGAAAGATGACTTGGGATATTTCGACTCCTTAACACTCGGGGTGGTAAAGCCGTCGGATCCAGTTGTCTTTCACACTCATCCTGCACATATACTAGCTCGGCTTCGGGGATTTTCTCTTCCAAAATGGCCTCCAAAAGACCAAAGGTAAGCAGTGCCTGAAATCTGGCTGCATCTAGCTGAACATTGCGGCCACCACTTGTCGTAGATTGCTGTGACCGATATTGACGAACTTTTAGGTAATTCTCAAATGATACCAAGGGATATCCGTCGTGGTCCCCACCAAGCCAGCGTGTTTCGGAGAATATAAAAGGTTCTAGTACCGCCTGGGTGGATGGAGGTTGAAGGCGAGATAGCATTCTGGCGTTCACTGCCCCAAACTTATGGTCTCAGGGCGGAGTCTGAGGTGAGATTCAGAACTCTGATAGACTGAGGAGCTGGGTGAGCACCACACTTGGGTGAATATGATTCGTCCACGCAACCACTAATGCAAGCCCCAACCCAATGGGGAGGACTAAGGCAATTACCCACAGTATCCTTGTACAAAGCATACGCTAAATCTTGGCACCGTATAGCTGCATTATTAGCATGCGGGCGCATCGAGATGACTGGCCAAGGAGCGAAAATCGCCCCCGTACGGGCGCTTTTTCAATTCGTATTCCTACTTTTCCTCTGTCCGTTTACTTTTTTTGGGGTGTTTTTTCTTTTCCTTCTTTTTTTGTTCTCCCCCCGCCACCCCCCTTCGTCTTTAGCTCTTTAGCTCTTTAGCTCTTTCGCGCATCCAAACATTCAAATCAGTTGGGGCAGACCATGTAACCATGCCCTCAACAGCTGCAGCTCTTCGTCAGCAGTGGGAGGAGCCTGCCGATATCTTCACCGTGCTCCTGATAATTGGTGGTGAGATCATTCAATGTGCCCTCGGCGCCGTATCAGGGGGGACTCTGACTCCCGTGACATTCTCCTATGGATGGGCCGCCTATGCGCTCTCTGCTCTCCTCTCTACCATGGGCGAATGTCAACTCATGCCGGGAAGCCCCATTCCTAATCTCCTGGTAATCAATGTCAATACCGGTTACCCACGTGTCAATCGGTCGTGGACGCTCGGGCGTCTATTCCAGACTTATAAATATTGGATGCCGCAGGAAGTCCGAACCCGTGTCGAACACCCTATACGTATCAACCTGGACGAGGAGACTGCTCTTCCATCTGAATTCCAGACACCGATCGGCACTGGCGATGAAGCACTTTTGTGTGTGGCACCCTTGTGTGTGGCTGTGTATGACTGGGATGTCGATATGACAGAGGAAACGAAGAAGAAGAAGAAGAACAAACCTGGCACCCAGGGTCATGACTGGGTCTGGGGGCTCGGACTAGTAGTCACCGTTATCCAGTTAGGAGTGAGTATCATTCCATTTGTTCTCTATGACGATTGGCGGGTGTTCCTAGTGACTGGTGGGGGCACAGTGCTCGCTTATCTGTACGGGGCACTTCCGCAGTGGCGCAAGGAGAAATGGGCCTGTCGTAAAGGATATCCCAAAAAGCATGTGGCTTTGACAATGGGGAATGGCACCCAGCATGTTGTCATTATCCGGGGACATTCCCAGGGGCTCGACCTGGAGGATCTGGCTGGGGGACAGGTTCGCGACGCTCCAGATCCTGGCTTGAGCCGAGTGACCAATCTTCTCAGGTCAGACCGGGCCACCCAAGTTCTGACGTTTGTGTTTGCCATTCTCTGGCTTTTGTTGCTCATTACTAGTACGGGTATTGAAACGCACACTTGGTATTTGCTTGCCGTTGGCGGGATGGGAACAATGCATAATCTCATTGTTGCTGGAGCACCACGCCGTCCTGACATGTTGGGCATCCCGATCAAACTGGCTACTTCAGAAGGAGAGAAATCTGGGATAGTGAATCAGATATCATCGGTGACTGAAGCGGGGGATGGGCAGGTGGTTAAAGGAGATGGACAGGTGGCCGCAGCAGCTGGACAAGCGGCCCAACAGGGCTCCCTGACTAATGTATTCGCAGAAGTCAAGATAATGTTCACACTGATGGAATTGGAACTGGCGTACAAAGGATTCGGAAAAGCGCTTTTGGGGGAGTTCTTCCCTGGGACTCTTCGGGACTGGGAGAAGGAGTGGTGGAAGAGTGATGACGCCAAGTTAAGAAAGGATGTTCTAAAAGCGAAAAGGTCCGCGGAGTACCAAAACCGAAGGAAAAGTGCGACGCATCATACAGTGGATCAACCTTTATGATAGCTGACAACTTGACGATATTTTGAGGCGAGTTGGTAGCCATCCCTGGCCTTCTGTTTCTACTTTTTGAGGGTATATTTTCTGGAAGTATCAAATACGAGCGATGTATGCATAAATTGTAAATTAGGTTTAGATCTCAGACAATTATCTAGAGATTAAGCTCTCAAGGGCTTCCTGAGGAGCAGCCCAACGAGCTAATGTTGCTTGAATGTCTCGATTTGATGGTGATTCAAGAGCATTCCATCGGGCAGTATTACAGTTGCGATTCGGCTCCATGGACTGGTCAGAGCCGTGATTGGAGGCCGCAGCAGGGCCACCGAGACAGAACTGGCGATTGATCCATGTCTTGACCCAACCTCGAAGTCGGTAATCCACGGCAGCATATGTTACCAAATGAAACTGGCCTGATCCATGCTCCTCGACTATCATCAGTTTGATCTTTGCTGGGTTATCCATTACTGTTGCGCCGGGATGATATTCGTCAAACCAGCCGAGGACCACTGCATAGGTGATAGGTAGAGAAGATGATTCGCCATTACCTTTCGCGATTTCTTCGTCTTCTTCCCATATGGTGTTATTGAGCGCTAGGATTTGCCGCGTGGTAGATGGATCCTCGTTAGCTTTCGGGTGTACCCGTACCACGGATATGCTTTTGGCAGTGAAATTCAGATAACCATGGCCATCCATCGTCCCTCGAGGCATCCCCATGCATAAGCCCAGCGTGTTTGGGTACTCATCATCAACCAACCCGGCGACATCCAACGTGACATCCTCTACCAGGATCATCGCACTACCTTGTACACTTGTCATGGGGAATATTGGAAACGTAGATAGGTCTTTAGAAGGTGGAACTCGGAAAGCAATTCCAAGCCAGCTTGCACAACGGCCACTATTAACGATCTCACGCGCTAAAGCAATGGTTGCTCCAGCACGATCATCATTGTGGAACGCCCCTGGGTCGAGGCTAATACCAAAGAGGCCCATGATACTGTAGACCATATCAACCGGCCTAGAGGAGGTGCGCTGAAAGGCGCTCTTCCAAATCGCATGGTCTCGAATCTCATCATCGGCAGCCAGATCCTCCGAGAGTAGCCCCGCCAGAGCTCTGGCATTTGGGGTCGAGGAACCAAATATTCGCACCTGCACGGGAAATCTAGACACTTGCATGGAATTACACGAGAACAGCATATAGCCTACTGCCGAGGCTTGTATCAAATCCCTCAGGGGTGCCCGGGCCGATTGTTTTGCCACAACTTCGGACAAGACGCCCGAGTGGTCAGCAGAAACGAAGGTGCCAGATCCAGCTTTCCAAGCAAACAAGACATCAACTTTGTCGGGAGCCAAGGCTTCTTGTAGAGTCCAACCTCGGTGGATCCACGCAGTCTCTTCGTCCAGACGCACGAGACGTCCCAGGCCACCGGGAAGCACAATACACGCCTTACACTCCTTGTATATCCGATACATCCTGCGGATCTGCCAGTGTTTATCCTGGGGGTTGGTTTGCATGATGCATACCCTGTCGAGCCAGAGATAACGGACTCCGAGAGAGGTTGAGGAAAATGTGCAAGCATGCATAAGGACATCCATGCTGACCGGGTCGCCATCTTCAGCGCCTGCCACAGAAAAGGTACCTCCTACTGACAGCGAAGTTGCATTACATTCATTTCCACGCCAGGGATACGAAATCGTCGAGTAGTCGACAGGGGGAACATCGCTGAATTCGGTGACTTGCAGGACTTGGTCGTGGAGGAAGCGCTCACAGTCCACGAGGCGAAATCTACATTCCGTTCCCAGAGCGGAAATATCGAGACAGCGATTTCTGAAGGCTACCAGTGGGATATCAAAACTGGAAGACATGCTGCTCGTGATTTATCGGTCTGAGCGGGATAGTCTTGACTGGATGTTCCGGTCTCTGAGGTTGTCGTTGTAATCGGGCGGGGTTTCGGGGGCCAACGTGACCTTGGGCCATGTTGGCTTGTGTAGTTTTTTTTTAAAGTCGTCATGTAGATAGGCAGCCCTTTTAGCTCAATTCTTACTCCAACATGGGATGATATTGGGCATTGAATTAGAAGTCTAGTATTGATCACTGGCAAGGATTGGAGCACCTACTAGGAGAGTTTACCATCAGACGACATGATTCTGCACTACGTAACTACCTATGTACAAGTCCAAGACGCTACCTAGGTAGGGCGCTTGGATTGATCTAAGTCCCCGCCCGTTCTGATCCCAACGAACTCCACTACATCGTTCCAAGGTTCCCCCCACTATTCAATCTAGCCAAGGTGCCTAGCCTGGCTGAAGGTACCACATTCCTTCGAGCATATAGCTGTACAATCCATCCTCAATTAACTGCCGCCTAGTACCTCATTACCATGGAGATATATCTGGTACGAGTGCGTGAACGGCCCGAGGGCTCTCTTTATATCGATCGCAAACCCCATGCGACTACTGACGATGACTATATCGCGATATCCCATGTGTGGGGATCCCCAGATACAGTCCAAAAAGCAAGGATAGACGGCGTCTCATGTGAGCTGATTTTCATACGGGATTTTGTGGTCTACATGGGAGGATCTTAATTGCCATCTATAGGGGAGGTGCCGCTGAGTCCGGGAAAACAAGATATCCTATCGCTACTTCGCCGAGATGATATCTGCGGCGACGGCTGGTTCTGGATGGATCTTTTTTGTATTGATCAGACGGAGTCGGCCTTCATCAGCATCTCTGATCAGATCATGGCTATACCTTCCGTATACAAGTCCAGCCGGTGTGTCAAGGTACTTCTGGAGAGCCCTGTGTGCAAAGAGTGGCATGAGGCTGCCATGCAATTCTTTGAAAATGGACCCATCAACCAAGATGGCTTCCAGGAGGAGGAGCTTATACATGGAAGATCATGCACGCACCACGCTTTCGCGGATCCTTGGTTTGAGAGGCTGTGGACGCGACAGGAAGGATTATACGCAAGTGTCTTGCATTTCATCGTCCTCAGACCGGTTCAGTGTGAACGCCGTCCTAAGGATGCAATGGATGCTTGGGTGGTGCACGGGACCCTGCTGGCACATCGCTTCCGGGTAAATACCTTCCTGGTGGATAAATTGGCCTACCATGGCCTCACGTCGGCGGCCGAGGACACTGTGTTCTCACTCTATTTCGACGTTATATACCGGCATCGCGTCAACATAACGCTGGCCTATGACTGTGAGCCAGGGCCCGCTCGCAGCTACAACCCGATCAGGGATGCATGGAGGAGTCAACGGAGTACAACCAAGCCTCGGGATTATGTCCTCGCGGTATTCCCGGACATTGAAGGATACAGGGTCCCAGCCAAACCACGGGAGATGAGCTTCCCACAACTCCTGCACGACGCTATCAATCAGCCCGCAGTCTCTGCAAAGCTACAGTTTGTGTCAAAAATCTCACAAGGAGTAGCCGGGCCATCCCGAAAGGCTAAGAAGAGTTTATTGCCCTGGCTGGTCGTTAATCCCGGCAACATCGGCGAGGCATACGACACATTCACTGCAGATGCCGTCGACGCTAGTGGTACGGGCTCTGGAATAGCGGAGGCTCGAATGTGGTCTCTCCCTGGAGGTATCCAGCTACAGGATGTTGATGCCACTGCTTCTGGGCTGGAAGCCCTCATCAAGGATAACTGGGGACGTACCGCCGATATCAATCGGCATGTGGCGCTTCTCTCTCCTGCCGGGCCCTGCACCGGGGTAACACGACGGGCTGTAAGCCGAAGTAGCAACAGCGACGAGGACGCAGTGCAATACAGTAGCCTCCTGCTGCAGCTTTCACGCAAGAATTTATGCACCTCGCCGTGTCCCAATGGATGCCGGAGCAGCAGATGAGCATGCTGGAGCCTCGCACCAAGGGAGTCCTCCCAGCTGTAGACAGCGCGATGACAGACAGGGTAGGCGAGGACGTCTTTGCGAATGAGCTCCGGCGTTTCCTCGTCTGCCTGATCTGCGGTGTATCGCTGCCCACTGCAGACAGAGTGCTCGAGTTAGCGGATGTCGTGCGCGTGATGACGCCCCACGGGCCTTTGTTAGGTGTCGTCCACCGGGCGACGAAACTCGAGGCCGGCCAGGACCAGTTAAGGCTTCTTTGCAGCGCGAGTTCGTATATGCAGGGGTTTTATATTGGTCTGCTAATCGAAGGCGGGGTCTCAGTCAGAGGTCGGACTGTTATTGCAAACAAGGGTGTTTGGGACTCTATTGAAAGTTTCCTGTCACTCGGTAGATGAATGCCTCTTGGCAAGGCGGGGACATGTTAAATGCGCTGCTATAGAATTTGGTTGAATGGCTTGTCTCGGCAGGATGTGGCCCTTATCTGATGGGGTATGAAATGGAAGGAAAGATTTAGAGAGCGTGCTTGAGAAGTCCGTTCTACTGTAATTCCTACTGGGATAGAACTAGATTTTACCGGCGACCCCTAGTCGATCCAACCATCAATTGATACAATAGGGCATCTGATTTCATGATTTCACTTATTTCTCATTGCTAACTTTCCCAGTATCACTTTTCTCTGCCTCCAGAGCTACATAGATAGGGCGGAAAGTGATATTCTACCATGAAAAAGAACATTCCCTATCTTGAGCAGCGTGTTCAGGAGACTGAGGGTTGAGCTATTAATTACTTTTCATTTATGATCATCACTTTTTATGGTTACTGTAAATATTAAATTCTAAATTACTAAGTCTACGATTATGTACATAGTTAGTTGCTGCACGTACACATAAAAGGTCTCTTAACTCCTGCGCTGATGGCGGGGACTAATGGAAAATTGTGTGCAAGGATACATAGTATACTGAAGAAGGGCAAAATGTTGGACTCATCCTAGGTACATCTCTAAAGGGAAATCGTGGTACATCTGGTAATTCAAGTCAACACTCCACTCCAAGACAAAGCACTTGACAAGAGCGATGACGGTCATCGGGTTAAGGATTGGAGAAGAAGATGTGGGAATTGTATCTCTCCAAAATCCCGTCTCATCAAGGTCTGAGATTGGACTGCCCGATGAAATCGCTGCTATTTCAGTCACGATTCTGACAACATCTCCTGAATTCCCCTGGCCTGCCATAACGGCACTTGCTGCCATATCTGCCATATCTTCCTTGACAAAGCGCGGATCCCACCCTCTGGCTTCCAATCTTTCCGGCCATTTTGCCACCGCAAGACGAAGTGTCTCTGCCAAGCGGTCTCGGTAGAAATCCATTCTTTCCCTTGCAAAAGCAACAAGAATATCACGTAGCCCTCGATGAATTGACCATGACAGGAATGTCCAAGGAAGTTTATCCAAGGCTTCATTGAGCACGGCCGATTCATGCTCTGCGATGTACAAAGTCACATCACAGACGCCAGAAACTTTGTTAGGCAAGGAAAGAACCACCATGTCTTCTGGTGATTCTATTTCCGTATTCATCGGCTTCATTTGCAAGAAGTCCACCTCGTTCACTTTACCACCGATCATGTTATAAAGATGTCTTCCACCATGCGCACCTCCGAATCCTTTGGGTGCATATTCAAGAATCCATTTACCGGATGATTTGCGTGCCGGAAAAGCACACTTAAATGTATTTGATGTGTGCGATTCAATCACCCCAGCCAGCATCTGAAGGCACTTGTCGACTCTTTGCTGAAACTTTGCCGGATATAAGTCTTTTGCTGAGGCGTGAAAATCATGCGCACAAAAGTAAACACGTGCAAGGTCTCCAATGGGCCATTCCACCCGCCATTGTCCGCAGTAGGATGCGTAAGCAGCTCGATGACCAGAAGCACTGCTATAACAGAGTACCGGTCGTGCATTTGTTAGGCAGAGTAGTGTCATGAACGTCGCGCGCGAAATCACGGTGCAAGTGGTCAGCTTATGCCTTACAAGAGGGTGAAGCGGCATGCCAGCCCAGCTTTCAGTTGAGGGGGTCTGGGAAGGCTCCTCTGTAATAGTTACTATGTGGTCAAACTTCACAGTGCCATCAATTGGAAGCTTTTTCAATAATTTGTGTTGGTTATTTATTTGAGAGCCTGGGTGGATGACTGCAAGTAAAACCGACCATGCTGCCTGGCCCACTTTGTGTTATGATGATGGCAATCGACCGAGATGCACCACATTGTTCCCGCAGAGCCCATGCAAGAGGTTTGCGCTGATAACAGGCCCAACAACGGGTGGGTTGACAATATGGTACCATGGTATATGCGGCTGTCGATACCACCAGCTGCCTAAATGCAGCACGTCTCGCAGGCCATGGAATTCATCTGCTCGATCCACGATAGCGCTGAACTGGCTAACGATAGAACCAAGACCGACAAATGTTACAGCCAAGGAAAGCCATGTAGCAATCGTGGATGACACATCCATCGCGATTTTGGCCAATCAAATTTGCCAGGGATGGACGAAAAATACATAAATTGAAGGTCAATTCGGTATTTTGAACCAAAGGGAATAGATTAATAGGACTTCATAAAATTGTTGCTGTTTTAGGTCGTTATGAATACTCGGCTTTTTGATGTCAACAGGCCTCTTATATTGAAATCAGCAAAGCAAGGAACTTAAATTTAGACCCGTTCATGCACGGTCACTGAATGAGGCAGTGCTGATCGAATGCAGGTATGCAAACAGAGATATCCAATCACTCCTTCTCCCCCTATTATACACAATGCATAGATATACATTGAGCCTAGCGGCGGCGGTTAAACACCCTTAGGTTTCAGGCTCGATGCACGCGAAGAGCCTGTAAACTCAGCTGATTTGGGGCTACGGGGGCTGATAACTCCCGTGATTTCACTTATTTCTCATTGGTAACTTTCCCATTACCATTTCTGTCTCCAGGGCTCTGTAGATAGGGCGGAGAGTGATTTTCTGCCGAGCAATTAAGTCCAAACATGGGGTTAATGGGTCGCTCTTATCTCCGTACGGACCGGCCCTTTCCGGTAAAGGTGACATGGCGCTTCAGCTCATAATAACACTGTTTGGAGAAGTCGATCTATTACTGGTAAGTCTACTTGATTGATCCATGAAAATGTAACGTGGCCTTCATTCATTGGATATGTTAGTTCTATACTAAGTATACCGAGGTGCTCCACTAGTACTCTCTCTTTGCCCCTCATTGGATAACCGATATCGGAGCGCTGAGGGGAACGTGGGTGCCTGCCCCTCGTTCACAAGCTTGGTCTGATTGTGTCATTCTCCACTAACTGTCAGTGCCTGCATTGCACGTTCCTTTCCTCGTATACCAAAGTACAACAGCTAATTCCAATCAGATGTGAGTTTCTTCTAATCTATATTGGCCATTCACAATCAAGCTAAAACAAAATGCAGTGTTAAAGCAATTGTCGAAATCATGGACGAGAACATCCCCAAGCCACATGCCACGAAAGGTACGGATCGACAGGCCAATTCAAAACTCCGCGATATCTTTCTGCAGTATAATAATGATCCTTAGTTTGGACCACGCTCATAACAAATACTGCGTACCTCTCTGGGCTTTTGACCCTTGACTACTCCCTCAAAAGAGTGGGCTCAAAGTACCCGCTTGTCGTTCTCTACACAGACTCATTCCCCGCCGAGGGCCACAAAGCTCTAGATTCCCGCAAGATCTTGAAGCGACATGTACCGTATCTACTTCCGTCAGCTCCCAAGGATTTCACCAACGATGTCCGATTTTACGATTGTTGGAGCAAACTCACACCGTTCTCACTCATTGAATATGACCGCGTTGTGCAACTTGATAGCGACATGCTCGTCCTTCAAAATATGGATGAGTTAATGGATCTCGAATTGGATTCGCCAGAAATGGCTGGGAGCGGAGATCGAGTCTTTGCCGCGAGCCATGCATGTACCTGCAATCCACTTCATAAGCCTCACTACCCAACAGACTGGTGAGATAACCCTTTTCTTTCCAAATTTCTGGAAGCATTCAACCGCGAATTACAGGGATAGCTAATTTGACAATTCTGACAGGACCCCGGCCAATTGTGCCTATACCATGCAGCATGAAACCCCCGATATCGCACAAACAGCAGGTGCTTCACCCATTTCAGGGTTGGGGATACCCAATGGAGGCCTACAAGTGGTGAATCCAGCCCAGGCAACCTATGACAAAATCACTCAACAGCTTGCTACTTCTACAACATCAAATTATGACTTCGCCGATCAGTCCCTTCTTGGTGATCTGTTTTATGGTCGCTGGGTTGCACTCCCATACATATACAACGCACTAAAAACATTGCGGTGGGAAGGCGTACATGACCCCATATGGCGCGATGAGAATGTTAAAAATGTACATTACATCCTCAGCCCGAAGCCGTGGGATGACCCCGCACAGAAACAGGACCAAGATCCATCGCACGCATGGTGGATAGAATTGAATGAAAAAAGGCTGAGTGAGGAACAGGAAGCAGGTATCAGAGACCAATTTTGAGCTGTCTGTTTGAAATTTCTGAGCCAATGCTCCTGATTTGTTGCCTCCGATATTCATATGCCCCAAATGCCTAGTTTGTTGGGCACCTTAAAGACCGAAACGCAGTTCTAAACAGTATAAATTCCTGGAGTGATATGTATATTTGTTTATTTACACTCGCTCTTCCTAGTAACGTGATATATAACCTATCACACTGTGACTACTTAGACCCTCGTGAAGATCAGTATTGCCTAAATTGTTGGTTTAATTCCAGAATCATCGCAGCGAAACACTCCATCCAGATGCCTCCACGAATCTCAGCACCGCTCCAAGGGTATCAACTCAGCTAGTGTTACTGGGCCACGCCTTGAAACCGATGCAACAATGTTTCTGTTGGCACCTTTGACTGTTTTTTGAACTGTTCCGCCAAGATACACTAGTCCATTCTTAAAATAGTCTGATATACCCCTGTAACCGAAGCTTATGGTGCAATGCCTACACCAGTAACACGCTTATTCATTTATGCCCCAGCAGTTCCTTGATCTCGTCCTCCCTTGACTTATTCCTGCCTACATGGCGCTATCACAAAATGCCTCTGCTTGATTTACCAAATGAACTTCTGCAAGTTATCGCAGAGGAGCTGGAGTTAGCAAGCGATATAAATGCTTTCGCACAAACAAACACCCGCCTTTACAGGCTCCTAAATACGTATCTTTATCTTTACGATGTCAATCAACTTGGAAGTTCCGCATTATATTGGGCTACAAAACATGGACAAGAGGCTACAACTCGCAAATCACTTCAACAGGGGGCTCATATTGAGAGTATGTTCGAATCAAATCGGACTCCACTAGCGCTAGCCGCAGAAAATGGACATGAGATCGTGGTCAAGCTGCTGCTCACCACAGAGGGCGTTAATCCAGACAGCAAGGATGTTTTCAAACGGACGCCGCTGTCATTAGCAGCTGAGAAGGGACATAACGCAGTGGTCAATCTACTGCTCCTCACAAGCGGGGTCGACCCGGACTCTAGAGATCATCAAGGACAAACGCCCCTATCGTGGGCAGCAGAATACGGAAGGGAGGCGGTGGTCAAGCTGCTGCTTAGTACAGAAGGTGTTAACCCAAACTCCAAGGATCAAAATAGAAGGACGCCTCTGCTGCACGCTGCAGAGAAGGGACGTGAGGCAGTGATCAAGTTATTTCTAGCCACAGATAGCGTTGACCCAGACTGCAGGGGTTCCCTCGGATGGACGCCACTAGCGTTGGCGGCACAACGTGGACATGAGGTAGTGGTCAAGCTGCTGCTCGATGTAAAGAGCGTTGACGCAGATTCCAACAACTATCTCAAGCGGACCCCGCTTTCGCTGGCAGCACAGAGCGGACATGATGCGGTAGTCAAGTTGTTGCTCGCTATGGCGGGTGTTAACCCAGACAGCAAAGATTCTGACGGACAGACGCCATTATCTCAAGCGGCAGAGAATGGGCGTGAGGCGGTGGTCAAACTGCTACTTGCCACGAGGGGTGTTAACCCAAATTCTAAGGACTTCTTCGAACGGACGCCACTGTCATTGGCGACGCGGAATGGGCATAAGACAATAGTTAAACTGTTTCAGATACATGGGCTAGCTGGTCGAGATATTGCCAACCATTAGACGACTGATGCGGAACATCCCATTGCCGGATTGGGCTCAGATATACTAGTAATAGTAGCAGAGTATGGAGCTAATCAATCAACAACTTTCTATCCCCATGGCTACGAGGTTATCGACCAACCGCCGTCTCTTTTTTTTTAGAAGGATTATGGCGGAGGTAAATCGATGTCTCCGGAAAATGTAATGGTACTTGACATGCTAAATCTGGCGACAGACTTCCTTTATTATGCCACTTCTATATAGCTTTGCCCGCTCTACTATCTATAAATGTAGTTATGGTCTAGACTTTACGGCATCAAAGTTCCCCCGAAGGCCTAGATTCCGAAACATGGGAACCGCGGGAGCCCACGGATGGCAAAATTATACACGAAAAATATATTTGTGCTGCACCATCTAAGCCTACATCAACTTAATGATTTCTACTTCAAGGTTCATAGCCTGTGTTCTGATACTCGAAATATAGAAAGTAAAGCGACCAAAGTCGGACAACTCGGACCTCCACAATCAGCCTCAAAACGCTAGTTGAATTGGATTCAGCTATCGGTGGAGATTAAGGTACAATTCCCTTAGATCCAGCCAATAGAAGCTAATACTATTACCGGTGTATAGTGATTTAATCGCTTAATTGGACTTAAGGGACTCCCGATAAAACAGGTCTCACTTCAAAAATAGGCTTGGTGTTTAAAAAAAAACACTCAGGGGAAAGCCATATCGTGATGGACATCTCACACTCTCAGTCTTAACCTCACGGCCTTTTTAGGCCTGTATATTATTCCCTCTCTTGGCCATTCTCTTCTCCTAGGCCGTCACCATGCTCTCCCAGGGTCCGGCATTCACCAAATTTTCAACCACAAGCATAGTGATCCTATCATGTCTCTTTTTCATCCTCTATTTCCACCCCATGAGGCTAGAAACACCAGAAACCCACTCCGCATATGATCCATCAAGAGAGGGCCTTCAATTAGCATCGCCGCTGATCCCAGAAAAGATCTGGTACAAAGTTGGACCTAAAGGGTTAAACGACCAGTCACACGAATGGATGGACGATTGTCTCCACAAAAACCCAGCTCATAGCGCGCGGATCATGACAGACCTCACGGGCGACCAGTTCGTCTCACAGAAGTTCGACTATCGTCCCGATATCGTCGAAGCCTACCTTGCTCTCACGGTGCCGATTCTGAAAGCGGATTTTCTACGCTATCTGCTTCTTTTCGCCGAAGGCGGCATCTGGTCTGATCTTGATGTCTCGTGTGGCGATGTACCCATTAGAGAATGGATCCCCGAGACAATGCGGGCTAAAGCTGGTCTCGTTGTTGGGTGGGAGTTTGATGTGGGCTGGGGGGATAGTTTCATCCGACAGTTTGAAAGTTGGATGATTATGGCGGCGCCGGGGTCGCCCCATATGTTGATGGTTATTGATGATATTATGCATGCGATTCATCAGAAGACGGAGGAGTACGGGGTTCCGGTTTCCGAGCTGACTTTGGATATGACGGGGGATGTGATCGATTTTACGGGGCCGAGGCGGCTGACTCGTGGGATTTTGAAGAGCTTGGAATTGGCTCGCAATGAGGTGGTCGATATGGCGAGTATCTCGAACCTCTTAGAGCCCGTTTTAATCGAGGATGTTTTGATTTTGCCGGGGTATTCGTTTGCTGCGACATCGAATAACTACGGGAATGAGACGACTGGTCCTTCATTAGTTCAGCATCATTATGCCGGCAGTTGGAAGAATCATAATGGTGGTGAGATGTGACCAGAGATGTGTACAGTTAATGAATAGAGCCATGTGATTTATCTCCGAGGCTGGGTTTATTAGACTAGATTCCACGAAATTTCATGTAATTATTTCCCATTGAGAGCTAGATTCAGCACTATGGTAGTACACGGGTCAGAAATTTCCCAAGGATTCCACCGGATAAGTTCCGTGCTCAAGAACGATATCATCAGTCATAAGGTATCGGAAACTTTTTGTGAAAGAAAAAGAAAAGATCAAAAGATCGCAAATATGGGTGGAAATCCCGGACGCCACGCTGAAGTAACAAAAAAAATCGAAAGATCAAGTCCTGATTCAAGATAAGAGGGATCGTACCCAATTCACTCATCATCAGTCTCAGTAATATCTCCGCCGTCTTCATCATCGGACTCCTCAGCTCCGCTATCTGAGTCGTTTGCGTCGTCGAGACCTGGGATACCGCGCCACTCGACGTAGTCGCCTTCTAGCCAGCGACGGCTGCGGGGAAGCTGATAAGGATCGAAAGGGAAGTATGCATCAAGTTGATAGCCGCTGTTATCGCCAGCGCGGATCTCGCGGCCGACATGATTGAAGCGAGAATCTGAGATATTGGAAAGGCCCCTGAAGGCAGTGACGCGGATGCGCTTGTTGGTCTCAAGGAGAGGGTAGACGTATAGGAATTGGAAGTGGTGGGCAATGCGGGCGAACTCGGAGACGATAGCCGGGGAGCACACTTTGAGTGGGTTCAGTCGCGAATATATACATTTGTGAAGGAATTCTTTGATGTTAGGAGGGAATGCGACCTGGCCCGGCTCAAGCTCGTCCACCTGGTCTGGAGTATCGCCATCAATTGCAGCGGTTGTCAGATCACGCCACCGGAAACAGAAGATGTACAGCAGGGCCTGTGCGGTGGAGTAGAAAGGTCCGAAGCGACGAAGATCGGGACCGCGGCAGTTGTCCTCGTAGTCCGTACGTAGACTGTTAAGGTGTGTGAGAAGGAGATCGAAGACGTCGCGAACGACTTCTCCAGAGATATGGGCACCACGTGCAACAAAGCTGGCCAAGTATGCAGCTGCTGATTGGCGTATGATGCCAGGCTGCAGCTTGTTGAAGATAAGCTGTACAAATGTGGAGGCGAAGCGATCGATGAGCACGGGCGAGACCTGAGAGAAATGGAACAAGAGGAACTGCGAGTGACGGGATCGGTATGTAGGAAGGATGATTGTTTGAAAGTGGCTGAGGAGCAGATCCAACGCATTCTCCTTGTCATCCAGAGTGCCCGAGGTGAACGGGGGCGAAAAGTACTCAAAGAGGATATCAATCATCCCATCCACTTTAGAAATATTATCCTTGATCTTCTTGGCCCCCTTGGTGTCGTCATCTTCCGAGTCATCGCTGGCGACCGAGGCATCATCATCATCATCAGCCTCGTCGTCAACCTCATCGTCAACTTCGTCATCAACTTCATGCAAGATTGCATCGCCGACCTCCTCTTCAAAGTCCTCCATATCAACCTGAATTTCAACATCGACCTTAACAAGCTTCTCAGTGATAAGAGCCAGGATATCGGACTGAAGCTCTGGGGCATACGTGATGATTTGGATGAGATTGCGGGTGTAGGCGATGTTCGCGCTAGCTAGGTCTGAATCGATGGGGAACTGGGTAGACAAGATCGGAGAGAGTGATCCACTAGCGGCGGGGATGAGCCGCAGCACGTGGCGCATTGCCATATGAGCTCGAGTGTGCATTTCGGATGGTGAGATAACTGCGTAACCTGGCAGTCGACCGTGTCCTCGAGGGATAGACCCGAAATAGGTGGCTAACATCTTCAAGACAGGACCGAGGTAGGTACCGTGCGCCGCGGCAAGGTTGCCCAGGAACCGGATGTAGAGCTTTACGTAGGCTTCGTCTCGTCCGAGCCACTCGCTGTTGATGATGGCATGGACCAACCCGCTGCAGGAACGGTCCAAGGACGCGACATGCGAAACAAGACCAAGAAGGTGGTTCCTCAAAGATGCGTGTGTTGGCGATTCATATGCAAGCAGGCTGTCATCGCCTTGTTTTTTCGGATCGGCAGAAAAAATCCCCTTGACTCGGTCGTAGCCCTCACTCTCTGACATAGTGACATGTCGGTGGATAGCCCCGCGGACCTCCTCCCGAATGACTGCCAAGCTCTTATCTGATGAGTTGTCTTCATGTATCTTCACGTCTTGATCAAACTGAACGCGGGGTCGCTTCTTGGTGGGAGGAAGGGATTCCGACGCGTCGTCGACCTGGGATGAGGACGGAGAGAGGGGTATTTCCAGTTCACTCATTTTCCGTTTCGAGCCGGCGACCACGGAAGGACGTTTGGAGGTTTTGAGAATCGGGACTGGAGAGGAAGCCGGAAGCATTTTGGATCGAGTTAGCGTCGGTGTGGCCGGTAGCGCCGATTTGCGTGAAGTCGTGGCGGCAAGGGAGACCATGGCCGAATGTGAGGATGAATGGACGAATGGACGTAGGACGAGTTCTAGGCAGAAACCAGTATCGACATTTGCTTCTCTGCACTCTGGCAGAAATCAAACCCGGTTGGCTTTCAATTCAGTATTGGAGCTTATCAAGGACTTGTCCAAGCACACGACACTTCTTCGCGTCGATATCTTGGGGCTTATGCTACAGATTGGAATAGGAGAAAAGAGCAACAATCTGTCTGCATCCGTGGAAGTCCAGTTGTTTGAGATAAATAAAATTGGATGCAGACAGAATGGTCGAGTTGCTGAATGCAAAGCAAAGCAAAGCGAAATTTTTCCTTCTTTTCCTTCTGGCACTTGTGGAGCCCGGCGGAGCCCGTGACCGTGTCGGCGAGCCCTACGCTATTCCTAATTGGGTAATATTGAATTATGTCATCGTGTGTTCATTCCAAAAATATCGGATTTTATACATCATTGCTCTACATCTGAAGGCTTTTTGGACATGTCTAGTGGAATATATTTCAGACTCCGTATGAAACATCAATAAAACTCCATTAGACGCCTTATCAGACCCCCTGAAATTCCCCTGAAATTCCCCTGAAAGTCCCAGAATCCTCCACAAAAGACTTTGTAGGTTTCGTCAAAGGATCATATCAAGCGGTTGAACCCAAATGAGACAGGGATGAACGATAAAATGAGACCATATATTACGGGAAGAAAGGAGTAAATTCAGAAATCAGGATTGAGCGCGAGAACAAAAGGTCCTCCCATGGTATCGTGTAAAACAAGGGGCAATAGTCGTAAATGAAAGAATAATAGTTGGTGGTCGTGGCGGGCCAAGCAAGGAATATCCAGTCCTTGCAAGTCCGCAATCTCGTGTAGTTGATGACCCCGGGTCAACCGGGGTGGGGGCAGCAATTAAGTTAGAACCAAGATGTGGAAATAGGACCACGTGTGTCCTCGAAAATGCTGCCATACAGTTCTTCAACTTCCACGAGATAATCTTCGACAGAGAACTTCTTGAGCCCCTTGGAATAGAGAATTCGCTCTTCGTCATCGAGCATATTGAAGCCACCAAATTCCTCTGCAACCTCGTTCACCTGCTCTAGCTCTTTGCCGAATGGATGTGGCTCAGCCTGGAAGAATTCCTGTGATGCACGAATGGTCGGCGTGCTGCGCGTTGCGTTCAGCGGAGGCGGGGACATTCTGGAGACCGAGCGCTGGCGAGCGAGCTCCTGGTGTGACCGCTTAGTGTGGGACAGAGCTCGCTTTGGCACCAGCGGAGCATCCGTAGTTGATGAAGAAGAGGTGGAGGAGCGCTGGTGACTTGTCACCGTGGCGGTGCGCTTTGGGAAATACGACGTCATTGGATTTGCGTCAATGGGAGAGCTCCCATAAGGAGAGATGTCGGGCGAGGACATCGAAGATGCGTAGCTTTGTGGGGAGAAAGCGGTGTCGGAGTCGTCGCGCGATCCTAGTGATGAGGCAGATGAAGAGCCAGCTGATTTGACTGGGTGGATATCGGGTGCGTTGTAGGCTAGCATGTTTGTCGTGGACAACAACTGGACCGGTCCAGATATATTGCTGCGCTTTATGCTTCCTGAGTTGAGTCGCACATGCCCTTCACCACGATATGGCATAGGCGCAGACACTTCTGGGCGCTTATTGCGCCGGGTGAATGCTCTTGTGATGTTTGACATGGCGAATTCGGAGATTTAGTCAAGTTCAAAATAGGGCAACTGTGCGTTTCGACGCGGTCGGAAAGGGATTTATAAATTTACACATGCACTGTGTAAGATTTTGTTTGTGGTATCTGGTCGCGCTTTTGCGATCGGATCCGTATTTGAGTCTCGCGTGGTGAGACGATCGCGGGGATGAAAGAATGTCAGATCAACTGGAATGTCCAGTATCAGATCGTTGAATTTCAAATTCTATTGCAAGGATGCATAAAATGAATGTTGAGTTCTCTTTTGGATTTTGCGCAGCAAAACGTAGAGGGAAATAACAATCTCTTTTGTCCTTAAGGAATGGTGGCACACAAGAGGTCGGGGGAAAAATAGAAGGATAAAAAGAGTCCAGGATCTCAGATCACTTTGTATATCACGGACTTAAAGAATAGAATAAGGAGAGAATGAAGGAACAAAGACACACACAATCCCTAGGAGGTTGGAAAAAGAAAGAGAGAGAGAGGGGGGGCGGCCTGTCCCTTACGGGGTTTTCGGGCGCTACACCAGTGTTTGACTACTTTTGACTGGTAGGCCAAAGGAAGTGGATGTACGGAGTAGCCCAACAATCAGCTCTAGAATTCCCCTGGCTATCAAGGGCCCAGCTTAATCAGAGTGGTTCATCCAAACTTTGGCTATTTGCCTCATTCCACAGTATATGAATTACGCCTTTATTCTGTAGGGGGATGTACAGTCCCGTATCCCCGAGTTGATTCCAAGCCCTTCTTCCATGTCATCTTCCAGGGTTTCCGGATATGTGCCTGGGTATGGAGGGGTCATCGGGGCAAGTGGTCATCGGGGCAAGTCAGACGAGACGTGTACTTGTTCGACGTGTCCCATCTGTGTTGTCATTCCAGATCCCCCGCGGATTCTTTAAGTCTGCAGGTACACGTGAATATCGAATACCTATCCCTCCTATAAAGTGACCCCGTACTCCGTACAGCGTGATGCGATAATGCCCCGAGCATAATCTAATTGAAACGGATGCAGGTCCGGGCTCTTAGCCTAAAGGCACGGACGTTTCATCAACCACTTGTATCCGTTCCTCGCTCAAAGTAGTCTGTGGCCCGTGGTTTTTTTTTCTTTTTCAAACAGTGAAGGATCCAATCAGGGGAGTCCAACTGGAAAAACTCGGGAGGGGGCTTATTGCGAGCGCTTGCAGCTGATCGAGTTCGGGGGAATAGGAGAACTTCAAGATCGCCGAGATGGTGTGGTGTTCGTTATCTCTGGTGGATTTTCTGTGGAGTATTGGTGTTTAAATCTTTAAAGTGCTTCATCTCAGACTCCACCGGGAAAATTGTGTGGAGTGGAGTGAACCCCGCTAGGGTCCTACAACAAAATGGTTTATACGATGTATTGTACATCGTATGTTAGAAATCGCTCTTTGCTGTATTTGAATTCGGCTTTGCTTTCGCTCGACAAAGCCATTCTTGTGTTTTGATCCCTGAAATTACGGCAGTGGACACGTGATGTGGTAACTACAAATTGAAAGCCTCAGGCATTACTCTTCCGTACTAGCCCGTTACAGATAAGGAGCCCAGGTTTCATGAAGAAAGAGACGAAGTTTCAATATCAATGATGGTATTGTACTCCGTACTTTGTACATGGTTGGAACGCGTTTAAAAATAAAGACTCGGATTATGGTGTGACAGCTCCTCAGCTTTACTCAACCCCGTCTCCACTCCAGCTCCTGCTGATGCATCCACCGAAACACTGACCGCACCCTCGATGCCAGTTATTCCGTCTCGGGAACTACCTGGAGACGGCACGGGTTCAGGTTCCACCATCTGGTATCCAAAATATACTGGCGAATCCATTGCCCTGGGGTTAGGTTGATAAGCATCGTATGCATTCCCAGTACTGACCCTATTTTCCCTAGGTTGCCATGCATATGAAACTAGTCTGGAATGGGGCTGCTCTCCCAATGTCTGTGGTTTATCGTGAACAGGAGTCATAGGAATCGCGTAGCCACCTCCTGGTGTGTCTGAAACCACGTCACTTGGTTGCCCAATGGTAAACCGGTCCGACATAACTGTCAGCCAACGCTCCATATCGGGCCATTCTCGAAGAGGCAGCTGTGACCACTCTTCCATGCGAGCTTCCTTGTGTTTGAGGGCACCATCCGTCTTTGCTGGGATTTGTACTGCTGTGGGTTGTCCCATTGAACGCATCGTCATCAAAGCCCTGTAAAGGGCTGACTCGGTCGCTGCCAGCCTCTGTTCCAATTGGTTAAGGTATCCCAACGGTAAGCCTCTGGGCCTATCTGTTAGCTTCCTTCGGGTACCTGCATATATGCCTGGGTACTTGCCTTTTGCCACTCTCGGGGTAGATACATTTCGATACTTCCCCTGCGCATTGAGAACAGAACGGACTTAAAAAGATGTCAATGATTAGAAATAAGACCAGCTATTGAAATAAACGGTGAAACCGTTTTCGATTTTTGATCTTACAGTTTGCGATCACACTATTTTGCTGGTCAGCACTTGTTTTGCTGTTATAAAAGAATATCCTACTTTGCATTTTCGTTGTCTGCATGGCTCACAGGAAATCGGATTCAGGTTCTCTTCTGATGACATATCGAGTCAGTCTATACATGTGCTTTTTGTGTGGGGGGTATTCAGGTCACACCTAACGTGGTGGCAACAGGTGCCTTCCGCTTCGATCGCAATTGCCCCATTTGTTGATTACAGGGTTATGCAATGCAAAATGCAGTGTAACTTCCGATATGCAAGATGTCAGGCATAAAATCATGTGCATGGGTGGTGGTGCTTGGTAAAAGTTCCGGAGTAAGAAACCTCCGGGTATAATTGGCAGGCACGTGATACTGACCATATTTATGGTCTACTACAAAATGCAGGAAGACAACACTAAGGAATAAGGATAAAAAGATGTATTAGTACTTTTGGTTTAACTAAAATGCAACGCCATGTCATTCAAAATCCCTGCGAATTGGTTGTGATGATGCATCCGACTATTGGTCCTGTTGATATGAGACGTTTATGCGAGTCGTTGTCATGATTCTACCACCAACATCTGCCTTGTAAGTCTCTGAGTTCACCATTTCCATGCCATCATCCTGCCATAAATCATCGTGGGTGAGGTTTCTTTCAGACCCACTCGGAAGGGGCGTATGACGCGTCGCGTGTTTACTATATGGATTGGTGGTTGGTTGTGAGGAGTTGAAGAGACGCGGGAATAAGAACTGGAGTGGATGTCTGAAGACCGGTAGACAGGTGCAAATAATACCAGTGTTTGCTTCAACCACGCTCCAGATGGTGGCTGGAATAGGACCGCCTGTTGTTGTGTTAGTTTATATATATTGTGTGAATTGGATTTCGGGAAGCAAAACTCACTGGTCGGATCCGTGTCATTGGCAGATTGAACAAGGGTGGTGATTCGGATGATTGTTGTGACACAAACACTAGATGTATGAGCAGTTTGTTGGAGAGATACAAAAGGAACATGCACTTACAATGCTCCCATTCCGAAGACCACGAGGAGACCAATCTTCTTCGACCGTTGCAGCCGTAGTTGGCTCAAGGGGTATAAAGGCAGGGCGAGAATTACCAGGTCAAATATGAGATTGATGACCGAATAAGACATCCACATCCCCTCTTTATCCAGACATTGCGGGCTTTTTATAGTGATATCCCAGAACGAAGCGATGGGCTTGCATTGGAAGATGGTTAGGAAGACGTATGCCGTGCCCCAAACAGTGATCACCCCCAACCCATAAAAGCAAACTTGCCGGAAGACGCGCTGGGGAAATATTCGAAGGTATAGGCATAGGAAGGAGAGTTTGTTGACCGCAATGACAATCTTGTATACGAGCTGGGCGCCAAAGAACCACTTAAGTGCGGTTACTCGGTTGTTTTGCGTGAGGTCCTTGGAGTGTTTTCCGTATCCGTAGTGTACCGCTAGTTTTGAATGAATAACAGTTCCGCAGACTAGCATGAACGGGAGTATAGCATACCGGAGCACTCTGTCACTGTGAGAACAATTGAGCATATCTGCCATCTGTCAATGTCTTGATTCTGGTCCCGAATGCTTCAAGAACCACCCACCAGCGATGCCAAAATCATCCAATCATCTGATCCTAGATGGCTATGATGGTATCGAATAGCCAGTCTAGACAGAACAAATAAACCTGCTATAATGACCATCACAACACTACATATCCACAGCGGAAACCCCCGGTTAGGCACATCAGGTGTGCTCAATCCAATTTCGTAGGCCATGGCACATTTAGTTGGCTAGTGCAAATTTTGCGAAAGGAAAGTGAACAGGCATGATTCTTTAACATAACTTAGAAGCCATGGTACACCCCGACGATCACATCGCCCGATGGAGTTCCCACGAGATTTGAGGCAAATCATCGCTTAGATAGTATATTGGTCTTAGCCCCATAAATGCGGACCTCAGGAGAGAGTAAGAGAAAGATATGAATTTGGTTTCTGTATTAGATTAGGAGCAATATAACTATGCACAGCATCCATATTAATGGTCTCAGCCCTGAAACCAATCAAAAACTTTTAGTCCCAACTTGACAGGAATTGGAGAAATGTGATTATGGAGAATGTTCCTTTTTTGTGGATATGAACATGTATGATGTAGATCGTGTATATATTTGGTTAGGGCACTATGGAGTAGCCAATCTATTCACAAGGCAGCAATGCATTGGCTACGTGAAAATGTACAAAAAAATATCCCCAAAGCAACTAAAGAACCTATGTTGGTGTTCAAATTGGTTTTAATATATAGTAATATTTAAACTCTCCACATGGTTTGCAGGGATGTCGAAATAGTTTGTGGATGAGAGTCCCCATACCCTATAAATCTGGCGATATGACTTGACAAGAGATCTCTTGGCAAAGCAGAATCTAATATACAACATACTTCACACTTGATTATGGTATACCGAATATGAAATAGCGCTTCGTCTAGTAGGTCTACATGAAGATCGTCAGGACAACATTCCACATTGGTCGCCAAGAATTCTTGTGGCCCCATCTCTTAAGCCACCCAGCTTGTGTAGACTGTCAATGCACTCCCCTGTTCGCCCAATTTAAGCCACGATCGGCGATCCCATCGTAACTAAGCGAACTCGGAACGTTCGGATTCCCCGACAATATAGATGGTCCCGCTATGTGAGACATGCGCGAACGTTATATGTCTCTGAACTTCCGCAGTCGTTGCCCTCCTCCTTCAGGCTCATTGATAATTTCTAAAAATGAAGGCTGGTTGGAATCCAATTGGATCTGCACTGTTGCTGGCTACGTGCCTTCCCGCAGTCTGGGGACAGCAATGTCCAGACCACCCAGAAAATCACATTGGTGACTCTGTAGAGACCAGCAGTGGACTGGTTGAGGGGCACGCTGCGCCTCGCAGGCCTGCAGTCTCTGAATACTTGGGTATTCCCTATGCTTCAGCACCAATTGGAGATCTCCGATTTGAGGCTCCGGTGGCTTATGAAGCCAATGGCACTATCCACGCAACTGCCTATGTAAGATCTCTCCATTCGTTCCGTGGAATATATAGCTAACTATATCACCAACAGAGCCCGTGCGTATACTATGCCGTTACTATGATGTAGATATCTGACCAAAATTAGTGATTGTCCTGCAAATGCCGGCTCAGTTCCAGATTACCCTGGATTTACTCCACAGGCTCCCAAGATCGTCAAGTCGTTTACCCAAGCCCTTGGTACTTCACAAAGTGAAGACTGTCTTTTCTTGAATGTGTGGACCCGTCCCACAGTCTCCAAGTTGAAACCAGTCCTGCTATGGTTCCATGGTGGTCGTATGTTTATTTTGACTGTTTTGTTTTCAAATGATTGACATTTCTTGAAGGTTTCACTGGAGGCGGCGCTAACAATCCATACTATGATGGACAAGCCTTGGCTGATGAGCATGAGGTGGTGGTGGTGACCATCAAGTCAGTACTATTCATCCTACATTTATACACAATTACTAATTAATAACAGCTACCGATTGAACATTTTTGGTTTCTCTGGCGCACCTAATCTTCCCCAAAATGTCGGACTGCTGGATCAACGCATGGCAGTGGAATGGGCCCATCGCAATATCGCCGCCTTTGGTGGAGACCCGGAGCGCATCTCAATCTTTGGCCAGTCTGCTGGCGGCGCTGCCGTTGACTATTATTCGCAAGCTTGGGCAGACGAGCCCCTAGTTGCCGGTCTCATCTCGCACTCCGGAACGTCGCTCAGCTTTGTGCCCAATACCGCCGAGGAATCCGCCAGTTACTTTTACACTGCTTCCAAGCTTCTTGGTTGTGGGGATCAAACCAGCGACCCCGAAGAAGTTGTCAAGTGCGTTCGCCAGAAGCCGTTCACCGATGTCGTCAAGGCGGGTGGCAAGGTCCCGCCAGCACCTTCACCAGCCCTTCCACAGGCAGTGTTCCATCCGACAGTGGATGGAGTTACCGTGTTTGGCAACTACGCCGAGCGAGCTGCCGCTGGCCAATTCGCACGTCTGGTAAGTAAAAATCATATAGTTTAGTTCATTTTCAAAAAGAATACTAACATGCCGTAGCCATATTTGATCAACAGCAATCATTACGAACCCGGCTACTATCGCATCAGCGCGTTCAACGCAAATATATCTCTCAGTGACGCAGCATGGCAAACTTTCAATGATGCGGCTTTCACTTGCCCTAGTGGTGCGTCCGCAAGATATCGAGCTGACAACGATGTTCCAGTCTGGCAATCTCACTACTTCGGTGACTGGGACAACCTACGTCTGCATCCTAACAGTGGAAGCTACCACGGTGCCGACCTGCCTATGATATTCGGAACTGGAGAGCAAGTCAGTGGAATTCCTAACAGTGACCGTGAGAATGAATTTGCCCGGTACATGGCTTCCGCTTGGGTTGCATTCGCAAGTGATCCTCAAGAAGGCCTGACTAAATTCGGATGGCCCCGATATGATCCTAATAGTAGGTTCCTGATCAAATCCCCTAAACTCTTTATATCTAACAATTTAACAGAGAAAACACTGGTTGGACTTGCCTACAACGATGGCTCCAATGCCCAGTTGCTCCTACCCGAGGAGGTCGAGCAGGAATGTGCTGCTTTGAATGGGGATAGCACTCCCGGAAAAGGTGCCTTTTAGAAAACCTGGGGATTTGCGATTCATAGAAGTAGAAATTAATGTATATATCTCAAAAGATGTTTATAAAATAATATAGTCGAACATTCTTCAATTTTATAGATCTGACGATGCCTCGGTCGCTGACGTAATACATAACCACCCGGCTCCGGGGGCGTGGAGCGATTTCTTCCAAGAAAACTTGACTTTCAATATCTCATTTTCGAAAAATGTAATGCGTAAATCACAGCGATGATGGCTTCGCCTTCACCTGCTAGCATGCGGTTCGAGGAAAATAAGTCTGCATGGCCATATTCTTCTCGTCCAACCAAGAGACACAAGCGCACCTCCGGCGGGAATACCTCAGGACCATCACCCCGCGAAATTGGATTTATGAGAGAGTCTCAAAACGATGGATCCGCCACTTTCTTAGGAAGTTCAAGCGGGATCCATTTTATCCGTCATGTTTACCATGCCTTTGCACGTCGTTCAGCAGATCTGGACCAATCACGAGCCCGTGACAGAACCTCGGTGCCAGGCGAAGACGACCGGCTACAGCGAAATGCAGGAAGTATTCAAAGCTCGGATGAGATTTGGACAAGGGAGGAATTGAATCATGCACCAAATATCTCATTTACTTTCGACGATCTTGTTATATGGACACGCAGTTACTTCGAGAATTGGCATATGATCTTCCCGTGTCTCCACGCTCCGACAGTCTTGAAAACCATGGAGACAGTCAGTCAAAAAGGGACAGGATCAGTCAACCGATCAGAATTGATGATTATCCGCTCCATAATGTCCATTTCTCTCGGCGATAATCGACAGAAAACGTCGTCTAGATCGAAGCTCAGTCCCGTTCCTTCGGTCTTAGTCTTTCGATCCATTCAACATGTGATACAAGATGTACAAAGCCTCCTTGAAGATCCAACTAGCTTGCCATTGCTACAAGCAGCCTTTACCGCCCAACTTGCACTCACTTCTCTTCTGCGCCTGAATGCCGCCTCGCGGGTAGGAGGTGTCATCACCCGCACTGCATTCCACCTCGGGTTGCATCGGTGCCCAAGACGCTTCTCTTGCTTTAGTAGTGAAGAAGCCGATATCCGTTGTCGATTATTCTGGTCGATCTATTCCCTTGAAAGATATCTTTCTCAGGCCCTTGGCATTCCGCTCTCTATTCGAGATGACGACATCGACGTGTGCTACCCTGGTGCCGAGAGACATTCTTCAATCATTAAATTCCCCGATGATCGCAGATTGCGCTTACTGTGCCATCTTGCGAAATTTGCACGGATTCGAGGTCTGATAGTTGAACTTCGTAATAAATCTATTCTCCACTGTCACGCCAGCCAGGCCGAAGCGACTCATGTTACTGGAGAACTGGCGCAATGGTGGAATGAAGTTTATGACGATGCCAACCCCATTGATGAACCCCCAGAAGATGATCTAGAACAAGAGCCGGTCTTGCGGCGATATCACCGGCTACTCCTAATGATACTGAGACACGAAGCTATCATCTCGCTCAACCGACCCCTTTTAGCCTCTGAAAAGCCCAGTGCGGATTACAAGAATGCTTTGCAGACTTGTATTGGATCTTCTAGATCTATACTTGCGGCATTAAAAAAGCATATGTCATCTGAACCGCAATCTCCGCTCTCCTGGCCATGCTTTACATGGTCAACCTGGATGGCCTGTCTCATTTTGATGTATGCTGCATGGGAAGAGGAGTTCTCCACGCCCACTGCTCTCAAATATGCGAGAATGGGGATTGCTATTTTGGAAAACCTATCATTGCGCGGTAGCAGCTGGCCAGAAACCTGTATTGAGGCGATCAAAGGCATGCAATCTGCTTTCCAGACACAAGCATCTAGTGTCCAGAAGGCCAAGGCTAGTGCTGCTACAGTTAACGGCGCCGAGAGATTAACTCAATCTCCTGCGCAAGCTACGCCATTGACAAATAAACGGATCTCACGAATGCTGCCGGTTCAGGATGGAAATGATGAGATTGGAGATGCAGGTCTCACGCCAATTCGACCTCGAGCTTTAACGCCGAATGGATACGAAGGCCATCCAGTCCCTACTGGAATTCATCCTTTCCAATCATCAATTCGCTCTCCTATTCAAGGCCTTAGCTCCACAGAGAATTACGACTCTGCCGTTTTTTCACCCTCTGACAACATCGGTAACTTTGCCGAGACATTAGATCCTGCTGAGAACTATCTCAGTGGACACTCTTCAGCTGGTCTTGTTTTTGGCAACATGGCTGACGGAAACCCTGCTTTTAATCCGAGTTTTTCTGGTCAAGACTCTTTGCCATTTTCATCATCTATGCCCATGAACGATTTATGGAGTGTGGCTGATGGCCCATGGATGATTCACAATAACTTCTTGTGATTCCCGATACATAATTCCAAAGAAGCTATGTATAATAGTGAAGTTCGGCGCAAAAAAGTTTCCCAACGCTTTCAGTTCAGCTGGTATACATCGGGTTGTCCGCCACGCGGACATGTCTTACTCCGAGTGGGGCCCTTCATATAGTTCAACACGGGCATTTGAATCTCCGCCTGCACCCCGCGACCATTTTAGTCGAATGAGCTCGCGATGATCGGTTATGCGATAGGTTTATAGGTAGATTGCATGTGGAGACTGAAATCTGAGGATTTGAACCCGATTTCCTTTAAAGGCTCTCCACGCGCCGAGTTTGTCTTCTGCGGTCTCCAAACTAAATCCCTCGAACAACAAGTTCACCCCCAACATCATCATGTCGTCTTCAGTCGATAGTCAAAAGACCTACAGCATCGCATCCATTCCAGCCGATGGAATTGGCCCAGAGGTAATCAGTGCCGGTATCACAGCTCTGAATGCCTTGACAGATACTCTCAAGACCTTCAAGTTGGAGTTCAAGAACTATGACTGGAGCTCCGAGACCTACAAGAAGACCGGTAAATACATCCCCGATGGTGGACTCGAGGAGCTCAAGAAGCACGACGCGATTTTCTTCGGCGCCGTCGGCGCTCCTGGTAAGCAGACACACCCAATGGCTTGAAGAATATCATACTAAACACGAGAGAAGACGTCCCCGATCATATTTCCCTGTGGGGTCTGAGACTTGCCATCTGCCAGCCGTTCCAGCAATATGCGAACGTGCGCCCAACACGAGTGTTCCGCGGCACCGAGTCCCCGTTGCGCAAGTGCGGGCCCAACGATCTTGACTGGGTGATTATCCGTGAAAACAGCGAGGGAGAGTATGCGGGCCAGGGTGGACGTTCCCACGCCGGAAAGCCGTGGGAAGTTGCGACTGAAGTTTCTATCTTCTCCCGTCACGGTGTGGAGAGGATTATGCGGTTTGCCTTTGAGACTGCCCAGAAGCGACCGCGCAAGCTGTTGACTGTGGTCACTAAGAGTAATGCGCAGCGCAATGGAATGGTTCTCTGGGATGAAGTCGCGAAAATTGTTGCAGCCGATTTCCCCGATGTCACTGTGGACAAGATGCTTGTTGATGCTATGACTACTCGCATGGTTCTGAAGCCTGAGAGTCTGGATACCATCGTTGCTACCAATTTGGTGAGTTGTCCAAATGAGAAATAATTCATAACTAGGTCTGTGGACTGACGATCAATTAGCACGCTGATATTCTCTCTGATCTCGCTGCCTCTTTGGCTGGATCTATTGGTATCGCACCTACTTCTAACCTCGACCCTACACGAGAGTATCCTAGCATGTTTGAGCCCATTCATGGCTCCGCTTTTGATATTACTGGCATGGGTATCTCCAACCCCGTGGCTACATTCTGGACGGCCGCGGAGATGCTTGCTTGGCTTGGCGAGGAGGAGGCTTCCAAGCAGCTGTTGGCTTGTGTTGAGAATGTCTGCGAGCAGGGAGTTCTGACTCGCGACTTGGGTGGTAATGCCACAACAGAGCAGGTTACTGATGCGGTTGTGGCAGAGATCAAGAAACTTGCGGTTAGCAAGTAAGTTGTGTCAGGGTAGGAAATTTCGTATGAGGATGTATAAATTGAACAATCAGTGAGCAATAATTTGAGACTCAAAAGCAGCTAGTATAATGAAAATTATGAGAAATGCAGATATATTATGCTTTTCCATGTATAATCTTGGATGTAAACATTTTCCTGTCTCTCGTGATCGCCCATCTCGACCTCGACCGCCTTTCAACCTCCATCAACTCAACCTCAACCACCACAGAGAGACGTTTGAATGGAGCGCCCCGTCAAAAGAGCCAGAATCACATCAGATTCCGGTGATGGCTCAGTGTCTACGCCTCTAACGTCTTTACATAGGGCCATTAGCCCACCATTACCCCGAGGCAGTCCCGGGCTGACCGATGGTAAATTGACTTCTGGCCCTGGAGGTACTGCTCACCCTACCAAGGTCATGCATTCGCCAGTTCAACTTACGCATATTCGAGACTTACCGGATGGCAACAATGTCGACGCCATTCGACTGCGCGACATTCTCGGAGATCCCATGATCCGCGAATGTTGGCAATTCAATTTCCTGTTTGATGTGGATTTTCTCATGTCGCAGTTTGACGAGGATGTCCGGGGTCTGGTACAAGTCAAGGTTGTGCATGGATCATGGCGAAGAGAGGATACGAATCGGCTTCGTGTTGAGGTAAGTTTGCACTGACGAGACTTCTTTCAACCGGATGGACTTCATCTGTTTGACTACAAATTGTCACTGATCAAGGGCTGGGAATGGCCTGAGACTAATCTACTACTAGGAAGCTTGTGGGCGATATCCTAATGTTGAGCCTATTGTAGCCTATATGCCGGAGCCTTTCGGGACACATCATTCCAAGATGATGATTCTTCTTCGGCATGATGACCTAGCTCAGTAAGCTTTTTCTAGGCATTACTGACTGCTATGGCCTAATATATGTCTGACCAATTACATACAGGGTTATTATACACACAGCGAACATGATCCATATGGATTGGACTAATATGACACAAGCCGCCTGGCTCTCTCCACTGCTTCCCCTGCAAAAGGCAAGCTCAGTAGGATCTCAGACAGACGCAAAAATAGGCTCGGGCGCACGGTTCAAAAGGGATCTCCTCGCTTATCTGAAAGCGTATGGACCTAAGAAGACCGGCCCGCTGGTCCAGCAATTGGATAAATACGACTTTGGCGCCATTCGCGCTGCCCTCATTGCTAGTGTCCCTTCCAAAAAGCACGCCAGTGACTCCAGCTCAGAGGAGGACACACTATGGGGCTGGCCTGCTCTGAAAGACTTGATGAGCCAAATACCCATCCATCAGAAAACTACAAGCAAGAAACCACACATAGTAATCCAGGTACGTATCTCCAAAAAAAACTATCATGTAACAAACCCCCAACAAATCCCAAGATCTCTTCAATAGCAACCCTCGGCCAAACAAATAAATGGCTCAAAGACGTCTTCTTCAAAGCCCTCGCCCCAACCCCACAACCAACAACCTACTCAATAATCTTCCCAACCTCAGACGAGATCCGCCGCTCCTTAAACGGCTACAACTCCGGCGGCTCAATCCACATGAAAACCCAAAGCGCAACGCAACAAAAACAACTCCAATATATGCGTCCGTACCTCTGCCAATGGGGAGGTGATACCCTCGCCCCGGGCCAATGCATCGACCTATCCGAAGATAATCCCCCAAGGCGCGAGGCAGGCCGTGCCCGCGCAGCCCCACACATCAAGACTTACATCCGCTTCGCAGACTCAGACATGAAGACTATCGACTGGGCGATGGTGTCGTCGGCGAATCTGTCCACGCAGGCGTGGGGCGCGGCGACGAATGCGAGTGGCGAGGTGCGCATTTGTAGCTGGGAGATTGGTGTAGTTGTTTGGCCGGAGCTTTTCCGAGATGAGGGTAGTGGTGATGCTACATCTGCTTCTGCTTCTGAATCCCTAGCCGAAGGGGAATCCCCTGTGCCTGACGCTCTGATGGTTCCTTGCTTTAGGCGGGATCGTCCTGTTGTGTCTGAGGGGGTCGAGACAGCTTCACTGGTTGTCGGATTTCGGATGCCTTATGATCTTCCATTAACGCCGTATGGTGCAGCTGATGAGCCGTGGTGTGCGACTGCTTCGCATTCTCTGCCGGACTGGCGGGGGCAGAGCTGGATTGTTTGAGTCTGCGGTCTCTGAATTTAGCGTACTGGTTAGGTTTTATCTCATCCGTTCACGAGTGTGAGTCGCATCGTTATCTCGGTATTTAGTATACGTGATTGTGAGATACACGAGTACTGGGTCATGGAAAGTAGCATGTATTTGTATTCGTTGAATTCATCCTGAGAGTTCTGAGAACATCCGATTATCTCTTCTGTTTTAGATAACCCTCCCTTCCAAAACCTCACCCGAGAATATCTTCTTCGGTAGATCGCGAATCATTCTCCAAGACCAGTCCTTCTAATTGGTATTATTTATTCGTCGCGGGTACCGTACTTGGAAATATAGGTGTTGACGTAGCCGATGTAGAGCTGGTGGGCCTTAGCAGGGCTGTAGTCCTTGACCTTTTCCCAAGCGCCGTAAAGCTGCTTCTTCTATAGGTTGCAAAGAATGAACTGTCAGCTACCGGCCTTGTTTCCGAGCTCACAAATAATCTGGAATCAAACATACCTGGATATCGAACATGCCGGGCTTCTCCATAACCTCACCCTTGCCAACCTTGAAGTAGATGTAGAGGTCCTTCTTCTCCAAAAGACCGGGGGAAGTCTTCAGCATCATAACAGCCTTGGCGGCGAACTCGAAGGCCTTGCGGAGGGTCTCGGCCTCGGCGGCATCATCGAGCTTCTCAAACTCTCCCTGCTCAGAGACCTTCTCGAAGATCTCCTTCAGGGACGCGATGTCGATGCCGGCGGCGGCATCTTGGACCTCGGAGGTGAACTTTTCTTTCTTCTGGGCGGCCTCGAGGGCGGTGATGAAGGGGGTGATATCAGACATTTTGGATTTGAGGAGATTTTATTTGGGTATAAGGAGAGGTAAAAGTCAGATACGGAGGCTTTATATGTTGAGGATATTGGAGACGGTTGAGGGCGGGGTCCACGGGTATAGGTGGGGTAGCTGACACACTCACCAGTTGAACGTTTTTAAGGTCATGCCATATTAATGTACTCTGTATGTTTTGCATGCTATGTAGGCTGTAAAGCAATAGCTACATGTAGATTAAATCAGAATTGTCTTCAACGCCTCAGAAACTTGCAAGAACCACGCCACATGCAACCACTGTGGAAATCACTCGCTATGCACCAGAAGAAAGAAAAGGAATTACCCTATGTACAAATTCGAGGAATTCCAAGAGAGAGAGAGAGCGATCACCAGTCCACCGCCCATCCGTTGTTCTTGAGGAATTCCTCGCAGGCCGACTTGAGCGCATAATTGTTCCGCAGATCATGGACACTGACAGGGGCCCGAGTCAAAGGATCAACGCCCGACTTCTCAATATACTTAGTGATACCCAAGCGATCGAAACTGACTCCAGATGGTGTAATAACAGGGTCATGCATGATCTCAAATGTGATACCATCAATGAGATAGTCAGGCACAACCTAAAATCAAACCCAAACGTCAACAAACACCCAACCTCAGAAAACCCAAGTTCAAAACATACCCTTTCCTGAACCTCTCCCTTCGAAGCAATACGAAATGCCTCCCTCAAATTGTTAATCTTATTCTCCGCATCCTCCCGCAGCGCCTTCTGATCCTCCCCAAACCCGATCTCTCCGATCTCCCCGCGCTCCAAACGACCCTGCAGCTCCGCCAGCGCACGTGTCACATCAGCCTCAACGAGTGCCTCGACAGAACCCAGAGTTTGATTCAGCTCGCGTATTCGGGCAGTCTCGCGCGCAGCCCAGATCTGCTGCTTCGCGCGCAGGACTATCCGCGACAGATTCTCCGACTGGGCATTCTTCGTTGCGAGACTCTGTTGATATGCTTCGGACGCGACGTCGTGCGCTTCCTGTGGGCGCTGTAGGCCTAGGAGTGCCTGCGCGAGGTAGAAGTGGCTCTTTAGGGCGACGGGGTTCTTAAGACCGTAGAGTTCGATCGCGGCGCGGGCGTCATGTTCGACGTCGGCCCACTTGGCGAGCCTGATTCGGGTTATCGCGCGGTTTGAGAAGAAGGTTGCATCGCGGGGGTTCTTTTGGATTCTATTCCATGGTGAGGTTGTTAGTTTTGGGGGATTTGAATGATGGGTTTACGACTTTGGTTTGGGTAGTGAGGGGTGGTTGGGGAGTCGGAAGCGTCGGAGGGGTCGGATGTGATAGCTCACGCTTGGGAAAAGAAGTCTTCAGCACCGCTGTAGTCTCCTGCTTTGAAGAGCTCATTGCCCTTGGCTTTGAGTTCTTGGGCCATGATTTATGTGTGAGTGAGGCCTTAGGTTTCCCCCCGTGTCAGTGATCTATTCCCCAATGTGGGGCGGTCCACCATATAGACCTCAGCAGTGATAGGAGTGGATATAATTGTAGTTTGTGAAAGCTGATGGGAATTTAAGGACTTTTTGATCTGCAATCGCTGAGTCTAGGTACCTTTATGGTGTCTTTGTGAGTTCATCCAAATCGCATGAAACAATTGCATATGGAAACTCATAGATCCCCGCAGAAGGTCTGAGTCAGCTTGATGGACTGCACAGTCATGGATATAGTTATTCTACAGCGTATTATTTTCAGATGAAGTTGAATATAGCTATTTCATTCACTATGTACATATCTATGTGATCTTCTAATCCAATCTGGAAGCGGAAGTAACATAAGGTTCGTGGTATCATGCGCTGTGAGAAAGAAAGACATAACAATCGTACAGACAAGTCGATGGAATTTGACAGGTCATGCTCTGTCGAAAGGTTGGCAAGTTTGCAGAAAAAAACCAGTCGGGTCTTCAACACATCCAAAGCGGTTCGGGTATCGATAAGACAAGACGTAAGAGAAAGACAGTCTAAGCAGCAGCGCGGAACTGGGTCTCATAGTCGGTGATAGCCTGGATCTTGGCAGCAGAGGCAGACTTAGGATCGAAGCGGTAGTTGAGCCAATCGGTAGCGAGCTTCTTAGCCAATTCGACACCGATGACACGCTGACCCATGCACAGGACTTGAGCGTCGTTGCTCAGGATGGAACGCTCAACAGAGAAGGGATCGTGGGCAGTCACAGCTCGGATACCGGGCACCTTGTTGGCAGCGATAGCAACACCCAGACCAGTGCCGCAGATGAAGAGGCCACGGTCAGCCTTGCCCTCCGTGATGAGCTTAGCACCCTCGACGGCAGGGTGAGGATAGGCGGTCTTATCAGAGGATGAGTTGACACCGACATCAATGATTTCAGCGACAAGAGGGTTCTTCTCGAGAGTGGCCTTGATAGCATCCTTGTATGGGACACCGGCCTCGTCGCAGGCCATGACAATGCGGAAGGGAGTAGACATGATGAAGGTATAGACAAGGGTATGAAGAATGTACAAAGAAGAGTATGAATTGAATCAGATAGATGATAGAGATAGAGGAATTGTTATACAGAAAAGAAATCCTAATTTGAGAGTACACCAAGGGGTCTTTATATCTTTTGTTTTCAGCTCTTCCCCTCTCTCCTTTGCAAAGGCCCCGGCCAATCCTTGCATTTGACAGAATCATCTATCTAACACAGCCGTTCTCCACCAGTAAACTCGAATTGTCTTCCGGGCTTGATATTGTTACGCGTATTTCCTGTGTCCGGGGTGGCCCGCCTCAGCATCATAGCACCGAATAACGTGCTATGAGTGGTCAGCTCCAAAACGAGGTTAAACCGAGGTCGGATACTTTAGGAGCCTTGTTTTGGGCCATACAGGTCTCTTACCTCGTATTACACGGGATGTTTTTATTAAACCTCGCCGGCGCTGGCTTAGATTACAGCCCCAAGCTTTCACTTTCTGCTAAACCCTCAAGCCATCGATGTCAGTGGTGAACACTATTGTAGGCAAGACGGCTGTGGCTTTTTTTTGCACAGACATGTCGGTTTAACTTCCTTTTCAAATACTGGTGCCTCACGGCCAAGGGCCGGAGGTCTTGGTTTAATCTTTTTTATCTCGCCAGGATTGGTTTCTATGGCTAAGGCCTGGGCATACCTCGTATGTCTAGGAATACACTATGGCATTTATGGCCTTGGCCGCATTTCACCCACAGACGGGAAGAGGGGAATTGTCGCATTATGGAATTATTGGATTATCGAATTGACCTCATAACCCGAAACCGGGTTCAATGGCATTCTTCAAACTCGGCATTGGATATGGTAGATATAAGAGATATGAGAAAATACTCCATATAGGATATTCTATCTCCACTGAACCTCTACACTTGATTTCCCAAAGGTCGAAATGTAAATAAGTACGGGTTGTCGTGCTATCGTCCCCCGACGCTAAACCCCCATAATTGATGTGCATTGCCTCATTGCCTTATCCACTTTCCAACTCCACTATCTCCTTGTTGGTCCCCGGCAACTCCCCGGTTCTTCTGGATTGTATGTACTCCGGATTTTCCTTTTGGATCTACACTGTATGATGCTATACATTGCACATCGTGCTTTAATAATAGACACATGGGATATAGCAGACACTTTATGATCTATGTGTATGCAAAGTTCCAAGTAGAATACCAGGATCGGATTTTCATTTCTATGATTGGGGTTCTGTATGTGATAAATACTACATTGGATTTGATTGGTCTATCATGGTCTTGTCAACATTGGATTCCGGTATTGAGTACTAATGGTCTCTTACATCCCTGAACTAATTGGACGAATGTGACATCACATACTCCGTACGCAATAGTGTACTCTGAATAATGCCTCCATGTATTGTGCACTAACCTGATGGGACATCGGAGTACAGAAATGCCGCTAATGCGGCGCATTGACACCTATATGTATTACCTTCCAAGATGGTAAAAACTTGGAAATCCTTGGAAATACTTGGAATTGCTAGCATTTCACTTTCTAAAGCAACTTTTCCGAGACTCGGACGGGAACGCTAAGCCTATCCCCCCCTCCCGAGAGTTAATCCATAAACAAAACAATCACTCAACTTTTGCAACACCCCCTCATCACCATCACTATGGCGTCAACTTACCCAATTCTCCCAGAGAAGCTCCTCCTCATCTCCCTGAAGATGTACTTCACCCCAGAACGTACACTCACCTATCTTCGCGAACTTCTCAACCCATCCAACGAGATCGTCCACCCAGAAAACCGTGACAAACTCCTCCTCGCTCTAATTCCAGACTTCCTAACCATCTGGCCCTGCGCCGAGATCATCAAAGAGTACGAAGCCAAACTCACCAGCAGCGGGATTTCCCCATCCCCCTCCCCCTTCCTCCTCGGCGCGCAGGACTGCTTCTGGGAACCCCAAGGCGCATACACAGGCGAAGTCTCACCAGCCTCGATCCACGCACTAGGCTGCTCAATCGTCGAACTAGGCCACGCCGAACGCCGGTCCATCTTCAACGAGTCAGATGAGCAAACCGCCCGCAAGGCCGCCGCAACCTGTGCGCAGCATATGGTTCCGCTTGTCTGCGTCGGCGAGGTGACCGCCCCGGGCCCCGTCGCCTCGGAAGCAGTCGGTCAGGCTGTGACCGAGTGCGCGGTGCTGGTGCGCGCAGTGCTGAGTGCCATCCCGGACGACGCGCCCGTTATCTTTGCTTACGAGCCTGTCTGGGCTATTGGTCAGCCGAAGCCGGCGGGCGTTGATCACGTTGCTGCTGTTGTGCAGGGCATCCGGGCTGTTATTGGTGCCCGGCAGGGTACGGCTCGTGTCTTGTACGGGGGCAGTGCGGGGCCTGGTCTTTGGGGAAAGGGCGGCCTCGGTCAAGCTGTTGATGGGATGTTTTTGGGCAGATTTGCGCATCAAATTGACGGTGTGCGTGAAGTTGTCCGTGAGGTGGAGGAGACGCTGGCTGTCGCGTGATGATGCTGTTGGCTTTATACGGCCACATTATGCATTCCAGGTATTGTTCTTCGACACCTTGACACCTTAACATTGTGTCTTTGAATTATACAGGTGCATTGTTTACGGTATTGTGTTTCACACTATACGGTTCCTCGTCTTGGTTATACGGAAAATTACATAACACATAAACCGAAAGAACCTTGGAAAAAGCCCAAAAAAACCACAGATCTAGACAATACCAGTTATCAGAACAAAAAGTGGGCATCTCGAGAGTTCGAGCTCTCACGGAAGCTCTCACGGCAGCTCTCGGGAAGCCCATCTAGGGAAAGCCGAAGACGGGCAACCCCACACCAAATGGAGAACTTCCCCGGTTTTCTCGATTTAACCTGTCACGCGGCCGATCGAGATTTTACCTCTCAGATGACTTTTAAGGCTGTTTTTAGCTTCGACAGCTTCCATAGGCTTGCAATGTCGTGAAGCTAACTATCGGTCCACCTCCGTGCTCCATGTGGGTTTTACTGTGGACTCTGGTTTTGCACTGATCGAGTAATCCGGGTTAATTATATAACTCTAGGTATGCCGCTTACATCCCCTTTTTCATTTCTTTCCCGGTACTGCCTGACTAGGTTATTCCACTCATAATTCCAGTCAATTGAATCTCTCGGACGAGAAAATCATATCAAATGACCAACGTGGAATATTACGTACTTTTCTTATTCATATCCATGTTATTTACAGGATCTATCAAAGACCAAATGAGAATAATAAGAGACAAGAATCATAGTTCACACCGCTTATTTCTTTTGCAGCTCCTGACGCAACTCCTGCTTGACCCGAGTGACAGTGCCAACACCACCGTAGGTAAGGCCGGTGTACATCATAGCGACCGAAGCGCCGGCATTGAGAGCCTCGCGCGCCTCCTTACCCGTAGTGATACCGCCGGAAGCGAAAATAACCTTCCGCGGAAGCTCAAACTTATCTGAGTCCGTCGCAGGCGACGGGGGTCCCTGGTCAAGCAGGGCGCGGTAGCGGGCGACAAGCGCAACGGTACCACTAAACAGTTGGGGACCGGAGTAACCGCCGGTTTCCTTCAGGGTCTTCTGTTCCTCGGCAGGGAGGACGAAGCCCCGGGGCACGGGGTCGGGCCGACGGTTGGTGGTGTTGCCGACGATGACACCGTCAACGCCGGAGTTCCAGACCGCCTCGCAGATGCCGGAGATCTGCTCGTCAGAGTCCTCATCCGGGCTTACCTTGACCATCACGTAGGGCTTGGTCTTGCGCTCGACGCTCTTAGCGGATGCCACGACCGCAGTCAGGATTGCTGTGAGGGGTGCGGCGGCTTGGAGGTCACGTAGGCCGGGAGTGTTGGGGCTAGAGACGTTCACGACGAGGATGTCGGCGTACGGTGCCACTCGGTCCACACAGTAGACGTAGTCGCGCTTGATGGCTTCGATGTCTCCGTCGGGTGTGAGCTTGTTCTTGGCAACTTGCACGGCGAGAAGCTTGCCCGGGACCAGACTTCCGGGTGGGACGTTGGCTTCGCCGTCCAAGACGCGCTGCACAGATTGTTCGTGCAGGCCAAATCCGGCAGCGTAGGCGAAGTCAGATACACGCTGCTTCAGCACCTTGGCCATGTGGTCGGCGCCCTTGGAGTTGAGGCCGTAGCGGTTGATCATGCCATGTTGCGAGGGCAGACGGAATACTCGGGGCTTCGGGTTGCCTTCCTGTGGCAGAGGGGTGGTGCCACCTACCTCAACGATGGCGGGACCGATGTCGAGAAGCGCATCGGGGACGTCGGCGTGCTTGTCCAGACCAGCGGAGATACCGATAGGGTTGGAGAGGGTGTAGCCAAAGACCTGGAGACGGATATCGTCAGTGGTAGGCAATCGATGGAGTTTGGAATGCCATTACCTCAGTTGCCAGGACACCGTCACGATCCGGGTCGCCACGCTCGCGCGGGTGAAGACCATACCGGTAGAGCGTCTTCAGGTATTCCACGCCAATGTGGTGCGCATCCTCCGCATCGGGCCACAAGAGGCGGATCAAGGGCACAGCAGCGTATCTGTGGATACTGGCTCTGGTATCGGTTCCATAGATGTAGCCCACTAGCAAGGTCAAGGCCAACGAGGTACCGTACAAGGCCTTCTTAGAGCTACGGCCCGCTTTGCGAGGGATCTCCTTGGCGGCCTCTTGTGTAGCTTCCTTCGCTGTCTCCTTAGCTGCGGCTGAATCCGAGGCATATCGTGAAGCACCGGGGTAGCGCTGGGCCCGCTTTGATAGCAATGCCGACGGCCGTTGGGTGAAGCGGGAGGTAGGAAGGGCACGAGCCCGGACGCTAGCTCTCCAGGCCATTGTTGCGGAGTTACAAGCCATTTTAATTGTATACGGATCTAATTCTCTTCGCAGGCGGAGCAACGCCCGATCGAACCTACATGGCGGTTAGTACTTGCGATTGAAAGAGGATTGTCACTGTGGAGCTAGTAAAGCTTCAATCATTTTGTATTGTAAGCTAGCCAATTGGGACAGTACATACAGGTCAATATGCACCTGATAAATCACTTACAATTGTAATTGAGCACGATCCGAGGTTCTCGCACGTCCCTTACGGTTCTCGAGGATGGGTGCGGGTTCTTTGCTGCACAATCCGGGCGGTGGCTATAGGGCCTGCAGAATCTCTAGAGCGGTAGCCTTATGCTGCTGCAGTTGTTCACTTTCTCTACCCCGTACTTTTCTTCAGTTATGACTTTAGTGATTGTTGGCGACTGCAAGGTGCTTCAAAATAATTTTAATCCGTATATCTTGAAAAAAAAAAAAAAAATCCAACCTTTCTATGTAGAATGAATGAAATATATTCACTGACGATCCTAGCTTCAATTATCACGAGCTCGTATCGGGCAACGCCCAGTTATGACCAACTCAACTTCTACCTCCCACCTATTGTGAATTTTAGCTTTCCCCAATATCTGAGCAGAGACTCATCTCAAGTCTTCGTCTTGTTGGTTACTCTCAACACAGAATCGTGCGCCGAAAACCCCAGCCAGAATGAGCACACAAGGAAGAACAACCAACTCTTCAGCGGTGGGGTTTGACCATGTCTGTTTCGACGAGGAAGATGACTTCTCTGCTCGAGAAAGTGCTATTCCAGAAGCAGCGTCTCAACTACATCGTGCGAAGGAGCCCTACCGTTCATTCAACGTTTTCAAAGATGTATGTTAGCAGCCTGGTATGGATGCATTTCTATCTGGCCATAACCCTCATAAATTCAGATAATGCTCATCAATTCATGCAGGTAGCACTCGGTACAAATGCCTTCAGCTTTTGCCTTCAGATTCACCCTTCTGGGGGACTTGCTCAATCTCCAAGCCCAGTATATCACACCTTGCGCATCCCCTGGTATCGCCAAGGCCTGTATCTACCAGCCTCGTTTGATCTTTACTCTGGTGGCAATGTCGTACGTAGCCGAAAAGACCCTTCTCCTAAACCTCAAGACCACCGCGCGCACATTCACTACCGTGGCTTTGAGGGTCTGTTAAGTCTCCATGTGACGGTAGACATATTCCGCCAAGTAAGCCCTAATGCACTTCAAAATGAGCTTCTAGGCTCCGAGGAAGGTTTCCCAGGCCTTTTCAAGCACTGCTCGCTGGACATCGTTCGGGAGGGAGTTGGTAGGACTTACCGTGTTAGTATTACTAATGGTGAGCCTGTCAAAACATTCTACTGGAAAGGATCCAAGACTGCATTGTCTCTCCTTGAAACTGAAGGGAAGGCCTCCGCCCCTAGTGATGGAAACGGCAATCTTAAGTTCTTTGCTGCGGATAAACCAGATGATATTCTTGCGGTGTGGCAGAATAGAACTGATCGACAAATTTTCGGTTCCCTGAATGTTATCGCTGAGCTTGATGCTGATTCGGATGGGATTCTTGAAGGGTTAATGGTGAGTTGCCTGGCAGTGGTCATTGCAGAAAGGGTTTCCGGGCGAGGGTGGATAGGGGGTCTGGGGAAGTCTAGGAATTGATTCGAAATGATCATATATGAGAGGTATAGCAAGAGCAATTCTATACAATGAGTTTCTATTATTGAATCGACTGTATCTCCATATCGTGAAAGACCTGACATGAAGGCCTAAAATCTATGGCTACCTTGTAACTAGATGGCAAGCAACGAATCTGCCTAGTCTGAGGCACGACAGTGAATGGCCTCGTCTTCCATATGAAAGGTATCAGTATGCTACTGAGAGCGGGATGTTCTATGTAGAATTATTCCTATAATATTCCAATCCTCTTGTACTAGACGATGTGTCTTGGTCTTTACGCCAATGTGCTCACCTATCTAGAAACTAGATAATGACGGGCCGAAGCACTGTCCAAAAAACACATATCATGCCTTCCCAGCCTTGCTAAACAGCACAATCCAAAATTACAATGGTGAGATACAGGTACAAGCATATCCTTACAAAAAATTGCGCTGGTTGCTTCATTTTTACTTCGCTTTATAATCCCGTCCATGAAGAGAGAAATTGTCAACAATTATGCACCAGTCATTCATTTCACTTCTTTCGAAATAAGTATAATTCCTCATGAGTGTTTGAGTGACGTGCCTATACTAAAAAACCCTCGTTCTTCTTTTCCGTCAATTTATGTAACAAAAGTAGGGCAGTGTGTGAATATCAGTCTGTAGCAAAAAGGCGAATGCCCAGGAGCCCTAGGAATCGACCGATTACGGTTCTAGAGGGGGTTGAATTGTGTTATTTTTTATTTTTTATTATTTTTGGGTTATAGTATTGACAGCCTCTATAACCAACCAACAAACGCCGCACACTAAATGAAAATAATGATATTTCCTTCATTGTCAAGACCAAAAATATCTTAGGACTATGCCATACATACATAAGAAGTATGTCAGCCATCGCACCTACTGAGGGATTCTCAAGACCACTCTGCCATTAATCTCCGAGCGCTCCATAGAGTCCAACACATCGTTGATATCGTCTAACTCGAAGACTTCAATGTGTGCCTTCACATCGCCAGCTACAGCCATAGCCATCATCTCCTCCATCTCATCCGCTGTTCCTGCAGAGTTCCCGACAATAGTGAGACCTGTATCGGTTGGTCAGACTGGTTCATGTTTTGAATTGAATAAATAGTAGAGAAAACCCACCTTTGACAATCATATCAAATGGAGTAGCTGGAAGGTTGAATGGCTTGTTGGGAATACCGACGCAGACCAGTGTGCCAAAAGGACGCAACATATGCATACTCTGTTCGTATGATCGCTCACCGTTGGCAGTGCAGATCACAGCGTGTACACCAAAGGTTGTCTTTTGTTTGACTGCCTGGACAATGTCGACTTCGCGGTAGTCCAGGAATTCCTGAGCCCCAAGCGAAAGGCATAGTTCCTTTTTCTTACCTCCGCTTCAGAAGCACCAGGATGTTAGTTTGTTATCAAGGTGATAGAAAATGTCCAACTTGAGATATCACATACCTGTCAATCGCAATGACCTTGAGACCCTTTTTAACGGCAATTTGAATTCCCCTACAGAAAGTATCTTTGTCAGAAAACAAAGCATGTGGTCATTAAAAGCTGGGGAATATACATATGACCAAGGCCACCTCCAGCACCAAGAATGGCAAGGTAGTCCCCTGGGCGAGTCTTGGTCTTCATAATGGAAGAGTACATCGCAATTCCAGCTGTGAACGGTGATGAGCGTTTGTATCGGCGAAATACCAATGGGAAAAACATACCACACAGAAGAGGTGCTGCACTATCTGGTGAAAGCTGCTCCGGAATCCTTGTCACATGGAGTGCTGGACTGACAATATACTCTGAGGCATGATATTAGAAGTGTTCCAATGGAATCGATGACCACACGGAAAGATCAAAGACTTACGCTGGAAGGTTCCAGGTACATTCTGTAAACCATCAATGTAATCAGTAACAGAGACGATGGTGGGAGACACATGATTTGCGGTGATTAACAACTTACTGCACCAGAGTTCTTCTGATACGGGCATACGGTATGGTTGACCTCACAAATCTCGCACTGGCGACACGAGCTGTAGAGCCATCTAATAGTGAAAATGACTTCAGCGTCAGCATAACCTCAGCCAATTGGCGACAAAGGAGACAGACCTGATACCAACCCGCGTTCCAATCCACTGCTCCTCATCAACTTCTGGTCCGACTAGATGAATGTTAGTATGTATACTTCTGGACTGCGTTCAACCCGATGCAACGATAGTTCTTACCTTTGACTACTTTTCCAATACCCTCATGACCCGCGACATCAGTCAACATGGGCGTGTCACCGCGGATGCTATGAAGATCCGAGTGGCATACCCCAGAAAATTCGAGCTTGACGAGGATTTCGCCTTTTCCTGGAGTTGGCACCGGACGATTGCTCTTGATCCCCACCTTTGCGGAGACAGTGGTACTTTTGGGTGCGATAACCGCAGCGATTTGAATTGGGGGGATTGGAGCGATCGACATATTGATCTATGAATATTCAAGATCACGTCCTTAAGAAATACTGCGATGTTTAGGATGCTTGGTTTAAATAGTTCGGTAATTGAGGTCTGATCCGATAGGCGGCATTAGTCGTATCGCAGATGCGGGGGTTCGAGGAAGGATTCAAAGATAAGCAGAATCAGTTAGCAAATACAAAGGTATATTTGGAAGGATCTCGAATTTGAGCAGATTAGGCAGTTTAGGTAGGAGATGAAGATGAGAATCCAATTTATGTATCGTTCTGTAGGTAAAATATGAACTTCGCCTCTCTGGATCGAGGTCTGATTAGGCGAGGAGGAACATCGCAATCCTTGGATCGTGGCGCCCATGAGGGCGGTACATTTATTCTCTGTTGAGTCTGGTATGTAGTTGATGGTTGTTGGATCGTGGTTGATGAGGAGATTCCCCATATTGAGTTGACCATGGATTGCAGCAATGATCAATGGTACAGGACCATCCATGCTAAGCATCGCAGAAGCCAGGCCTTAACTCCCCCTTTCACACACCCATCTCAAATTGGAGTCAACTTCAGCCCCCTTAGTTCGGTCGTAAAGTCTCGTTCGGAGAATAGTAACCATACAGGGATGGCATCTCATCAAGGCAGAGAAATCGGCTTGCGTGGGAAGATGTTGCTCGATCATAAGGGATTAGCTCGATGAGAAGGTCCAGCAACCCCATTTTGGAAATCAAGGGAAGGCGTCCATCCACTGTGTGAATGTAGGTTGCAAGATTAAGAGTTGTGATTGTGGCGAGCATGTGCTATCAAATGCGAGGACGAAGAAGAAGAAGCAGGTGATAGTGAAACACTACTTTGGTTGAAGAGGAGACTTGGCAGAAAGAAAGAGGTGACAAGTACAGGATAAGAGGAAAAAGAGACCATTGAGTGAAGTTTGAATAGGAGGGAAAGACCAAGCCTCAATATCGTCTGTCATTGACCACAGTGTGCTTATAGGGAAGACCATTTCCTGAAACCATGAGGCATGGAGGCAAATATATGCAGTACCAGCCCTGTATTCCCGGCCTCTGGCTCGACATTGCAGATATACATATGAAGCACTCTTGTCATTTATTTAATATATATCAGTTAACAAGAAGAGAAGATAAGAGAAGAGAAGAGAAAAAAAAAGAATTATAGCAAAATAAGCTAATATGAATGAAAAGCGCTCTTCGTTCGCATATATAGGTATAGAGCATATATATGAATTTAATATACCAATAATAGATTATGCTTAAGTATAAGAGAAAGGCCGCTTGATCATTTATGAGTAAACGGAAGATGAATTTGATGCCCGAGGAGGACAACAAGACTGAGTACGGTCTAAACTTTTTATAGCTTTATATACTCGTAAAGTGACAATCCCGGCGTGTCTATGTCATCCGTAATCTATAGCTATAACGCCGAAAAGAAAACGACATCCAAAAAAGACATTCCTACGGGCCAGATATATACCAGCTTATTAAGTCCATTGTCGTTCAGGGCGGAGGTGGCATATGCAGCCGACTCCTCTTGTATTCGATGATATACAACTATATTTACAAATTCATGAGAGGATTAATTGTGTACATGACTACTCCGTACGTTGATAAGCGATGGACTATACAAAACGCCATTTTCCATTGCTCGGACGCCAGACCCATGGGAAACTACCTAGGCAGAAACTTCAAGATTGTAATGTTCAAAGAAAGATCCATAATACATAATAGAAAGCCGTGAACATCTACTCGTCATCGCTCATGCGAGTATCCTCATCGGCCGGCCTCTCTGCATCCTCGTTCTCCAATGGTTGCTCCTCTTCTTGAGCAACAGGCTCGGGTGGCATGCTGCTTGCAAACTTCGGATCGATGCGCAGACGGGTCAAAGCACGCTTGTAGATCTCAGCCTCATTGGGGTCACGCATCACCACCTGCATCTGGTCAACCCGTTCCTCGTGCTCTTCTTGCTGGGTAGAAGTGGGGGCGAGACCAGCCTGGGCAATGGTGCGGGAACGCTCAGGCTTGAGGCGAGCCTTGCCGGAGATTGGGTAGTAGTAAGCGGCCAATTGTCTGGTGTCACCATCCTTGGGTTTGAAGAGCGTCAAAGCGATGTCCTTTTGCTCAGTGTTGAATACCTGGGCACTGGTGGCATAAGTGCGAATACGATCATAACGGTGGAACTTGTTGCCCTCAGCGCCCTCGTTGGTGTAGAGGTCTTCGCTGTCTCTGTTTGGGTTGGACAAGTTCATGCTTGCATCAATTTTCTTGACAGATTGGGGCTTCTCTGGAAGGAAGAGCTGGTAGTCATAAGGAACTGGGCCCGGGTGGGCATAGAGAGCAGGATTTGTGTTGTGAAGGTGCACTTTAGATTCATGCTCCTGGCAAACGCGCTGCTCGGGCGCGACTGGTGTCAAAATACCAACATCCATACGCCTGTCCCGCTTGCCTGAGATGGCTGTCAAAGGCGCCTTATCAAACTTGAATTGAAGGTAACCACCAGGATCTGGGAACCCTTCCAGGTCAGGCATCACAGGGAAG